TATTATTATAAAAGTACTAATAAGTAGTATATAACAATAAATTTATGAACTTCAAAATAACGAGTGTATTATATAAAATAATAGTAAATATAAATGAATTAAATAACAAATAATCTTCATTCCATTGATGAAGAGGAATCAGTAAACTTCTCAACATTCGGCCTTGATAACAATTGAGCACCAGAGTTGTTTCGTTCAGAAGTGTGTTGGAATTGAATAGGTGAAGCTCTAGTAGAATCATTAGCAAGTAAATTGACCTTTATCTTTGGACTTAAAGATACAGAATTGTCTTTGTCAGATTTAGATGAACTTGAAGAAGATAGAGAGGACGTTGAAGAGGACATGATAATTTTCTTGGTATGAGCAAGTCTACGTAACTCTTCCACACAACCAGATTGTTGTACAAGTCCATGAAAGAGTGTGTCTTTCTCTTTAATTAAATTAAGTGGAGTGTCCATTTCTTTTAATTTTCCTTTATCAAAGACCATCACTTTATTTGAGTCCATAATAGTCTGTAATCTATGTGCTACAGTGATCACAGTAATGTCTTTAAAGTTCCTTCTGACCATCATTTGAATATTTCTATCTGTTTGAATATCTATATTAGCAGTTGCTTCGTCCATAATTAAGATCTTAGAATTTTTCAATAATGCTCGAGCTAAACAAATTAACTGTCTTTGACCCAAAGAGAAGTTGTCACCACCTTCTGTCACAACATCATCAAGTTGATTTGTTGATTCGACCATTAAAAGTACTTTTCGTAATTTGTCATCGTCCATTTGGTTCCATGGATCCAAATTGTCTCTTACAGTACCACTAAATAGTGTGGCTTCCTGTGGTAATATACACATTTTCTTCCTCAAGATATCAAGAGGAATTGTAGAGATGTCGATTCCATCAACAAATATTTTACCGGAGTACGCTTCTTCTATTCTAAAAAGTCCAGCCATCAAAGTGGACTTCCCACTCCCCGTTCGACCAACAACACCAACTTTGGCTTTTGCTACTATTTTGGCATTAATCCCTTTCAAAACCATGGGAAGTCCTCTTCGATATCTAAATTTGAAATCAGAGAATTCAACAGAACCCGTTGATGGCCAGGAAGGTGGAGGGTTATGATATTTGTCTTTGACACTCTCAGACTCTTCAGCTCTCAATTTCTTGAGCTGCAAGACTCTTTCTGTTGACTGCATGTTTGTCTCAATTTCAATGATGGACATAGCAAAGACATTGACGGTTGATGGAATGTTACATATGTTTGTCAGAGCAGTACCTGCAAGGGAAGGTTCCATTGACTTTTGCAACTTGGTAATGACCAATACTGTGACTGTTACAAAACAAATGAAGACTCCCAACCAATCCATTCTTTGGAGCATCCTATTTGTTATTGAATTACAAGGTATTAGAAGTTTCAACAAACCAGTATTTAGCCATTTTAGTAAGGTAGAGAGACGTTGTGTTATTCTTAATCTTCTCTATAAGTTTATCTTTGAACTGTTCTTGTCCATTTGAAGATCTTATAGTGGAAAGGCCAAGTAAAGTCTGATCGTAGTGAACAAAGATAGGAGCTCGTGTTATACCTTCAAGTCTCTGTAACTCGATGATTGGTTTGGAAACAAAGATGTAAAGACAAACGAAGATGATGGCAATGACCAACACTAATATAACCAAGTAGATAGATGCCTTACAAATAGTGATAGCTACTATTACAATAGTAGTTATATTAACAATTAAAGGCTCACTGGTTGGTGGTATAGTGAAGTCGACGTTCTGGAAATCTCTTGAAAAGTAATTGATAATTCTTCCCATTGGTGTCACATCGAAGAATCCCAACTTGCACTTTAACAACTTGTGAATCAAATTCTTGTGAAGTCGTACAGACACTATTAAACAGAAAAGAATGATTGCTTCTTCAGTCAAGAAGATACCCGCTATGTCTCCAACAAATGAATAAGCAAAGATGTTGAAAAGTCCTTTGTCGCCTTGTGGAGCTCCTTTTAGTGGTCGAATAGACTTCCCCCACTTAGTGAGATAAGTGTTGTAGAAGTAAAGTGCACAAATTCTACCCGCCAAGCACAACCACATTATGAAGAACATCAAGAGGGAACCAGACTTGATATATTGCCAATACACATGTAATGGTACTCTTCCTATTTCTCTTGTCTCTTCTCTTGTTTTTGTACCTGAAGCGTCTGAAGTGATGATTTCTTCTTCTTGTTCTTCTTCTTTTTGAATCTTCTTACTCAGTGTCTTCACAAATTGGGACGCTGGGATATTCGACTTCTTGAGCTCTTCTAATGAACCATTAAATACCATTTGGTTCTTGTCAATAACAAGAATCCTGTCTGCCTTCTCTAAGAAGTACGTCTGGTTGGTTACAACAATTCTGGTCTTCTTTGCTAAATGCTTTTGAATGGCATTTTCAAAGATATAAGTCCCAACTTTGAAATCAACTGCACTGAGGGGGTCGTCGAGTAAAATGATGTCTTTGGGGTCGTATAAAGCACGCGCGATATTCACTCGTTGTCGTTGCCCTCCAGATAAGTTGGCACCTTTCTCTGCGATCACATAAGCATCACCTCCTACTAAAGAATCGATGTCAGTTGCTAAACAAGCATCATATACTGCACTCTGATACTGTTTCTTATCATAAGAAGTCAAGAAGCAGATGTTCTCTCTGACTGACGCATTCATCATCCAAGGCGTCTGGCTTGTGTAAGTGATCTTTCCATTGATTACAGTGTCTCCTTGTGTCTTTTCCAACTCATTTAGAAGTGACAATAAGAATGAACTCTTACCACCTCCTACACTACCAAGAACACAGACTAATTCACCTTTCTTGATCTTTAATTCATCACAGGCAAATGCAGTTTCGTTATTAGGGAAACTGTAATTGACTCGACTCATTTCAACTGCATATTCACTTTTACTTGCAGTCGAAGTGATTGGGACCAATTCCGGAGTTGTCAAAAATTTGTTGATTCTTTTTAAAGAAACATTCAAACAAGTGATATTAGCCATACCAATACCAACTGTTCTTATTGGAATTCTTATAGAATTGAACAGTGCAATTGAAGTGACAACAATTGGTAAAGTAATTGCGGCTTCTGAATATACCATAGCTACAAACATTAAAACTGCCATCATCGGTCCAACATCAATAGTGAAAGTAAAGAACATTGCTCTAAAGAATCCAGTGAAGTACAAGAACACTATTTCCCAATTTCTGTATTTGTTCACTTTATCTTCTAAAGGCTTTTCCCATCTATTGTACTTGATGAATTTGATATTTCGTAATATTTCATTGAAGAATGAAAGTCTCTTATCTTTAGACGCAACAAACTTGTTATAGAAGAATGTGTTGACACGTCCATAGCACAAATTAACTATTAAGAAGAAAGCTAATACTACTAGAGGAACATATACCCACTTACCGACATAATATCCCATAAAAGAGTATAACACAATAAACATAGGCGGTGACGCAATACCCGTCATAAAGTACTCTAAATTGGATAAGAAAGTAGAAGAGTCATTTGACATCAAGTTGACCAATCTTCCAGGTTCTGCTATTCCTGCTGCATTCAATTTAAGTGCTTTCTCATAGATGACACCAATCAATCCATTTCGTATTCTTAGGGAAGTGGTGAACATAAACTTCTTAGCACATTCACTTGATGAACATGCTATCATTTGAAAACAAAATGTTAAGAAGATAAAAAGTATTCCAGTGCTCTTGGGAGCATCTTCTTTATTTAGCCACTTTGTAATGAACTGGCATTCCAATGGAAATGCAATTGAAAACAAGTCGTAGATGGCAACCATTAAGTACATGAATAAAAATCTCTTCCATTCGCGTTTTAAAATCACTTTACCTATTGACGGATTCTTGTTGAGACTCTGCTTCTTCCATTCAGATTTGTAGTACTCAACTTCGTCTTCGACATTCAAATTTTTAGAAACAGGATTCATGTCTTTCACTGTCAAATTCCCTTTTTGGCCTTTCATTATCTGCTTCATAGCCATTCGAAATAAAATTGTTTTAAAAACATTTTTGAATGTGTTTTGAGACTTCTCGTTCTCAATCACGTCAGTACTTTCAAAGTAAGCATCTTCTTCTGTTGATGAAGAAGAAGTTTCAACTGACTCACTGAAGAGCTCAATTTCTTTGGTGCTCTTGTTCAAGGTCATGGTGATATCAAAAAAGATTAGTTTACCCTTTATATAATACTTTTAAAGGTTTTCAAAAAGATCAAAAAGTGGGACATTTTTTTAAACTGTTAATATTGCTTTCTTCCCAATTTAGTAATGTTTTTAATTATTTGAATAATATCGAATTATAATTATGATTTTCAAAACTTTAACACTTGTTTTTTTTATATCTTTACATACAAACTCCTTGTTTTCTTGGTTTTGTATAAGATTCACTCCGTGAATCTTTTTGTTTGTTCATTTTTTTGAACAATCATCAAAAATTAAAAATTATAAATAATTTTTAAAAAATACTATTATTTATGGTTTTTATATAATATAACTTTAGTTATTCAACTTAATTATAAATATACAAAAGTGTGTGTTATTAAAAACTTCAAAAAAGTGAATGTTTCATTAGATATTTTGGGAAAAATAATCGAATAGTATAATTATTAATAATTATTCATTTCAAATGATAAAACCAATTAATTGTTAATTTAAATTGTATTTTAAAATTTTTTAATAATAATTTGCAAATTTTTAATTGTATTTATTTTAATGGTAAATTTTATTATAATAAGTTATTTTATTTTTTTTAATTTTTAAAAATAAAATAAAAATAAAAAGTTCAAAAAAATGAAATAAATTGTCGTTTGTAAAAATCAAATTTGTCCATTTTTTAGTATAAATTATACATATTATGGTTTTGTTGTTAAAAACTCAAAACTAACATGGATTGTTATGTCAAAATTATTTGAATTGTGTTTTTTTTGAAAAATAAATAATTGTTTTAAATACAAATAAAAAACCATACTCTTTATATTTTTTTAGATTTAAAATATAGTTTGTTATTTCACAACAACAAATAATAGTGGCAAAAACTTATACAAACAAACTACAAAACATGTTGAAGAATCGATCAATTAGCTATAACAGCATCTTTTTTAATTTAAATGTCAAAAAATAAACATTGGAAGAAGTTCACCATTATTATAATGGTTGTCTAGTTTGATTGTTATGTATTTTTAAATTTCAAATAACCATTTACAACACAAAAGTTATAGCAACGAGTTTGTAATTTAACATTGTTAAACAATTTATTTGAATTTTTTTGTGAAATTTTGTTTTATAGATACAAACTCATCTTTTGTAATTTGTACAACTTAAACAGTTTTAAAATGTTTTGAAAGCTATTTTACTCAATAAAGACAAATAACTCAAAATGACAAATTCTATTATAATAATTTATTTTATTATAAAACATAGAGTTTGTTTTGTCCTTCATTTATAGTGTTATGTATAGTTTAAATACTATAAATTATTATTTTGATTTTGCATTATTTTGGAGCGGTCACCAGTATTTTCATAATTCTGTCCTTCTTCACCAAGAAGCGCATTCCCTTCATATTTTCAAGCGAGTAAAATTTATTTTCAAAATCCGTCTTTTCGAGTGCAAATGTGTAGCTTTTCTCCTGTGAGCTCCACTTCATGTGAATTCAATAAACTTTATAATGAAACAGATACAACTCATCAAGTAAAATGAATTGAATTTTAATAACAACAAACGTCGTCACGATATGAAATAACCCTTTTGTCGTTGCTACAAATGAACCAATGACACTGCGCAAACACATTAAAGCAATCATCGCTAATATCATTAGTGTGAAGAACATATCCAATAACAACAAATAAAGTGTTAAATAACACTTCAATACCGCGATCGAAGTACTCCCATATTACTATTCCATCTTGTCTGCTGACATTCTGTGTGTCTCCAAAAATAGAACGTACCTCACTTACAGTTGCTCCTATAGCAAGATGCGATTTGTCGACATTGTCTCCAATCGCAAATGAAAGGACATTGTCCTTCTATGTGTCACTCTTTTTATTAAGAAATGAACGAACCAACAAACAACTAAAACATCTTTAGAAGAAGGAAACTCAATCAGTTTAGTTGGTTGAATGACTTGATTGTCACTCGACATTTGTATTTCTTGAATATACTGCCCGTTTTGTTTCATAATGATTTCCGGATTTTTAGTCAAATCAAATTTGAAGTCTTCAACAACGCCTTTACCTGAAGAAGAAATGTAATACTTCTCTTTCGTTTTTTTGATACTTGGATTCAAGACAGTGACTCGTGTTAAACACTGAGAATTGTCAAAATCAAAAATTAAATTCAAATTAGACACCGTTTTTGATGAGTATGTCGCTTTATATTTCTACCTATTAATACTAAACCAGTCGTTTTAATAGATATAGTTTTATAGTTTTATAATAAAATAAATAAGTTATTATAATATAAAAACAAACTCCTTCTTCCTCTACTATCGTCTCGACTAACTTTTTCATGTTTCTCATCATTTTAACTACATGGAACATTGGCATCCCCATAAACATTCCATCGATTATAGCGCAACGGAAATTGATGAATATTTGTTCTTCTTCTTCCATTCTTTTTTTTTCAAGTTCATTTTCGTCATTTTTCTTTTGAAATGGGAAAAAAATGATTGAAAGTAATTCAAATAAAACATTTTTTATTTTTAATTAACTATCATTCTAGATATCTAGTTATTGAAATAATTAATAACTTATTACTATTAATACTAATATACAAGATAGCATCTAAAATATATGACTAACCATAACATAACCCTATTCACCACGAAAACATAAATCATAAATGGACATTGTAAACTGATTCGAGCAAATTCAAAATGTGTTTAGTGTACGACACCTTTTTGAGCAGCGCGATGTTTGGCTTAATGAACCCTTCGACGATCTTCTCTCTATCCACATCATTAACCGCCTCGATAATTTTCTGAACCACATAATTTGCGAATTGGTCCTGCATCATTTTGACTATCCCATCGTTGACATAGATCTCTTCAAGTATCTGTGCGCGTTCGTTCTGTGTTGCGTGCTTAAAACATTTCTCTATGACATTTGAAGAGTACTTTCCCATTGAGAGTCTGACTATATTTCCTTTTAATTTGGTTAAGATGATATGTCTGTCGTTGTCATACCCTCTCTCCAGTACATTCTGCACAACATAATTCCCATATTGGTCTTCCGTCAGATTCAACGACTGTGGTTCGATGATCTTTAATAAGTCGACTACACAGTCGTAGTCGACACTTTCTATTACCCTTTGAACTACTCGACACCCATATGGATGTCTACAACATTCTAACACTATCCCATTCAACGCCTTGACTACATCCATCACCATACTTCTATCCCCCTTTTCTACGCATTTCTGAATGACATGATTCCCATTCTGGTCTTCTATGCATTGGACTAAATGTCCTCGCAATTCTTCAAAAAGAAGTTTGCGGTCTTTCATTGCAGCATACTCCACAGCCTTTTGGACGACTCGACACCCATACATGTGCAATGTCAAGCGCAAAACATTGTTTTTCATTTGCGCGGGAACAGCGTGACGACTCTCGGGGACAAATTCAAGTGCCTTTTGGATCACGTAGTTTGCAAACAAGTCGGCAGAGAGCTCGACAATATGACTTTGAATAGCTCGCCAAATCGTCAGTCGTTCATCCGCAGTCCCCTTTTCGATATTTTGTTGGACACTACGACTGCCGTGGTGTTCTTTACTCATCGCAACATAGTCAGCGGGAGCGTTTTGTTCCATTTGGTACATATAAGTGTTTTGGAAGGGCATTGTGTAGTTTGGTACAGGGTATCCAAAGGTATTATAAGTGTTCTGATAATAGTTCTCGTCGCTCTCTTCCTCACCGCTCGACACATTCGAGTCGTTGTCCGACGTGTTATTCGAGCTATTTGAATTCTCACTGTTGTCCTCCTCACTCTCCTCCTCGTCCGATGAATTTTGGGAGGACACGTCATCACTTTCTTCCCGTTCGTCGATGTCGTCGTCAAGGGGCTTTTCCCCGCGTGGCGCGTAATTTTCTTGATTGTGAGGTTGTGAGGAGTCTTGGTGTTCTTCTGGGTTAGGGTTGTCTCCAGTGTCTGTCTTTTGAGTCTCTTCTTTAAGGCGAGAGTTACTGTTCTTGAGATCACTGATGATATTGGTGAAGTCGAAGGTTTGTTTGTAAGCCTTTTTTAATACCGCCTCATACCCCTTCGGTAAGTTCCAAGCAAATAACGGTTTGGGCAAACGAGGGTCTGGTGGCTTCTGTTGGAAATATAGAATGTGATAGTCCGGATGCGCCCTATACGCCTGCTTCTCTAACTCTTCTAATGTTAACACCTCAGAAGCACCTGTGCGATCAACTTGTGGCGGCGCAGACGTCGATCGCGATTCGTTGAACAGCAGGCGCTGAACAATGTCTTGTGGGGCGTTTGCCATGAATTAACACCTATCTTTTCGTGTTCCTCCAATGGAACACTTACCACAATCAATTCTCTTTCTAGTTTCTTATCTGGTTTCATTTACTAGACAGTATAATTCATCTAGTCGGGTGTGGCTGGTGGATTTTAGTATGGTTTAGTTGAAAGTAAAATTTATTATTATTATTCTAAAAAGAAAAGTGGATTATCTTTTCAATTTTGAGAAGAATTTTTTAGGCGAAAAACTTATTTTTTCAGAGGAACAAGTTTACCAAGAATTGAAATTAGAATGAAAAGTGATTGGTTAATAGATTATTAATTTAGACTTATAAATACATTTACTATTAATATTAATTTGTAGGGTTATAAGTTTATTGTATAGAATAGTTGTAAATAATATAAATCACTGCACTTTTTCAAGTTTACTTGTTTCAAAACGTTTATTAAAAACAAATATTATAATTTGTTATTTAAAATATAGTAAATTTGTAATTGAACTTACTAATGTTTAGTAGTTTTTATTAATAGAGTTGAATTTATTAAATAATAATTCAATTATAAAATTATAATAAAAGATATATTTATAATGGTTTATATTATATTGTAAAATAAATAATAAATGTATAATATTAATAACATTTTTTTTGTCATTACAATCTCAAAAAAAAGACGTGTGATGGACAAAAAGAAAGTCGATTTTGAAAAGCCGAAACCTGAGTTGAAACATTATATGGAAAAACGAATCTATGTCAAAATTCATTGTAACAGAGCGATCATAGGAGTATTGCGTGGGTTTGATGAGTATTTAAATCTTGTTTTGGACGACGCGTTTGACGCCTCACACCCAGAAAATCCACAAAAAATCCAACTCGGTCAAATAGTTTGTGTTTAAAATAACATTTTAAATAACATTTTAAATAACATTTTAAATAACATTTTAAATAACATTTTAAATAACATTTTAAATAACATTTTAAATAACATTTTAAATAACATTTTAAATAACATTTTAAATAACATTTTAAGTAACATTTTAAATAACATAGTAGTTAATACGTGGAAACTCAGTACTGTCACTTGAGACTGTCGACCCGGTTCAACACAAAAACTAAATGATTGTTACACACTGGTTGCGTGTTATGTTATCTGCTCTTTTTTGTTGAGTATGTGAAGAGAGTGCAAATAAAGTTAAAATTACACAAGTTTAATAAAAAATATAGTTATTTAATTAAAAAAATAAAGTTATTTATCGACTTCGATACGAACGAAGTAGTATGTGATTGAAAAGAGTGAAAAAAGAAAGGAAAGTGACAAGTTGAGAGTTTTTGTTGTGATCTTTATTTTCGAAATTGTCAAAGTGAGTAAAAATGTTGTGAAGTTTGGTTATGCTTTGAGGTTAAAAATGTTACCTCGAAAGTGAAAACTAAAGTTGTTTGTGTTCTTGTGAAATACTTTAGACAACAACAAATTAACTTGTGATATCTTTCTAACAACAAAATCACAAACAATCTCTTTAAATATAATTTTAGAAAAACAAGTAATTTTTTGAAACATAAATTATTTTATAGTTATGTCATTTAAAATACTATAATCAAATAAAAAAAATATGTATTATAATGTTATTATATAAATTGCTATATTAATTATACTTATAAATTAATTAATTTAATTCTAATTGATTTTTTATTACATATATCGGATCAAAATATAAATCTAATAAAGAAACAATACAAACTATTAATTTATTATTTTTTAACAACAAAAAAAAGTATGAAGACAATCGAAAACCACAAAATAATATAAATATGTTGTATATTTTATGGTTTTGAATGAATATTAATTAAATATAGTTAATCTACTTATTAACTAAAATAGCAAAAAAAAAGAAGAAAGGAAAATTGATTCTAAAAAGAAAAATCAAAAAATCTTTTATTAATAATCTCAACTTAAAACAAGAGATAGGCATATACGGTTTTTAGTTCTTTATGAAACGTCAAAATAATAATTAAAACCGAATTGGCACTTTCATATTTTGGTTAATAATTTAATTAATTACATCAGTTTTAACAATAATTTGTATAAGATTGGAAAATCTGTCAAATGACTTTAAAAATGAAAAACCAAGAATTATTTTTTTCTTTTGGACACCAAGTTAACTTTTTTTAGATGTTTTGTATAATTTGAACAAAAATTATTTTGTTACATTAACAATAGTATAATTATAATACAATAAATAATATTATATAATACAAATAAAATAAGGTGTAGTTCTGCGAAAAATTTACCATTATTTATTATTGTTGTCGAAATTATCGATATAGTAAAAAAAGACTGAAAATGCCATTAATACTTAAACAAAAAAATAAAATGTTAAGATGATAATCCCAAAAATGAGTATTCAAAGGTTACTCCCCGCGATTTAAAAGCAAAACGACTAAGATACAAAACTAAAGTCTTTTTTGGGTATTGCAAATAATGACGAAATACTTTTAGAAAGAACAGAAGCTTCTCACCTTAAAACAAGTATAGTTTCATGCTGTTAGTTTCTGCTTTCTCACAGAAAATTTTGGCTTTCTTTGACCAAAATCGCGAAAACAACGAATCGATCATTCATCAGGTAACAATCCCATCAATTAGCACAAAATGAACGGAAGTAACCTCTAATCGCCAAAATGAACTAAAAAGAACCATAATGTTATTATAACATTTAGAAATCAAAAAGAGATTGACATGATGTTGGAATAATATTTCTTCACTATATTGTCAATGAGGATTCTTCTACCATTTTTCATCTTAGAACGTATAAAAATAGAGCCTGTTTAACTTCTGTTCTTCCTTTTACTCCTGTGATTGGATTGCTTATCAGCCCAACTCAAACTGAATTTTCAAATGCCTCTAATTGAACTAAACAAATCGACATCTTCACTCCGGCCGTTTGAATACGAGTGTTGGGCCGAGAAAGTCGGTGGGTCGATTAAGACTTGGAAGAAGCGTCTCTTCATTTTGAAAGACAATCGGCTGTGGTACTTTGAAGGGAAGAATGATCAATGCGCGAAGGGGTATATAGACATTAATATTGGGACGAAGGTGTATGACATCTCCGGGTCCAAAGTCGCGAAGAAGAAGAGTAATGCCTTAGCGATCGAGCCCATCGAACAGAAGTTTGTTGAATAGTTCATTAATTAACAATTAACTATTGTAAATTAATAATAACTTATTAATAAAATATTAATAACTAGAGACCATCGTGTATATGTCGTAATCTTCTATACGCAATCCGATTACACCAACATATTCACTCGTCTCCAGAAATTAATAGAACCCCCCAAACAAGAATCTCCACGAAGTGTTGTATTACCCACTCGTAACTTACCGTTGTATCATCCACCAGTACAATTACAACAACGAGACGGCTTCTCCCCGATTTCCGTCTTCGGGAATGTCGCGCAGTTTGCGGGCAACCCCCACGGCATTTCAAATTGTCAGGAACTAGTTCAAACGATCGGGTGGATAGTTAAGGATGACGACGCGATGAATTATTGGAAGTATTGGCTTGAATCGTTACCGAGTAAACACTCGAATCCTCCTTTATATCCAGATACTGAAGTCAATTATATGCTTCAGATCTCATGTAATATCACGCACACCAAATGGGAAGCTTACGGATCACAGCGAGTGATGATCAAACCCATTGCGAGTTATTTGTATAGTGTCGAAGCCCCCGACAAAGAGGTGGAAGCCATCGATAACTATGGATTGTTAACGAAACCAAAAGTTATAGGTAATTATATTAATACAACTAGTTCATTTGGGATGGACGAGGGGTGGTTCTTCCCAGGCCTCTTTGAGTTATACGTCCTCAAGAAGATGCAAAGTGGGCCTGATATGGACAAACTTCTGCAATGGTTAAATAACAGTCAGATCACACACGCAATCCAAATTGGAAAGGAAATGGTCACCGACCCTTCATTTCGACCATCCTGTTTCCAATTTGTGCTCGAAGGAAATACCACGACACGCGTGAATCGTGTGGTGTCTCTCTTTACAACCTTCGGACTCCAAGAAGTGCCGGTTGAGATCTTAGACGTGTTAAGAAATTTGGGACAGTTATACACCTATTTAGTAATTAGCGTCTCAATCACTCAAATCGGTATTCAAAGAGTCGGCATTATGATCCCCGACCCAACAGCAGAGATAGTTAGAAGCTTCTTAAAGTCAGACTCGACATACAAACAGACAGCTCTTGTCCATGAGGAAATGCTGGATAACCCAGATATAGCTGTCAAATTTGTCGAATATTCATATTTGAGAGAGGGATTTGGAAGAGGAAAGTTCACGGAGGGAAGTGAGGTGATGGTCCACTATTTCCTCGGGAGTGAACTTCCTTGATTTGTATTTCAGTGTTTTTTATTTTAATGTTGTACTACTAAATTATGGTAAAATAACTATTGATATATAATACAAAAAGCTGTTTTTCTAGGATTGTTATATAGTAACATTTTAATTTTATTAATTATAAATTTCTGATGAAGTTTTAAGAGACAAAATTGATTAAGTGAATTTGAGAGAATCAGATATGATTGGAATAAATGGTGATGATAATTCTTCAATGCCGAAAAAAGAAAACAGTTTATAAAATAATAGTAAAAATTATCAATTATTGTTATTAATTATTATAAATTATTAATATTATTATTCAAAAGTAATAAAGTTTTTATCACATGAAAAAACAAACAAATGAACGATAAAGTGGAATTTAATTCAAAAATTGTTATAAAAAGTCGATTTGGGCACAAAAAAAGGAGAAATAATCATTTTTTTCATCATCAAAAAATAATTCCAAAACGAAAAATAATCGATTGATATCTTTTCTTTAAATTTCAATACTTTTTCGTATTATAAAAATAAAGTTAAATTAACTATTATTTTAAATGTATTTTACTATATACGTTAGAAATTAGTTAATTTTTTTATTATTGCATGAATTGGCTTTGTGATTAATAATTTATGGTAATGATGAAATGAGCAACAAGAGAAGAAAGAAATGGTGTTTAAGCTTGGAAAAACTAAGAAGAAACAAAATGAAGCCGTTCACAGACGCAGAGTTTGAAGAGTTCAAGACAATGTGTATATCGGACGACGGGTGGACTTTAGCCAACCACGATGATATCAACACTGGATACACCACCCAGACCGAAAACTCGTCGACGCTCCGGATGAAGTTGAAGTCCAAGTTGTTTGAGCCGTTTTCTATTAATTTAGTCTTTGACATGTTGAGCGACCCACAGTTCAGAGCGGAGTGGGACGGAAACATTTTAGAAAGAAAGACCATCGACACCATTGATGAGCACAACGAGATAGACTACTACTCTGTCTCAATGCCAGTTGTGTCCAACAGAGACTTTTTGTACCAACGAGGATGGAAATACAACAAAGACGAATTTATTATTATGAATAAGTCCGTTGTTGACCAAAGAGCACCAGAAGTCAGCGGAATTGTCAGAGCAAATATCCGCATTTCAGGATATATGGTCAGAATCGAGGATGGAAAGTGTAAATTGTATTATATTGCGCACAACGACTGGAACGGATGGATCCCGAGTTTTATATTCAACACGTTTGGACCGTCGTTCTGCCCGTCTGTACTTAACAAAATGGCTGCGGGATGCAAGAAGTACGAGGATTGGTATAAACAACAAAAGCCGTATGAAAGACCATGGAAAAAGCTGATTGAAGTCTGAATGTTTTTTAACAGTAATTTACCATTATCATACTCCGTTTTATTTCAATGTTCACTTCACTCTTATCTATTAAGTTTATACGATTAAATAAATACAATTTCGTACTTTTTCATTGATAGTAAATAATAATAAATAAATCATAAATAACCAAAATCTACTCTAAACAATCAAACAAACAAAACGGTGTGCCTATAGTCTCCACAACGACAATTTCATTTGCTTCAACGCACTTGTATTTATCGACACTCCCGTCCTGGTGCAACACAACAAATTCTCCATTTCCAATAAATAAAATGTTCACACATGTTTGTTCGACTTTGATCTGTGCCACAGGAGCATCAACACTGGAGTACCATTTCGATTTTGCCTTTCCTTGGATATCAAAGATAGACACTAACAAGTCACTTGAGTAGACGAGAACGTATCTTTTGTCCGGGTCTATAGCGATGATCAGAACCTGAGCTGTTGTAAGTCCTCTTTGAAACTCCTTCACCTTCTCACCCCCACTAAGGTTCCAGAGACGGACCATAAGTCCCTCGACACTGGAAGAGCACAGCAGTGAAACTTGTCTATCTGTGGTGAAGTTAGTAACATTGTGTTTGTGGCATTTCAAAATTGTTTGTTTCATAGTTTGTAAATCACTCAGAACGATCTCCCCCATCTTCTTGTTAGGGAGGAGCAAGAGATTACTCTGCGCGTTATACTCCAAACACCCTCTTCCGTTGAAATCAGTCTCTATATTGATGATTTCGTTTGTCGCAAATTTGTATATTTTGACTTCCGTCTGAAAGACGATGAAGAGGATCTTTCGTGTCATTTTCAGGCGTAAGACCCGGGACGGAAAAGTCTCTTTAAACAGTTCTGCATTCTTTTTGTCGTCAAAGACTACAACGGTGCTATTCGATACATATGGGTTCTTCCCGCCCCCAGCAAATGAAATAACATTTGAATCGTCTAACACCGAAATCGCTCCAATACCCTTTCGAAACGCTTTTTGTTATTGTCAGTCTAGTTAGTGTAAAAAGAGACTTCAAACTCCGATTGAACACTTTCGTGAAGGTGCCGTTGTCCATTGAATATACCGCAAACCCATATGTCGTGCCAATGGCAATTCGGTCGCCTTTTTCGTTCACAGAGGTGCACAGAATTTTGAGCTCCTCCATCTGATTTATTTAGTTTCATTTATAGTAATTGAATAAGATCAACCTGAAATGATTCATATGGTATTTTTATTATTATAATAGTATTCTTGTTCCTATAAATATAACGGCATTAGAATGACTAAAAATAAAAGTACTTAAAAATAAAATGATACAACACATGAAAGCAATAAATCATATCCGGTAAAAATGTAATGACTTTGTAATGAAAAGTATCTGTTCCCGAGAAAACACAACAAAATGGAGTCCACTTCTTCCCACTTTTGTTGTTCTCATTTTCTCCTCAAAGGCTTTGTGGAAACTTTTAATCCACAAATCAGTGAATGACGTCAGACACACAGAAAATACTGTGCATCAGTTTTAACCAAGATTATTCATGCTTTGCTCTAGGCACTACACATGGATTTTCAGTCTATGGCATAGACCAAAATCATCTCAGAGAACGATTTAAACGCAATTTTAATGGGGGTGTTGGTATCATCGAGTTGTTGTATAAGTCAAATTTAGTTGGTTTGTTCATTTACTATTATTCTAGTACTTTATAATAATACCAATTGGTATTATTACGTTACTATAATTATTACAATAAAGAATAACACGCAGCTTTGGTTGGGGGCGGCCCACAACCAGTGTTTCCACCAACGAAATTGATCATATGGGATGACTACCAAAACAAGGGCATTGCAGAGTTAGAGTACGACACGCCTGTTCGTGCTGCACGATTGAAACGGGATATAATTGTTGTGGTTGTTGAAACAAATGTGTTTGTGTACGACTTCAGAAATTTGAACCTTCGGCAGACGTATAAGACGTGTCCAAATCCAAATGGGTTGGTTGCCGTCTCCTCTTCTGATAACAAAGTGATCGCATACCCGTCGATAGAAGACGGTAAAGTCGTTGTTACAAACTTAGAGACTAACACCTCAGTCACTATTGAAGCACACAAACACAACATCTCCGCTTTAAGTCTCTCGCCCGAGTCCAATATATTAGTGACTGCAAGTGTTGAAGGGACACTATTTAGAGTCTGGGACACGTTACGTGGCGACAAAATTGGCGAGTTCCGTCGTGGCAAGAATGCCGCAGTCATCTATTCCATCAACTTTTCACAAGACGGGAAGTTCATAGTGACAAACAGTAATCGCGGGACGGTACATGTGTATACCCTTCAGCAAGACGGTGATGTTGTCAACAAAGAGTCCACATTTGCCAAAATGGTACCAGGCTTCTCTGGGGTCTATGGGTGTTGTGAATGTTCCATACCTCCAGATATCTACACTGCAGTGTTTTTTGGTTGGCAGAATTCGTTGAACATGACAGTGATGGGAATAACTATAGATGGAGTGTTCACTAAATTCAGAGTAGAGAATGATAAAGGGCAACTTACTATGGTCTCCGATGAGTCTTCCCCTATTCTGTGACTTCTTTCTTCTTTGGTTCTTATTTACTAAAACAAATAGTTTTTTAATAGTATAAAAGATAAGTTTCTTAGTCGGAGTTAAAGAGCACACCGCGGAGTGAAGCGGACTATATAGAGCTTCTCTGTTTGAAGACCGACAGAGTCAATCACTTTGGGTGTTAAATAATGCTTTGCGGCCAATTCAAAAATCTCTTTGGGGTTGTTGTCTTGAACTAAAACAATGTAAGCAACACCCGTCGGCGTTAATATGTCCCAAAGCCTTTCAATGACACAATCGATTTTCTCACGACCGTCTTTCCCACCCGCCCAACTCAAAGCTATGTACGACGAGTGTAATTCCTCTTCCGGTGTAGGGACATATGGCGGATTGTAGATGAACAAGTCCACTGACTCGTCTCGTATCCCATCTAACAGCGACATTTTCAAAAAGTTTCCAGAGGGGTGAACTTGTTGTGCGCACGCCAGTGCAAATGGGTTGATGTCGCTCGACAGACTATAAAGAGATGGAATCAAGTGTTGGATGTGAGCCGAGACAATTCCACTCCCGCACCCTATTTCCAACGATACAGCAGGCTTTCTTTCTTTAATATATTCTATTTCGTTGGTGAGTGCGTCCATGAGTAGATAAGTGTCTACCTCTGGTTTATATACATTCTCCCAAGTGGACTGAGGAACACCAACTACTGGGTATTTCGACATATGTTCTCAAACTATAATTAATAGTTTCATTTTTTCTATAATTAATTAACTATAATTAATAATAATTTTTTTAATAATCAATAAAATATAATTAATAGTAATTTTTTAATAATTAATTAACTATAATTAATAGTAATTTTTTAACACTCGTAATTTTTCCACTTCCAAAAAAAATACAAATTCTAGAAACCCTAGAGGATTTGTGATCCCCTTCTATTTAAAGATAGCACGACGTTAAAGAAAGAGTTTCAAAAGAAAAAACGCCAAAATAAAATACCGATTGATTTAATTGGTCTTTTCAGCTTGGGCGGGTTGTGGAGCTTCTACAGGTACGGCGACGGTCAAAGCGGCCTGTTGTTTAGCCTTGTCAGCGGAGTCCTTGTCGAGTTTGGCTTGGAGTTTCATTTGTTTCTGGTTGTGTTTGAAGCCGTTGATTCTACCGCCGAACTCTCTGTACATGTGGACGTTATCGAAGTACAAAGACTTGACGTTTTCGACAAGAGCGTTGAAGGTAGCGGTGTCTTCCTTAGCGATGTCAGTAATAGCAAGGCAAGCGGCCGTCTTTTTGTGAATGATCTTACCGAGTCTAGCCTTTCCTTTAACGATGCAGTAAGGGACTTCGAGCTTCTTGCACAAGTAAGGCATGAACAAGACCATTTCGAGTGGGCAGACGTCGTGAGCGATGATGACCAATTTTGCTTGTTTCTTCTCGATCAACTTAGTGACCAAGTTCAATCCGGATTTGACAAATGGCTTCACAGCAGTGTTTTTGGTGACTTTTGGGGCCTTCTCCTTCTTAGCAAGTTTCTCTGCTAATTCCTTAGCTGCGGCTTTGATTCTTGCTCTCCTGACAGCACTCTCTTCTGGCTTAATATGATCCAAGACTTTGAATAATGAAAGAGCATTCTGTTTATCCAAAGTGTGGTTGTAGAAGATATTGACCGCTGGGGGGACTTTCAAACGCTTCATCAAAATTCTTTTCTCCTTCTGGACACGGACGTATCTTGGGAATTTAACATAACGGGACAAGTCACGCTTGTGTTGGACATTCCCCATCCCAAAGGTCTTTGGGGTGGACTTAATCAATGGATTCGCAATTTTGACGGCCTTCGTGCGCTTAGCCTTCTTTGTCACCTCCTTCCCTGACATCTCGACAAACTTATTAGTTAACCCTAATTCTTCAGATTTCAAAGATGTTGACATGTTACTATTGTTTACTATTACTTACTATTTATTTGGTTTTAAAGGGTCTTTAAGTTCTATTTTTGTTTTTACTTTATAGTTGTTATATGTTATTGTATTTCAAAATCTTCGCATCGATTCATGACTAACAGTCACGAAGAAAAGTGCTAGAGTAATGGATTCTACTCACTTGTGTGTGGATGTGAGATATCAATGCTGTTGAATGAATAAAGATATAATATATTGTATAGTAAATTGTGTTATATTTTTAATAAAATATATCGGCATTCAAAAAATAAAAAACAATGTTTTTTTACATGCTAGTATATATATTACCGATATACAATTGAATGTCCAAACTTCACAACTTCCTTTCAATTGTTTTAATCAATCAGAACTTCAACTATTTACTACTTGAATTTCGAGTTTATGGACACTTCGAAAATATCCGCCCAAATTACATGTCCGATTTGTATATCGCCTATTAAAGAATGCTGTGTCACCAAATGTGGTCATGCGTTTTGTAAGTCTTGTCTGGAAGAAGCTTTACATTTTAATCCCCGATGTCCATACTGTAATACGTCAATGTTGGTCACAGAATTCTATAGATTTTATCAATACGACTCACTTGTGTCGTTACTCATTCAATCACAAAACACCGTCGACCTTCCAACATCACCAAATTTGGACCAAAAAGTCGAAAAGGAAGAACCAAAAAACACAAAGCAAATGATTTCAATTAAAACTATTATCAACGACAAGACACGTGGAGAGCACTCCGAAACGGTTAACACTCCATGTGACTTAAATTCATTAATAAAAGATGATGTACTTGATAATAGTACTATTTCTCTTGCGCTTTCTTCAACCACTTTCCCATTCATTTTAACGCAACCTACAACACCTTTGTCAATCACTATATCATCGCAAATTAAAGAAAAGAAGTTATGTATTAGATATAGATTTGTAAAAGGAATGGTGGAAACATTTTACATTTGTCACACATGTAATGTGAAATTCATTTGCTCGTCTTGCGCAGAAACATGCCACGTGGGTCATGACATCGCCCTTCATCTTAAAATTCCTTGTTCTAATGCAGTGTGCTATTGTCAACGTTCAAAGGTAAAATGCCAACTCACACTCGACACTAAATAACTAAGAGTTGTATTAATAGGTTTTTTATTAAAAATTGTTTTCTATATGTCTCATATAAATAACTCATTAAAAATTAATAATTTGAATTGGTAAATTCATAGTTTTCGATTTAGAAATAGTTAATAACGATATTTAATCATTAATTTACTATTATTATTTATTATTTTTTCAAACCTATATTTATAATTCTTTACATAAATAGTTAATAATAATTAAGTAAAACTATTATAATTGTTTTGATAAATTAATAAATAAGTTACAACATTTTTTATTGTTTATTATAACTTTTAAATACGATTTTAATAAATATTAATTATATTATTAGTACAATAACAATCTAACAAATACCAACACAATAGTAAATGATATTATAAATATACTAGTAACATAATAAAATTTACTTCAATAAAAATATCGGTATTACAATGATTATAAAATCGATAAAACTACCGTTAATTCAATTAACAATTTTTTCAATAGGAGTGTAATTGAAATATTTTCAGTGTAGTGTTTTGTACAAAGAAGATCATAACAATAAAACAATAAACTGTAAAAAGGAACTCAACGAATTAAACAAACCAAGATCAATTAATGTCAACACAATCACAGTATAATAGAGTTACTGTACTCAAAAACTTTTACGAGAAGATGAACAGAGATCATTTAAAAGCGATAAAGACACCAAGTCCTCGACGAGTTAGAGTCAGAAGTCGTTCTAGTTCATCTCCCCTAAGAGGTCTTTTTCACCATAAATCTCAAAATTTAATCCAACAAACTCCACTTTTTTTAAATGGCGAATTGAACAACGAAAAATCCCAAACGAATTCAACCGAGTCCAAGAAACTCGAGCGTTCGACATCACTGAGCCCACAGCACAAGACGGATGACATTCTTTCTCTTGATGAAAACATCTTCAAATTACACGAGAAAGTCAAAGCACAGACAAAGATCAAAGCAAATGAAATGGTCGAGAAAGAACAAACTTTCAAGGAAAAGCCGAAAGGAAAAATTGCGACGAAAAAAGTGACTTCCGAGAAAGCAATTTCTATTAACATTTCGACGCACCCCGAATCTGACCCGCAACCTCACGACGATGTTCCAAAGGACATCAAAAAGACTGGCAAAGTCACGAAAAAGAAAATTGACTCAAAAAGTGTTGAAGAGGAGGCTGTCAAAGTGTCTGGTAAAGTATCCAAGAAAAAAGTCTCACATACATCCACTCAAGAAGAAGCAGAGACGTCATTTCCTGAGTACAAAAAGGCAACAGGGAAAGTGTGTAAGGTGGTAATAACTGAAGAAAGTCCACAAGAAGAGCGTCTCAGTGAAGACCCCCCAAAACAGAGTGGGAAAATAGCGAAGAAGAAAACAATTAAAATGATACGACAAGAGGTCAAGTCGTTATCCGACGACGAGTCGACGCCGGCACTCAAAAAGATCTTACGACGAAAAAAGCCAACTAAAGAGGAACTGAATTTCCACCGCTTTGAAATGGACTATTCGAAGTATAGTCTCCTCGATACCTCTGAAGAAATAGTGTGATTTAATTTGTCAATCTTTAGTGTGTTTACTGTTGTGAGAAGAAGAAGAGTAAAGCAACAATCAATCAGGCAGTAGTAAAGAAGTAGTCGATTGCCTTTAAGTCGATGAGTCTAAACAAGCCGAGGACATTACTAAAGTCTTCTGGTTGTATTTGACTCTTTTCAAAGATGTTGAAGAACGAGGACTTCTTGATTTTCACTAAATTGATCTTCCAATGGACTTTACCGACGGGGCGGAGCTTCCCAAAATTGATTGGTTCGTCGCCAGACTCGTTTTCTTTCCACTTCAAAGTCACTGAAAGAGTTTTGTTAGTGAAATATGGATTGTCGTCGAAGGTGAAAGTGACAGTCTTTCCCATTTGAATTAAGAACGTGGAGGTATCAAACATTGGTTGGTGAGTTGTCGTCTGTATGTTCGTCAAATAAGAGAACGCTATATAATCATCATCAGAAGGGGTGTACGACATAAAAAGACCAAGCTTATACAGCAACCGTACCCAGAAAAATGGAACACCACACTTTTCCACTGAAAGTGGTTCTGTGGCGTGCGGCGCGTCTGTTTGTTGAGCCACTTCTTCATTGTTTGTAACATCAACTTTCGTGTCTTTTTCTTGAACCAAAATTTGTGTCTTAGGTTCTTCCTTCTTTGTTTCGTGCAGTTCCGATTCCTCTAAAAATGGGGTGACTTTCCCAGTAATGATGTCTTGACGTCTATGATATAACAATCGAAGCATTTTCTCGTACTCAATTTCTAGACTGATTTGCTTCATCTTGAGTGTTGACTCGTGTTCCACAAATTTGCTATTAACTTTCTTCAGCAGTTCCTCGTTTTTATTCACCTCAGCCATTTACTTCTTTTTTAGTTATACGACTATTACACATAATCAAACTATATTTAATAATTAAATTACTATTCAAAAAGAAGTAGCACTAAACCCAGTAAAACTATATACATATTATAATTAAACTACAAAATCAATTAAAAAGAAAGTAAGTGCGGAAAATAGAAAAGAACTAAATAATTGAACAACCCTAGATCACTCCGTTCAGAAGGATGGCTACAGGCAAGAACAAGAAGTATAAGGCAGGAAACGTCAAGAAGGGCAACAAGCGTAAGATCGCTGAGCCATTTTCGAAGAAGGAGTGGTACAACGTGAAGGTCCCAAAGAACTTTAAGAGAAGAAATGTTGGACAAATTGTAGTCAACAAGACCACTGGTACAAAGGTTGCTTCAGACCAATTGAGAGGAAGAGTAGTCGAAGTCAATTTGGCCGACCTTATGGAAAGTGAGAAGTACGGAGCATACAACTACAAGTTCAGATGCGAGGACGTCAATGGAAAGGACTGCCTCATGGTCTTCCACTCATTGAAATTGACCACTGACAAACTTAGAAGCATCGTCAAGAAGTGGTGCACTTTGATCGAGACTTCTGTTGATGTCAAGACCACTGACGGAAACACCATCAGAGTCTTCTGCATTGGTTTCACCACTAGAAAACCAAGTCAGATCAAGAAGACTTCATATGCTAAAAAGGGACAAGCCAAACTTATTAGAAAGATCATGGGAGCCATCATCACTAAACAAGCCATCAATAAAGACTTGCCACAGTTCGTCGACTTCTTGAGAGAGCCAACTCTCACCCAAACCATCATCCAAAGAGCCGAAAAAATCTTCCCAATCGACAATGTCTACATCCGTAAGGTTAAGATCCTCAAGTCCGGTAAAATCGATTCTTTGAAACTCCTCGAACAACACCAAGACGCTAATGAAGTCGTCGAGTCCATCCCAGCTGAAGAACCAGTCGAAGAAGAAATCAAGGAGGTGGCCGAAGAAGAAGCTAAACAAGCCTAATCAGATTTTTTGAAATTGGGGTTTTGTTTCTATTTTTTGGACATTGCCATAGAAATAACTTTAATTTAAAATAATAATAGTATTGATACAACGAACACAAAAAGAAAGTTTGTGGGTGCAAAACTGGGTTGGACAAAGTCGACCGAGACTGGCGAGGAGAAAGTCATTTGCATTTTAGAGCGGAGGGAGGCCGGAGCACCGTGATAAGTTGGAGAAAAAAGTGTGTCAATGAGATAAGCGATTTTTGTAGTAATGGTTTGGCTCATTAAGTTCTCTTCTCTGATTTTCACAGTCAGCGTTTGGTTTTTTAGTGAAAAAGTCATCCTCTCCTTTTCGATACCCAAAACCGCGATGATGTTGAAAGATATTTGCTGCGCTGCTTCTGTCGTGTTTTTAACGTGTTCCAAACCAATTTTGATAACAATTTGAGCTGTCGACGCTTTTAGCGGAAAAGTACACAACCCACCCCTGGCAACAACGGCAAACCTTTTCCCAAATGGCGCCAAGAGGCGACCAAAAAGTGAGAGCTGCCTTTTGTTTGGAATGTACATTTCATCCAGTTTCATATAGTTTGCATTTGAAAGAGAAAACGAAGTAACAATCCCAACCCCAACAACTCCAACAACAGAAAAATCAGGCGAACCCACAAATAACCTGTCGCCAAAGAACAACAACGACTCTCCAAATTTTGACGAAAACCAGTCAACAGAGGAGAATGGTTGTTTAAGAATGTGGACAAGAATAACTCCTTCTGTTGTGTATTTGTAGACATAAACGATCCCCTTGTATTCATTCCCCATCGAAGAACCAACCGCAATTAAGTCACCAAAAACAGCCAAACTACACCCATAATTATCTCCTATGTCACTCTCTTTTGGGGATAGTGTTGCTCGAATTACAAACTCACCATTGATGTTGCCAACAATGTCAACAGTCCCCGTTTGCGTCCCAACAACAAGGATGCTCCCCGAAGATGCCAACCTGATTCCATACATTTGCGATGATGTGAATGATTTACTTATTAACGTTTGTGCAACATCAAATGAACTGTTTAAAAACACCACACTCCCATTCTTGGGGTTTCCAACAGCAATATAATCTCCAATGACTTTCATAGACACCCCAAATCCACTTTCGTTGAAACTATAACATTTCGTTTCATGTTTTGAAATTACTGAAAAATTACCTTCTCCGTCGCATGTGACCAATGAATTACCAAAAAACACAGCAGACATTGCTCCACTTTCTGTTCGAATAATTTCAGTCTGTGGGTTTTGTTGTACTACAGTCGCTTCAGTGTTGTTGATTATTACCAATTTTGTCCCATCACTGTCGACCATTGATATGGTTCCATAAATTGGTATATTTGAAGTGCATTCATTTACGCCTAATGCACCGAATATCAGCAGTAAAAACATATTATTTCTCTCATTTTTTGTCCTCTAATATCCCTTCTTTCTTCCATTCTCAATCTTATTCTTCAAATCCGAAATGAAAAACTATACCAATAGTAAATTAAATTAAAATTCAGAACATGATGAAAACACATAAATTATCCATTGCTTTACGATATAGTCGCTTCTGTTGGGAGGGGCATGTGTTGATTTCTTTCTTTTCGATTTTTGACGAAAAGTTTTGTGTAATGGACAACCTCAATAGCTATGGCCACAAACAGAACTATTCCGCAAACTAAGCAAATTACCCATATTGGACTCGGCTCTTCAACAACTGGAGAACAAGACATATTCGTTTTTCAGTTGTTTTTATTTCTGTTCGTTCTGCTCCCTTCATTTTTCTGGGTTGTTTTATAGTTGTTTTATAATTTTTTACTTTAGTTTTTTCAATAGTATAAATATTATGAAAAATAAAAATTATTATTTTTGAATAATAAAACTATTATTTTAAAATGAAATAATAATATAGTATAATAATATTATAAAAAAGCTACAGAAGTATTTAGTTTCAAATCAAACCATTATGACTAATTAATATAATTAGTTTAAAAAAATATATTTTTTTAGAAATGAAATTCAGATAACAAAACTAAAGAGAAAACACACATCAATCTAACAAGATTGAATTTTCGAGCTGTTCAGCTCCCACAAACTTTTCCACAGCGTTTTTGATATCCTCCATTTTTTCGGGAGATCGGGTGTAAATTCTTTTCCAATGGGTTTGTGTTTCTTTTGGATACAAAATTGAAGGAGTCATAAAGAAATAGTTTTTCGAGTCAAATGATTGGACAAATGCGATATTTTCCCAGTTATCTTTTCTTGCGACAGAAATAGTTTGGTTATTAACAATAATATCATTAGGTAATAGATTCTTGCCAAAGTTTGCCACTAGTTCTGGTGTTAATTTAGCGATCATTTCTTCATTTGCCTGAGTTTGTTTGATAGTTGTGACCAGCGGGTATAACTTTCCTCTATCAAGGAGTCGTGTCATTTCCTTTGCTTGTTTCAAATTTGGGTCTTTACTAAATCGGATTTGATTCAGAACTGAGTCGTCGAGTTGGATGAATGTATCCAGATCGTCTGGAGTCGCTTTGAGTGTTGGGATGTAATTAGCTGCTTGAATTAAGATATCGGATACTAACAACTCTGCAGACCCTGTTTCCTTACCGTTATAAAAGTTCTTATAAAGGGCGTATCGATTATTAAACAATTCTTCTAAGTCGTTTTTACAGTCTGTTAAGTAACAAATATTGTTATCTAAAATGACTGAATTTTGGATGATATTTTCGACTTTAAAACGTAAAGGGATGTTGAGGTGATATGAGTCCCGCCGAATGTAATCGAGTCGATCGACATCGATTCCATTACTTTCATTTGATACAATTTGACGCCGCCACTTCTTGGAGGAAGTTAAGTTGTTTAAGATAATCTCTTCAACGCCTCGGACTTCATCGGTGGTAAAGTCTATAGACTCGTCATCAACTATTTTCTTAAATAACTTGACAGACTGCTCTTCATGATTGAAGTGAATGCCTCGCGCTTTCATGACACCTTCGTAGACATGACTAAAGGGGCCATGACCTAAATCATGACATAATGCAGCTACTTCGATGGTTCGGTCGTCGGATTCATTCACAACATCCTCCCCAGTCGTTTGTTGTGTGGACACTACTTGGACGTAATTCAAGTGTTTCACCATCGAACGCGCTAATTCAGAAACACCTAAAGAATGCTCAAAACGTGTGTGAGTAGCAGAACTGACCACAAAGTCCATTGCTCCTAATTGTTTGATTCGTCGAAGACGTTGGAAAGCGTCAGTGTAGACAATTTTCTCTGATAAGTCTGACGGCTTAGGTTGGCAGAAATTGTTGTCGCGCATCAAAGAAGATCTTCTTTTTATCAAGTGAGGAGTCTCAAAACATTCTTCGTGTTTTTTTGGGGTTCCTATAGGAGGAGTGCTTGACATGAGTGAACAAAGGTATATAAATTGTCAGTTTTCATATACCTTTTTATTTCTTTTTTAAAGTACTTTTCTTTGTTTCTTATATGGAGAGAAAACCAATTTTTTAGAGGGGTATGACCGGAATAGGGCTTTCGAAAACGTCAATATTATTCGATGAATAAAAAAGTTATTATAGTTATAGCTTTTTACTAAAATGAGTATTGGATGAATATAATTATTTTAACGGAATGATTTACGATAAAATACTTATAAAAGTGGTACTTAAAAACAATTACTACCGATATAAAATACCACTTATTCAACAAAAAACTTTTTCGAATTGAAAGAGTTTAACTTAGGTAGTTTTCAATATAAAATGTATTAAAAATTAAATATATTGAAACTAAAGAACGAATTATAAATCATTACGATGTGTTAAATAATAATAATACAATGAGTCTGAATATACCCAGACTCACCCCATGAATAACACAAGAATTATCAACAATTTAATAATCATCACCACTGAGTGAATAGTATCAAATAACAGGGACTGGTAAGGTAAATATTCGTTTGCACTTAGTTTTACTCTTAAATAACTGGAAACTGGTTTCTTAAGCAACAACAAAACCATCATTCAAAGTTTATGTAAATTGTTATCCTCACAAAGTCTATTGTTTTTAAAATAAGTATAAGTCGCAAAGAAGGACTCACCACTGCACTTATTATAAGAAATACTGCAAGAGATTATTTTTTACTCGCTCAAGTCTATAACATTGACATTGTACTTTCGATCTTAAGTCTTGACTTGAAAGGAGTGTATGAATTTAAAGTACAGTCAAACCTCTATCGAGTGGTAATTTCAGGAAATTTTACCTTTATCGAGTGGGTTTTTCTATTTTTATTATTTGACTTTTTTGACACAATAAAACATTTTTTATTTTTTTTTCAAAAATAGGTTATATAAAATATAAATACATAAGAAAAAAAAATATACATGTTTTAACTATAAAAGCATTTTTGCATTTAAAAATTAACTGAAAAAACTGAAAAATCATAAATGTCGTCACCCAAAAAGAAAGTCTTTCTGACCATTGACGAAAAGAAAACAATTTTGTCATGGTTTAAAACAAATCCCACACAAAGTGTAGACACTCTGATTCGAAAAACCGAAGAAAAATAAAACAAAAAACCAGGAAGAGAATCTTTAAGAATTTTATTAAAAAAAGGTATACCAAGTACTTTGATCGAAAAGGGAATTCCTGGTTCATCTAAATTATCAAGAAAAGTTAAACATCAAGACATGGAAGATTACCTAAACAATATGATTATTACAACAAAACGGTATAATTGTCCTGTAACATATGAAGTCATCAAATCGTTTGCCAATAGTTACTGTGCGAAAAATGGTTACGAGGACTTGAAATTTTCTAATGGTTGGATCACTGGATTTTGTTCAAGATACAATTTAAAATCCAAAAAAATCAGCGGAGAGAGTAATTCAGTAAATCCACAAGATTTTCAAACACAAATAAATTCTCTGGTTGATATCATTGCTCAATACCAACCAGAAAATGTTTATAACGCAGATGAAACTGGACTATATTTCAAATTGCTTCCAGACAAAACAATGTCGGATTTAACAAACAACCATGGAGCAAAACAAAGCAAAGAAAGAGTCACTGTAATGGTTTGCTGTTCACTTGCTGGAAACAAAGAAGACTTGCTTGTGATTGGTAAATATCATGAACCAAGGTGGCTTAACAAACCAGAATATCAGACCATAAAAAAGTATTATAGCGCACAAGAAAACGCTTGGATGGACACTGAGCATTTCCATGATTGGTTAATTGAATGGGAAGACAGACTAACCATTAGTGGCCGATGTATTCTTCTTATTGTAGACAACGCTCCGAGTCATAAACTGACGTTAAGTCTTGGGTTTTATAAAGAAAAACCAAGACATGTCTATAAAGGTATAAAAAGTACTCGATATCATGAATATGAGTTGATTCTTAAACACATCAGGTTGGAATTTCTTCCAAAAAATACAACATCGGTGTTTCAACCGTGTGATGCTGGAATCATTCATTCGTTAAAATGTGCATATAAAAGGAAAATTATTTCCGAATACACCAGAGCAATAAGCGAAGTTGTATCTGCGAATAAAATTTACACTGGACTAAAACTCAATGTTGGAGATGCAATTAAATTATTAACCGCTTGTTGGTATCAAGATGTTACATCTCAAACAATAATCAATTGTTGGAGACATGCTTTGTATCAAGGAGAAAATGTATTTGACCAAATTGATACATTGGGCTATCATATTGAAGACTTGATTGAAGAAGACGTTGATGTAGTAAGAGATGAAATACCTAACAGTGGTGATGTAATACAACGAAAAATTGAAATGGAAACATCACTTGTCAAACAAATGATGGAATTGGAAGATCTCAAAGAACAAGTTCAAACAAAAGAAGAAGAAGTAAAGGATACTACCACTAAATATATAGAATTTTGTGAATTGAACGATTTAACACCAAGCCAAAACTAATTGACAATTTTAATTAAATTTATTATACAAATGGAATTTATACAAATGTGTTGTTTAGAACACGTTTTATAATTGTTAATTCACTTTTAAAAATTAAAATATTTAATACTTTTTTTACCATTTAATAAACTTGTTTATTTGTTTATTATTTTTTGTCTTAGTGTTATTATAAAATGAAATTAAAAAACATTTTACCACAAATCCAAAGAAAAAAAATCTATTTTTCCCGAAATATTAAAATAAAAACATATAAAAAACAGTTCTTTATCGAGCGGTATCCAATTTTAATTGGCTAAAAATCCCATTCGATAAAGGTACCACTCGATAGAGGTGCTATTCGATAGAGGTTTGACTGTATAACAATACTTACATAAAACTTGTTCATTTGATTTGAATGTGTTTTTTTAATAACAAAGGTTATAATTTATCATTTTATAAATAAATAAAAAAAGAAAGTTCAATAGTTTAAATATACATAATCATGATTTTAATTTTTTAAATATTTTTTCAATTCATGTTAAAAATGAAAATAAGAATATGTATCAAAAAAAATAATTATAATATTATAATATATAATACAAAATGATAATACTAATAATAAAATTAAAATTATTTAATTTATTTAATTTAAGTGAATAATAATTATTAATATATTGAAACGAATGAATAAGTTCTTTGTGTTTATTTTGGGGTTGTTGTTGAAACTACCATCGTAAGTAATTACAATAATAAAAATAGTATAATAAATTAATGAAATTGAACCATCAACTGTTTACCATCACAAAACTAGTAAAAAAACCAAACCAACTTGAAATCAAACAAACATAAAAAAGCACATATATGACTATGTCCATTGTCATTCTCTCTCTATTTTCATTAACTTTCGCAAACATTTTTGTCGCAAAGTCAAAGATATCTCTTCCTCAAAATAACATATTTGGTATTGCGGCAAGCGACTCGGGTGTTTTAACAGCGTCGGGAAATGGTTTGTCATTCCACACAGATACTTCCTATTTATTTTATTGATTTCAGACTCACATATAGCCAAAATATCTATTGTCACAGTGAACGACGACACTTTCGAGACGGTCCGAACAGATGGTCCATTTCGTAGTTTAACCGATGGGTATATTACAGAGTACTCCAAATCGATATCTCAATTTGTAGCATATGGTGGGGAGAAAGCTCGATTTGGTCGATTTTCTGATACCCTTGTTGGTGACTTAGTTGACTACGAGCCTGCGTTTACAGGGCATTCCACCTTCTTTATTCAAGAGAACGTATTATCGCTTGGGTTTGTTCCTGAATCGAAGAATGGGTATATCAAAGTGTGTGATATCGGTCATATCCCACGGCTAGATGCTCCAATAGTCCATCAAGATGACGTTGTTAAGTCAACTACATTTGCGGGTACTGGGCATTTACCGACTGATTTAAAGAGTATGGGGAAGGGGGTAGCAACTGTGTGTGTTAAAGATGCATCGAACGTATGTCACAATCTTCTGTTCATCGTTGGCGATCATGAAGGGCACGACTCGGTCTTCAGCTATTTGAAGATCTTTGAACTCCAAGATTTGTCTACAACAAAACCGTTTTATGACGAGACGTGGGGGACTTCTACATACGAATTATATCAGAACGATAAAGGATACTTCAACTTGGGCAATTTGTTCGGGTTCACGACGATGAAGCCACACTACAACGAACAAATGAAAATGCTGTTTGTCATGTCTGAGAACGCGGACATCGGAAGTGCGACATCTACAAAGACTCCATGTGTCATTGCATTCACCTTTTCATATGACAATGAGAACTCTAAAATTCGAATGACAAGTAAAATCATAACTACGCCAACCTTCGATTATGTCAAAGTCGAGAACACAACTTCCTTTGGGAAGGTGATGGACTCGACTGTAGTTGATGATGTCCTTCATCTAGTAATTTCAGCGCCAAGTGCAGTCGTACAACATGCCACATCTTCGTTTTCAATGGGTATAGTATATTACTACAAATACACGGCAACGACTGGGTTTGTCTTTAAAATGTATACGGTGCCTCCCGTGTTGGAGAACAATTATGGCTTTGGACGGGGAATATCGATATTGAGTGAGGGGAAGAAGCGGAGAGTCTTTATAATCAACGCAAAGGACAATCAAGTGTATGAGTCCGTCATTCCACTGTGTGGTGATGGTGTTGTGACTACTGAGATTGGTGAAGAGTGTGATTCAGTCTCTTCCAATTGTAATGCGGAACAATGTTTATGTCTTGATGGCTTTGTTTCAATGGATGGATTATGTGAGAGGAAGTGTGAGAGAGACACGTGTAAATGCACGAGCACTGATTCGTGTAGTGAGTGTACTTTGGAGCTTTTAAACATCTCCACAAGATGTCAAGAGTGTAACAACGGCTACGAGTTACTCGATGGAATCTGTAAAACGGTATGTGGTAACAAGATACGTACCAGTGACGAAGAGTGTGATTTAGTCGAGAACTGTGATGATAACTGTCGGTGTTTAACGGGGTATATACCATCCAGTGATAAAGAGAACAAGTGTGTGGTATCAAAGGTGACAGCTTTAACTGCATGGATGGTAGTTCAGATAGTGATTGGCATCTTATGTATAATAATAGTTGTCATCGTCGTATTAGTCAAAGTCGTTCGCAAGAAAATGGCGCGACTGAATATCAATGCAGCTGGTGGTGTAGCCGTGTATGCGTGCGGTTCGACGGCCAAATTGGATCAATTTGAAGAAGTTGAAGCTGAACGGTTTCCATTGTATAGTATCAACAATTCCCCATTCATGTACTCATTCGCAAACGACATATCATTTTACATCGAAGGTGATATGGATCATCGAGTCGAGAAGATCGAGTTGAAGAAGAGATACGTGTTCCAGTTGTTTATTGGCAACAAGTCCCTCAACATTGCTTCTTTTGCTATTGGAGACCCTCGTCTTGATAAGGATGACTATGATCTTGAGTTCATGCCAGACAAAGGCAATTTACAAGGCGGTGACATCATCTGCATATATGGCAAAGTGACCCCTTTACGAGAATGTGCAGTTAAAGAGACATTCACATTGACGGTCGTGAACTTGAACACATCAAAGTCGTTCATTCAGAACATTCCATTGACTTTCTCTGCTGAGGATTAACTGTTGTTATTCGTTATATTTGTTAAAATACTATCCGTTCTATTCCTCTCAAATAGACTCTGCAAATATCTTAGTCTTCTTTACTAACATCTGAAAGGTGAAGTGATTAAGATTACGACAGACAAACAGAATAAATTATATACGACAAAAGCACTGTGGCTCGCCTATAAATAGTTTAGTTTTACAACCAGATTACCACGTTTATCTGGTTGGCCGAGTACTGGTAAACCTATACCTAAATACTCGATAAATAAAGGCTTCTCGATTGATATACCGAGAGACATTTGATTTCCGTCGGGTAAGTTGATAAAGAAATTGTCTTCTGTGTAACTGACATCAACTGATGTTTTCAAATTGTTTCCATCTCTTGTGAAGTGTTGAGTCGGGTCGCAAAATGTGACTCGAACATAATTTGACTTTTGGTCTGCATAGAGGACATAATTAGTGTCTTGAGCCCCCGGGTCGATTTGTAAATCGACGCCATGACAATTATAGATACCACCACTGTATACCGTCGACAATGGAAATGGCACTAACTCTTCATTCAATTCTTTATCTTTTCCGATTGAGAATTCAAAGGATGTTTTACATTGCTTTCCATCAAAAGTCGAACCGTAGAAATTGGACGATTTATACGTATCGTCGGCAAACTTCTTTAGGTCCGAAAAAACAAGTTTGATCGACAACAGCTCGGGTTCTTTTCTTTGGTTCCCATACGTGTCCAAGTCGTATTTCTTAAAGACAACAACCATCTCTTCTTGATTTTGGATGGCCGAAAAAGGGACTTTAAAATTGATGACTTCTTCGATGTCTTGAGACCCTTTGAAGTCTGCACAGACAAGAAAAGAATTATTTTCATACGCGAAAATTGTTTTCTTGTTCTTTGTCTCAGGTAAGTTGTTCTTTAAGTGATCAATTTGGACGTCATGTGAAGAATTAAGTGCGGTTTGTGAATACAACGTGATTGATGCTTGGAGTTGATGTATCTGAGTCACCAGTTGATTGTTTTGGTACTTCAGTTGTCTGTTCTCTTCACGTAACAAACAGTGCTCTTTGTTCAAACGAATGTTCTCTTGCATTAACTCGGTGTTTGTCTTGCGAAGTCCATTAATTTCTTGTGTCATTAATGATGTATTCATTAATACATCGTTTTTCTCCTTAAGTTCATTTTGTAACTCAGCAATTTTCATGTTCGCCTTAGCAAGTAAAGTTGCGACCCCATAATTATCTTCATCTTTATATTTACCCATTGACATGTCACTTCGTTGCTTGGACGAAATATTCAAAACATCATCCGATAAGGGTTTCGTTTGTTGAAGTAAATTGGCCAATTTCATTTGATACCGTCGTACTGAATCAGATTGTTCAAAACTCGTCCGTGCAATTTGGTGTTTGTCTCGTTCAGTTCGTGTTGGAAGTTTAACACTCATCACCCCAAAAAAGTTTTCGAGTTTTTTTTTGGCTTTTTGTATTATGCAAAATTTTTTAATAATTTTTAGTATCATTCAACTAATAATATGTCATATCCGTTATGTTTTTTTAATTGTTTATTAACTTTTTTTTAGTAAAACAAAAATCATTTTTTTTGATGAATAAAAAAACTTCAATTATTGAAAAGTAATTGTATATTATTGTTTATGGTTGTTGATGATATGGTGAGTTCTTATAAAATCACAAAATTCAACACATTAAAAAATCATTTTTGAAATGTTTTATTACCAAATTAAAAAATAATATTTTTTTAAATAAATTAAAATTTAAAATTTATAAAATTTTAATAATATTTACAAATCATTTTTCACCTTTTTAATGATTTTTAAGTGGAAATAATTAAATAACGTAAAAATAACTTAAATGAACTTTATTATTTTTAACATTAACTAAAACTAAAAATAATGATAATAAAATAGTAGTTTTGTTATTTGACATTTTATTGAATTGAAAAACAAGTGAAAAACACAGCATCATATCACCAAATAAATAATATAGTCGGGGGATAAATGGCATTAAAAAGGGACAAAGGTAGTTAATTTTGATAAATATAATTTTGAAACTATAATTTTTAAAAAATCTATTTAAAGGTCAAAATAAACATAAAATTAAAATAATAATATAAATTATCGTTTTTTATTTTAAATGATTATAAATTGAATAATTATAAATTTCTATTTCAAAAATAAACAAAAACACCTCAATTTGTTTACTTAAAAAATGTGGAAGTCTAAAACGCAGCACTTTGTATGGTTTGTCTGAAACTTGTTTTGTTAAAGAATTTTTCCTTTGTTTTTTCCTTTGTTTCATTTCTTTTCTGCTCTTTTTCAACTCCAATTGTTTTTATGTTAAAATGGTCTTTCTCTTATCTTTTCTCAATGGGAATGGTTCAACAACGAAAGATTGAAAGATTGAAATAACAAATGATGATTTTTCAGTGATTCCCTGACACTTTCAAAAATTGACACTGTTGTTAATTCATTAAACTCTGGCATTTTAACCATATACATCATGAATATATTGAAATACAGTTTTTAAACTGGTATCTTGTATTTAAATTGCTTTTTTATGTTGATTGCCTGTGGTTGTTTCATCAAGGGTTCCTTTCTCTTCTTCTTTTATTGTTTTCAAAGATTGAATAATATCAAAAATAGAAAGTTATGGTTTTCTTTTATTATTTTCAAAGTAGTTAATTGAAAAAACCCTTCTAATACTTTTATAGTTAAAGAAATTATATTTTATAGTTTTTTACTCAAATTAACTACTTCTGTCCCAAATTAACCCCCTTTATCACCCGACTATAATGAATAATTATATATATTAGTAATAATTATATAATAAATTATAATAAAGAGTACGCCAAAATAGAATTGAAAGAGTTTCTCTATTAAAAGGAAAATGAATTATTTGATTGAATAAATTAATTCAATCAAACAACAATTTAAAATCAAAAGTGAAAGAAGAAGAATTTAATTTTTAATCCAATGAGCAGTGTGTGACATCAAAGCCGGAATTGAGTTCTTTTCGATCTCTTCTGGCAATGTGATCTTATTAATGTCCTTGTTTTTCATGACATAAACGTCGTGTTCTCTGCTTTGGAATCCATTGAAATTAGTCGCCAAAGAAATTGTATAAGCACCAGCACATGGGAAGACTACCCAGTCGACTCCTTCTTCCATTTCTGGCATTTTCCCTGCACCCACTTTGTCTGCTCCCTATATATTAGTGTTATATGTAGAATATAATATAATAATAATATAATAATATATTATAATCCTATTTAGAATTATAATAGAATTATAATATAATTATAATATAATTATATTTTTATATTTTTATTAAAATTATATTATTATTTTTATTATTCCATTCAATAAGAAGTAACAAACATTGCAAGAAGGTCCATAGATCAAAGAATCAAACTCCTCACACTTCTTACCGTATTTCTGTAAACAATAGCAGTCGTCTATCTTTTTAAACAAAAAGCAGTGAGCGAGTCCGCCATGAATTCCATCCCCAATTGTATAATCAAACTCTTTTTTGCCTTCTTCAATTCTCAAACGTTTCCCATGGACAGATGTTATTAAGTGGAAAGCGTCCGAAGCCAAGTATCTTCCCGGCTCTGCAATAAATTTGCTTCCAGCGGGGAAGTTCAGTTCTTTAATAGCGTTTTCAATCACTTGTGCAAACTCTTCAAATGGTTCTGTTTGTGAGAATCCTCCTCCAACATCGAAAGTGCATGGCTTCATTCCTCTCTTCTCAGCAAGAGCTGCAACATGTCTTGCAGTTGTTAAAGCTCCTTTGAACGCCTCGACATTGTGGAAATCACTTCCAACGTGGAAGTGGACACCTTTCATATCAAGACCAAGCTTTTCTATCTCGTCTAAAACTTCGACAAACTCTCGTTCGTCTTTCAGTCCAAATCGATCGCCAAGAGTATAACCGGCACTCGAGTCGTTCTTCATATCCTCATCATGATCCCCATCTTTGGCGCATACTTCGCTATCTTTCTAACTTCATACACTGAGTCGACCAATGTGAGTCTCACTCCAAGAGAGTAAGCAGCTATCAAGTCCCCAAATGGTTTATATGCCTGTGAGAAGGTGATGTCTTCCGCTTTGAATCCAAGGTCTAAGACTTCTTTCACTTCATTAAGTGTAGCACAGTCAAAGCCACATCCTAACTTCCCAACTAACTCAACTAAGTGTGGCTCTGGGTTACATTTCACAGCAAAACAGGGCTTGACCGTTGGCAAGTTTTTGTGCCATCTGGTTATTGCGTTCTCAACTGATTGGATATCAAATACCCAGAAAGCAAGGGGTTGCGTTTCTGGAGTGTATTTCTTTGTTATGTCCAATGCAAACTTGTTCAGAGCTTCTAGATCGACTTGGTGTTGGGCCATGTGTATGAATGGCTTAACAAGTTTGGACTTTATAAAACCCTTAGAACGTCTTCATAAAGCTCAGAGAAGAGGAAGGACCTTGTAGAAATCCAATATTCTTCTGCAACAGAAAACAGTACAAAAATCAGTGAGTTTCTGTATGCAACTTTATAACTCCCCCCAAAAAATGAATCGCTCGAAGAGTTTTCGTTGGCATTCAACATCTGTTGTGAGATTATTTCAGTAATAGTATAGTAATATTTATTATAATATATATCATGTTAATAGTAAAAAAATAGATCCATTAAATGGAAACGCAATTTAAGCCTTTTATTACCAAGAGTATTACCAGTGTTTTTATTCATTATTAAGAGTTTAAAAATCGAATTAAAAGTCGGGAAAAACGTGCGAAATGAAAAACCAATTAATCGACACACCTGGCAACCACAAGTAGAACTTTTTGGAGGAAATAAATTGAAGGAAAAATACAACTAAATAAAAATAACAACCATTATCGTTTTTGTTCAGCAAATTTGGCTCTTTGGTAATATAACCGTTCTTTTCAGTCGTTATTTATAGCAAATAACTCAGAGATTGAACTTTTGGTCAATTTTTGTTGTTATTGGTTTTATAAATTTGCCCTTCACCTATTATATTAATATAGTTTAATATGTTTAAGACAATCTGACGCTCTTTTCTGGTATGTTCCCGTCAACTAAAAATGCGAAGACAAGTTTCTCCATTGGGTTTTTGGGTTTTAGAACAATTCCATCACCAACCAAAAATAAACCCTCTTCGTTTTAGTTCCTTTTGTTGTTGTGGTGGTGTATTACTATTACTGATAGTATAATTTACTATAAATATAGCACATTCTGTTATTTGAAGAAATGACGTAAAAGGTGGGGACGTCATAGAAATTATTCATATTGGTCAAAAATCCTGAATTTGTTGTGGATATGAACCTTTTTGATGGAATTATCATGTCCCAAAAAGAAGTATGGCAATTCATTGGACAATTATCCTGTTTAATTCTCGGATAAAACGCTATTTTTATTCGAGAAGGGTTACAACGCATTTTTGGGAAAGTTTTTTAAATCCCCCAATTATTTTTTTGTTTTTGTACAAAAATTTGATTTTTGTGGTACAAAAGTGCAGTTGTTTGTATTTGAATAATGTTTTTGAAGTATATTAATAATTAATCCCGTTACTCTATGCTACTTGAGAGTGATAAAACAGAGAGTATTGGTTCTTTTGGCATTCACCTTTTTGAGAAGGGTGAATGCCAAACATAATTGAATAATTACACAGTGATAAATTTGTTGTTTTCTATCGTTAATTTGCATTTTTGTTTGAAACGGTTCATTTGAAAAGCAATTTCTAAACAATATGTTTGAATACTGTTAATAATGATGCATAATAAAAACAGAATAATGTGACTGAAGTGTTTTATTTTGTTTCACAATTAAAACGTTGAAAATAATATTTTAAAATACATAATCAATATAGACTGAATTTAAAAATATTGGATTTAATTAATAACATTTATGTATATAAACATGTATATTTTACATGTAATTGATTGATGTTGTTGATTGTATGTTTATTTAACACTTCAATATCTGTTATAAGTTGAGTACATAACACATTAATAATCATATACTTTGTACTTCTCTTTTAAATTTATTATTATTGTATTTTATAATCTATACATGTGTAAAAAGTGGTTTTTATAATGTAACTGTATTGTAAAGTTGGTATCATGTCAAATTCTAATCAAATGTTATTTTTTAATGTTTGAAATGCATACATAACAAACTTATACTTTATTTGAAAAAAAACTCTGGTATCTGAAAGTCAATTGTATTAAACAACTTAAGTGATCATTAAATTTCACATTTCATGAACATTTTGTTTTGTGGAATGTATCATTTTGTTTTGGTATATTATATGCTCAACAATTTAATATACCAATGAACTTCATCATTCAAACTGATATAAACCATTATTAAGTACATGTATAGGTAGTATTATATTATCAAATACATTGAAATTTGGGGTTCAAAAGTTCCAAAAAGTTTTATAAGGTGCTTTGGCTATATGAATAAAAAAACATTAATTTCAAAATCGAAATTATACATGGAGTTATACAATAAAGCTTTTTGAACTTTTGAAGAAGTTGTAACCCACAACATCTTAAAAACCGTTTAAGTTCAACTTTTGTTTTCGTATTATTTGAAATTACTTTCGGAAACAACAATTTAATGGTTTTTGATTACTATTGTACCATAATTAATTTATTCTCCCCTTCGTTATGTTTTTTGAATTATACTATATTTTTTCACATAAAAAGAGTTTCTTTCGTAAAGCTTTTAAATAAAAAAAATCTAAAATTATTTAAATCTTATAACACATCAAATTCAATACATTTGAAACATTATTATATAACTATTTCAAAATATATTAAATAGTAATATACCGTTAAAAACATATATTCTTTCTACGTTTTTAATAATTGTATTTTCAATGTTTGTGTATACAATAAAATAACTTTAAATACTATTCATAACATAACCTATTTGATTTTATCAAAAATGAAATTGACAAATAATTCTTTAAAAAACTACCTATTTGTTCTATTTTTAATAATTTACTTTTAAAAAAACATTTTATTATTTGAAAAAAATTAAAAATTATAAATTTATTATAATATATTATAACCAAACCAAACTTTTATTATCTAAACACATTAATAAAGAATAATATAATTAATTATATTATTTACTATATCAAAACATTGTAAACATCACTTGAAAATGCAAATTTGTTTTTGTAATGGAGACACCAGTTTTTCTTCGCTCTTTATTTTTATCAATTACTTTGTCTTTCACCGACTATATTCTTTTTGCCTCGCATCGGAAATTACAAACCGTTCAGAGTGTTTTATTGTATGCCATGGTATTGACTTTATTAACATTCCACCTTATATCCTTTTTTATATTCTTTGCGTTATTTGGTGTAGTCATTGTTCTTTACTCGGCTCAAAAAAACACCCCTGTGATCTTCCACTCACCAACTAAAGAATCAGAAGAGTTGTCAACCCACTTATCATTGACACCTTTCCAATTGTCCCCGTTCCTCTGTGACGGGGCGTTACAAACCATCACCGTCTTCCTCACAAAATACCCCAAGAATATGTCTTTCACCCGTCGCATGGTGACGGGGTTTGACGGGGGCGAGTTTGCTGTGGACTGGCTTGACTGCCAAGACACACTTCCCACCACCTCTCCGGTGATTATTATCTTCCACGGATTGGCTGGTGGTAGTCGTGAGAGTTATGTCCGACGATTTGCGGACGCTGCAAATAAAGAAGGGTATCGTGTCTGTGTCTACACGTATCGAGGGTGTGCCGGGACTTTAATGAAAACGCCACGCGCGTACAATGTCACGTGTTTAGAAGACACAGAAACGGTTATAAGTCATGTTCATCAAATATATATAGAGTCTCAGATCTTTTTGGTAGGGTATTCGATGGGAGGGATGATTGTAACGAGCGTATTAGGACGTCTTGAACATTTAAAAGAGAAATGTAACTTAGCGGGAATAGTTGCGGTGAGCTCGACGTGGAATTCATTGTCGTCGTCTGAATATATTCCATCAGCGTTCATGAAAGGCTTTACCGAGTCGCTTGTAAAGATCTCAAAGAAGAACAAAAACGTCTTTGAACGTGCGATGAAAGAGGGGAGAATAAAACTGTTTGATTTTGGACTTATGGATTATGTGAAGAACATCGCTACATTCGACAAAAACTTCGATTGCAAGATATTCGGCTTTGGTAATAACGAAACGTACTACTCGGACATCGAACAGTGGTACCACTTATTACCTCAATCGAATATCCCTTTCTTGGCAATTAACGCGTTCGACGACCCCATCGCAATTATCCCAGATGTCACTTTGGGTAGAATCAAAAATGCTGTTTCTGTCTCAAAAAATGTGATATTTGTGGTGACAAATAACGGAGGGCATTTGGGATGGGAAGAAAAAGGAAAGGGAATCACTTTTGTGGATAAGACTACACTCGAGTACTTCAATGCTTTATTGGGATCTAATAATAAAGGCGTCACAAAATAAATAAGATTGAGGTTTTCTTTGTTGTATTTAAAAATAGTTATAATTACTATACTTGGTAATACCACAATAATGGTGTGTACTATACTATATAATAAAAACAAATTATAATATATAATACATAACAATTTATTCTTAAAACTGTATTATAAACAAACTATTATTATAACCAAAGAAAAATCCTTCAAAAGCAACAATTGATTTAGAAAAAACATTTTAAAAAAAAAGAAAGAAACGATGAAATAAAAAAATAGTTAAAATATAGAAAAAAGTGAAACCCTGAAAAGAAAGGAAATCTCGAGATATTCCAGTCCTATGGTTGTAGTTCCAAAGGCTCGAAAGACTTATTGCCCTCGATGCAATAAGCACACCCCCCATAAAGTGTCTCAGTACAAGAAAGGAAAGGATTCACTTCATGCGCAAGGTAAGAGAAGATACGATCGTAAACAAAAAGGTTTCGGAGGTCAGACCAAGCCCGTCTTCAAGAAGAAAGCAAAAACTACAAAGAAAGTTGTTTTGAAGCTTGAGTGCTCGAAATGCAAATACAAACTCCAAAAATGCATGAAGAGATGCAAACACTTCGAGTTGGGTAATGAAAAGAAGGATAAGTAATCTTAAGCAGTATTGTTGTCATCTAGTTTATTTTTTATAGTTCTGTATAACTTGTTTTTAGTTTGTTGGTGGTTTCTTTTGATAGTTTTTATTCTTTTATTCATAACTATTTTTGGTTATTTAATAAGATCCGGTTCTTTCTTTTCCGATTTTGTTTGTCTATTTTATACTGAAACAAATTATTCCGAAGAAACGAACCTTATTGATTATTATTTTATATATATATAAAATATTAATACTCAATAGTTTAATACCTATTTATGAACTAATTATAAAAATACTTCATAATGTTTTATATTTGAAATAATGGTATACCTTTGGGAGTCAATTTTGACAGCCCGAAATAGAACAAAATTTGAAAAAAATATAATTAGCGCAGTTCTGATTAGGACATTTTTCCCGATTTTGGTTTTAAGTTTTATGTAATTTTTGTTTGTTGAATAACAAAAAGAACGCTCTAGAGCTGCCACGTCATAACATTTTAAGGATAAATTGCGAGTGAAAAAAAACAAACCAATCAGATTCAATCTAGTCTATAGATAGTAACTATTATCAAAATTATTAAATTAAATATATTTTATTATTTGTTTAACAAGTTGTTTAAAAAAAATAAATTTATCAATCTATTAGAAACATGTTTTATAGTTATAATGTGAAAGTCACTTTTAATATAACAATTGACCATATTGATAATCGTTTTATTCAAATATGATATTTAATTTGTGTTATCATTATAAGTTTTGAAATAGATTGTTTTTATCGTTGATGACATTGATCAAATGGTAATTTATGTGTGATGATATACGTAAAAAGTATCATTCAATAATTGATATAGTTTAAAGATATGTAACGATAATTTAATAACTTATGTTAATAAAATAAAATTTCAATTATTTATAATGTTTTTATTATATTAATACGAGTGTTATTACACTATCATTATGTTTTAAACACGATTTTATACCTATTTGTTCAAGGTATCTATTGTTTTAAAGCTTCTTGTATAATTTGTTGTCACATCACTACAAAAATTTGTGGAATAATAACTTAAATTATAATAAATAATAATAAATACAACAATTTTTAATAAAAAAATTATAAAAAAACTTATTGTTTTAATGGTTTCAAAGACAGATTTAATAATTTTGATAATAGTTACTATCTATAGACTAGATTGAATCTGATTGGTTTGTTTTTTTTCACTCGCAATTTATCCTTAAAATGTTATGACGTGGCAGCTCTAGAGCGTTCTTTTTGTTATTCAACAAACAAAAATTACATAAAACTTAAAACCAAAATCGGGAAAAATGTCCTAATCAGAACTGCGCTAATTATATTTTTTTCAAATTTTGTTCTATTTCGGGCTGTCAAAATTGACTCCCAAAGGTATACCATTTTAAAAATTAAAAATATCAAAAATAACTATTTTAATTAAAATAACAATATAAATAGTTAAGTTGTTATTTTTTTTTCCATTTCATACTGATTGGTTGTATTAAATAATGAAACGGAAATACAAATCCTGTGTTGATTAGTCTGTGTTACTATAAAAAAAGAGGAAAACAAAGTTTTAAAAGAAACAAAATGTCGTTTAATGACCAAAACTACTTTTTTAATAACAATTCTTTGAATAAAAACGACAAAAATGTACTTTAAGGAATTTATATTCATTTTTATCTAAAGTGATAATCCACAGAATGAATTGGAATAAATATGACAATGATAAATTTAACCATTAAAAAACTATTGTTTTTTTAATAAAACAAATTTTAGATTGTATTGGCATTTTAAGATACCATTAACCATTCTCACGTGTTTTTTTATTATTAATACTTTGTTTTCTTACCAAAATATCTGAAAATACATTTGACAAAGAGGTAACTGAAAAAAGAACTAAAAATACTTATAAAAGTTTGGCATTTCCTTCTTCATTCCACCACTTTTTTTAAAAATACGAACAAAACCAAACAAAAAACTATTATGTGGACACGCTATTAAACAAAAAATTCAAATTGATATTTCTGAAATTGAACCATCAAATTAATTATAAATAAATTAAATTTAAACTATACAAACAGTTTCTTGAAAAACGTGGAACCCACAAAAGAAATTTGATTTTTCGAACATCCTTATTGAAAGAAGAAAAAAAGAAAAAAAAAATTGTCTTAAAATCATATTTTTCTAATGCAGTTTTTAGTGCTGCTCTCTGTTTTATTATGTTTTGCAGCGATGGCTTCTGCGCGTGGCGGTGATGACCTAATTTTTGATTCCTTAGATTCGGACCTTTCCTTTGTTGACGAATTGATGGAGTATTCCCTTGAAGACAAGTTATTTAAAAAATTGAAAAGTGCTGTGAAGAAGGTCAGTAGTAAAGTGAGTAAAGTAGCGAAGAAAGCGACATCGGTAGCCAAAAAAGTTGGTAAGACTGCTGTCAAAGCTGGTGTCAAAGTTGGGAAGGCGTATGTCAGTTCCAAAGTTTCTAAAGTGAAAGCGGGCTTAAAAGTCGCGAAAGGGCTGAAGAAAGCAGCCACTGGTAAAATTAAGAATAAGTTAGGATCATTGAAGAAGAGTTTTAAGGACAAAGTGAAGTCGGTGAAGTCAGTAGGGAAGAAGTTTACGAGTAAGATAGGTAAGATCAGTACCAAGTTTACTAGTGGGATCAAGAAGTCGATGAGTGGGATGAAAAAGACGTTTAATGGGGTGAAGAGTTCAGTGAACAAAGGGATGAAAAGCATATCCACCTCGATGAAAAAGGCGACGAAGAAAGTGAAAGGGGTGATGTCCAAAACAGTGAAGGGAGTGACTGGTAAAGTCGTGAAAGGGATTAACGGAGTGAAGAATACTATTAAGAAGGGAGTTACTACCGTTAAAGGGAAAGTGACTGGCGGTCTTAATAAGTTGAAAAAAGGGATGAAAAATATAGCGGACAAAACAGTCAAATTTGGGAAGAAAGCGACTGCCGCTATCAAGAGTGTAGGGAAGAAGGTGAAAGAGAAAGGAAAAGCGATTGGAAAAGAATTGAAAAAGTTGGGGAAAATGACTTCTGAGAAGGCGAAGAAATTCTTTGGGAAGAAGTGGGACCAAATGAAGAAAGGAATGAAAGACAAATTAAAAGACATTAAAGATAAGAAACAAAAGAAACAACAAATGGATTTGATGCAGAACAAATGTTATTTAGAAGCACTCAGAAAATGTGGGTGTTGTCCTAAATGTCTTGCTGAAGCCGAGAAACAGCAGAAGAAATTGAAAGCAAAGAGTACGTCTTCATCATCTTCAAGTAAATCATCTTCATCAAGTAAATCGTCAAGTTCTTCGACGTCTTCATCAACATCGGGTGGATCTTCTTCGGGTGGATCGTCTGGTGGTGACTCTGGAGCTTCAAGTGGTGGAGATGCAGGAGCATCTTCAGGAGGATCTAGTGAGTCCAATGCCGGTGCTTCCAGTGGAGGCAGTTCTGGAGGGTCTTCATCGAGTGGAGGAAGTTCATCATCCGGAGCAGATAGTTTGTTATGAAATTATTAATAAATTTCTTCTAATTAATAGGTGGAGCTTCGTCAGGTGGAAGTTCAATGGGTGGTGATGGTTTGTTGTATTTACTCCTTTTAATGACATTAAGACTCACAAATAGTTACTCCAAGTACTCCAACTGTCCCAACTCCAAGTGTTCCAACCCCAAGTGAACCCGTTCCAAGTGTCCCATCTACTCCTTCGATACCTACAACACCATCTGAACCAAGTACGCCAAGCACTCCTTATGTGCCTCCTCCTACTCTACCAAGTACACCAAGTGTCCCAAGCACTCCTTCAGAATCGGGTTCTAACTCAAATGCTAATGCTCAGATGCAACAAATGATGCAACAGCAAATGCAGCAAATGCAACAGATGCAACAACAACAACAGCAGATGATCATGAACGTACCACAACAAACACAAACGCAAGCCCCACCAACTATCATTCAAGTCCCAGGAGCTCCAGCAACCGCAGCACCCCCTCCTGTGATCAATTTGCCGAACATCAATATTTCTAATACAAACGACAATAAACAAGAAAGAAAAGTCGACAAGAATGTGACGAAGAAGAAAGAAGTCGAAAAGAAGAAACACCGAGTCATTAAAATCCAGTCGGACCCCGAGGAAGGATTTGCGGAGAGTAAAGTCGTCATCAAAAAGGAAAAGAAACAGAAGGAAAAGGTTGTTCCCGTGATTATCCCCCCTGTCCGACCACACTTGAGACCTCAAGTGAAGCCCGTTGTACCAGAAAGAAGAGTCGAAGTCCCTCAACAAGTCATTGAAAAGGTCGTCGAGGTGCCTAAACGTGTTGTGCAGAAGCAAGAAGATCCTGTTGTGGTGAAGAAAGTGAATGTCCCGAGTGGAGTTGAGCCGATTGAGAAAGTTGTGAAGACTCATGTGGCGAAAAAGGTCATTGTGAATATCGCGAAGAAATTAATACCGAAGTTTAAACCAATCAGAAAACACTGCGAGTGCATTCCAACAGATATCCCGTGTAAGGAAAGCGCAATCAAGAGAAACAGAAAAGAACTGAAAGCTATTAACGAGGTACTCAGACATTTATAATACATTTTTTTGTTGCTCATGTTCTGCACTTTGAAAGGGGAATGTCAGATACTAAATAAGTATCAGATTAGGGTGGTGATAAAATAAGAGGATTGAAAAATCAAGGAATAAAGTGGTGGAGCGAAGATGTTTGGTACTAGCACAACAACTCGTAAAATGAAAATTGGAGAAATATGCGAGAAAATGACATTTTTAACTTTGTGGTAATAAACACCCGCGTTTTTATTCAAAAAGCATCGTGTTTGGTAACATTCTGGAAATTATCCCATGTCAAATAACAAAAAATGAAAGTATTTATAAAACGGGATTTTTGTTTTTTTTTTGATTGGCCAAAAAAGTTCTGCTAAACCCCAAAAAGTTGGTTTGGGCGTATTTTTCTTTTGTATCATATTTTAATGGTATAGTTATAATTTAATTATTAATTAAAAGCTAGTAGAGAAACTTCACCAAAATAAGTGACGTTTTGGGATATCGAGAATTTCCCGATTAGTAGCGGTATTTAAGAACTGACGTTATTAATATCTGCATTATCAAAAACCTCAAACTAGAAAATAAAAAAAAATCAGAAATAAAAAAACGGATATATTTAAAAATAAGTAAAAGTAATAAATTGTCAATATTTACAAAGTGAATCCCGATATCATGATTGAAAACTGCGGAATAAAGAAACTTGAAAAGGGCAGAGAAATAAAAAAGTGTCCAATCACAGAGCGGAATGAGAACTGATTAAAAGCCAACAAAGAGAAAAAGAGATCGCGAAATAACTTGAAATTGTGAACTGAAAAATTCAGAAGAAAGGAATGAAGGTGTTAGTCCTCGGTGGTACTGGATTTGTTGGCCGCAATTTGGTCAAGATGCTGATGGATGGAGGGAAGACTTCGTACATCCGATCTGTCGATAAGGTCTTTCCCGAGACTGCTTATTTAAGTGCGGAGCACTCCGCTGTCTACGCTGATCCACAAAAGTGTGAGTTCATGCAAGGCAATTTAGTGAATCAAGCCTCAGTGTCTAAAATGTTTACTGTTGATGGAGGCTTTGATGTTGTCTATGACTGTGCTGCTGAGACTAAACTTGGACAAGACGCTTTCATATATGAACAAAAGACTTATGGATTAACTAAGATGGTAGCGGAAGAGGCGGTCAAGACTAAAGTCAAAAAGTTCATTCATTTGTCGAATGCACAAGTCTATGACTCATCATCCAAACCTAAAGATGAAAAAGCAAAGATCAAGCCGTGGACTCGACTTGCAACGTCGCAAGCTAAGGCCGACGATGAACTCCTTAAGATGAAGGATTTACCAGTCGTCATTTTGAGACCATCTATTATTTATGGACAAGGCGACGTCACTGGTATTGCTCCACGTATCATCTGTGCCGCTGTTTATAAGTTCACTGGGAAGAAGATGGAGTTCTTGTGGACTGGAGATATGAAGATGAATACCGTTCATGTCAAAGACGTTTGTAAGGCTATGATCCATTGTGCTACTGAACCAAAAATCACTATTGGGTCCATCTTCAACTTGTGCGACAAAAACGATACAACACAGAAAAAGGTCAACACCATCTTGGAAGAGATTTTCAAAATAAAAACTGGATTCAAGGGAACTATCATCTCAACGGCCGCAGAAAAACTCGGAATGGAAGATGTGTGCGAAACAGTCAATGATGAACACTTGAAACCATGGTCACAACTGTGCAAGGAAAAAAATCTTGTAGGGACTCCGCTCTCCCCATTCTTGGACCAGGAACTCTTGTACAACAACCCGTATTGCATCGATGGGTCTGCTATCGAAAAAACAGGATTCACTTACGATGTACCTAATATGACAACGGACCTCATAAAAGACGAAATCAAGTACTTCTCAGACTTGAAACTCTTCCCAGTCTACTAAGATCAATTCACCAGTTTTGTGTGATTTTTTAAAGGTTTTTTATTAATATTTTAATAAAACGTTAGTTTTATGGTTGAATTTAACTGTCAAGTTAATTAACAAGTTTATTCAATTTAAATTAAAAATTTAAATTAATTTATATTACATATTATATAATAATTATAAAACAATTATAATTAAAATCAACACCAAAACAATTAATAGTTATGTTATAATTTAACATAGTAAAACTCGGACTAAATATAAGTGAAAGACATTTTTTATCCATCTACAAAAATCAAACTCAAGAAGTGAAAAAAAAAAGAAAAAAGATGAAGAACTTGAAAATATTATATTTTGAGGATGTTTGTGTTTTTTATCCTGTTAGTAGCATTTACTCTGGCAAAATCAGAGAAGAAAAAGGAAGACACTGAATCATATAAAGATATTACACTTCCTGACTCAGTGATTAAATCGAAACTGAGAGTTGCAAGAAGACTTGAACAACAATTGAAAATGAGTTCAGCCGACGCGAAGCACGCAGCGGAATCCATTTTGTCATCAATTGATGAGACTGCGATAAATCCAACACTTGAAAGAGCAAAGGCCGTTGCTTCGAAGGTGAAAAAGGCGGCTAAAGTGACTGAAAAACATATGAAAGGGAAGAAATTGTGTGGCGATGAATTGATTAACTTGGCTAAGATGTACGACGACAAAATTAAAGTCCCCAAATTCGACATGACAAAATTGAACGACATGATCGACGCGGCCGTGAAGAAATACACCGTAGCAAACAAAATGAAGAAGGTCAAGTGTATGCTGAAGAAGGCAAAGAGAGAAGGACTGAAAATCGAAGCACCCAAATCCGATATTAAAAGACCACTCAAACTGACTTTGGCTCAACAATATCCACAAATCGCAAAGCTCATACCTGAAACAGACTCTTTCATTGACTTCAAGGAAAAGGAAAACGCAAAACAAATGATTCAGAACAAACTCATTAAGAATAACTAAGAGCGTTGTGTTCTTTTTATTTATTTCACTTCGTAAAAATTACAAACACATTGTGTAATAAATAACATTTATAATACCATTTTTTGTGTTTTTAATGGTGTTATACATGAATTAATTGATATCTATTATTTATACTATTGTAGATAATATTACTTGAGGAAGAAAAGTGTATTAAAATTAAAATAAAAATAATTTAATGAAACAAATGGCGAAATACTCGTCACATAAAATGACTTGATTTTGGCTCGAAGAGTAATTTGGTCTGAATCTTCTTGTAGTACGATATGTTCTTTATCGAGTCAATGTGTGGAAGAATCCAATTCGACAATTTGACATGGTACTCTCTTGCTATATTTCAGTACATATTTCTTAAACAAACAACAAACAGGAGTTTTCTAAGCACGTTTGAATAACATAGTTCGAGAACGATCCTTGCAAAAGCCTCTCAACATCTTTGTATTGTAGAAACTTGTCGAACATCAGTTCTTTCACACCAACCTCGTCCGACATCACAAGTTGCTCAATGACATTCGACGAGAATTTCTGTGTCGACAAAACGATTAAGTCGTCAAGTATTATTTTCGTCACATCCATACAGACATGGTCCACATCAACTTTTAATATATACTGTACCACATAATTTCCATAAGGGTCTGTGATGATTTCAAGTGTGTTGCTAATCACCTTATCTACCAATTTGTTCAACTGACCTCTGTTCCCAAAGTCGATGCATCTCTGTACAACACAACACCCGTGTTTGTGTTCACAAATCTCGACGAAGGAATCTCCAAGTATGCCATCAAAAATGAACTTGTTTTGCTCTTTTGAAAATGTTTTAAGGCATTCTTGAATCACATGATTGCCATTCCCATCAAAAACCAAGTCGACGATATGTGGTGAGAGTGATAGAATCAATTCATCTATTTCTGCTTTTGTGGTGGCACAGTTTATCATCTTCTGTACACTTCTAGTCCCATGGATATTTTTAGAAATGATTCCGATATTGTTCGACACGCATTTCAATATATCAAGGCGTTGTTCATCATCAACAACTTCAATAAGTTTCTGGCACAAGTAATTCCCGAACTGGTCAGCAATGAGGTTGTTCATTATAGGGAGCATTCTTTCATATATTTCGTCTATTGCATCATCATCGTCGTCTTCTAGTTTTTTTTGGAGACACCGACACCCAAACTGGTCGCAACACATCTTTAAAAATTCATTGTCGTCGATGTTCTCCATTTTAGTCATATCACCAACATCGGTATAACTCTGAAAAGTGCCAAATTGTTGTTGTACTTGATCCCCAGGCTTTACATGAAGAAACTTACAGTTACTACCGAAGACACATTGTCCGAATTGATAGTACTTGCAAACTCTTTGTGTTTTGGGCACAAAAGAAGTTGAAGCATGTCTATTATCTCTATACGGTGTCATCGTTTCTCGCTTGGTGAAGACCAATTCTTTTTGTTCCGCGTTTGTGTTTGGTGTTTGTGGTGCCGTGAATGAGGAGTGAGTCGGTTGGTCGTCATCCAAGAGTTGGTTAATAAATTCTGGGATTTCTTCTTGTCGTTCATCTGGAAGAGGTGATCCTCGTGGACTCTTTTATATTAGAAAAGTTCTTTGATGAAAAGAAACAAACGTCGAATGGAGCATACCTCTCGCGACCACTTGGAAATAGCGGGAATTCCTCGCTCAGCCCCATCATCTCCTTTTTCTTTTTAAGTTACTTGTTCTCATTCGACTTTTGACGATTTATAATCCTTTATATGTTCCGTCGTTCTGACGAAACGAAATGGGTGATTTGGATTGTTCTCAAAGTCTCATGGTTACAATCTTTTTAGAATTGTCAAGAATTACAATATGTGCCTTTATTCTTTTATTGAAAGAAGAATCACAAAACGGTTTATTGTTTATAAATCTAATATTTTTATTATTTGATTATTAACATGTTTCTTTCTTATTGATTGATGCGACACTTTTAGGATTAGATAACTGATAATCTTATTATGTTTTTAGAAATAACAATATGTAGTTAATTGGAAACACGTTGTTTGAATTCACCAATTTAACCACAAAATAACAAATAACAATAAAGCTAAATAACGGGTTTATCTCGTTATTCTATTTTTGTTTTTTACTAATATATTATAGTTTAAATAAACCAAATTAATTATTAAATATTTGTTTGTGAATCTAATTAATTTATATTAATAGAAATATAAAACCATTATTTAAATATAATAATTAAAACAATTATTTTTTTTATTTCATTTTATTTGTTTATAATTTAAATATTTATAGTTTGTTTGTATTAAATATAAATATTAAAAAATGTTAAACCATCATACAATAATAATAAAAGATTAATAAAAAATTAGAAATAATAATCATTTCAAATTTTTAATTTTTGATTTGTATCTTGCAAATACATTGGCGTGTTTAGTGGTACACTCTTCAACACAGACAGAACATGCTGCAATCATATTATTCATAACAGTTTTTGAGTCTTTGTCGAGTGTTTCAGCCTTTTTCTTCATAATAATGAGTTCATTTGTCATAATTTCAAGTTCTTTGACGTATTCATTTTCTTTCTCGTCAAACCGTTTTAAGTCGTCTTTATCTTTTAATTTATCAACGATCTCTTCGATCTCGTTGAGGCAGCTTGTGACTTTTTTTGCTTCGTCTTGACTTTTTGAATCAAATACGCCCGAAAATTCATGATTTTTTGCTTCTCTTCGAGTTTTTTCACTTTTTCTTCTAGTGGCCAAATAACATTTTTTGCATAACACGATTTTGACGTATTCGGGCGTTGGGTCCATAATCCCCATAATTAAAGTTGGGGCAATAGTTGTGTGAAGACTACAACCAATACAACACTTTCTCAAGCACACCTCACACGTCACATTCATATAATCTCCACCATTCATATAAATATCACAGACGGGACAGACTTGATTAACTCCGACCTCTTTTCTTGCAAACAAAAAATTTGTTTTCGAAGGTTTTTTATTCAAAAAATTTTCAAGGCCTTTAGTCATCACCATTTCGTCACTTTTCACCGCCTCCAACGCACTTTTCCTCTTTTCAAAAAATTGCAGTGTATAATCCTTAGTTTCCCCAATGTGCTGGTTCTCATTCTCGTTGTACAGTTGTTTGCACTCTTTACATAACACGTAAGGCTTTAGCGCCTGTTTCTTACTCATCAGACTTTTATATGTCGGTATAACTATTTCTAATTCACTCTTATGTTCTACACAATACGCTACATGGCAGATCGAACAGACACAAAACTCTTCGGGAGATAAAGATGTCGTTTTATTACAATTGGGATATGAACACAAGGGTTGTCCCATCATAGTGTACCGGGTCTTTGTCTTCTTTACTGTTTGTGTGCCTTCTCCTCGAGGAGGTTCAGGACTTAGATACTGTTTCTCGGTACCCCTTCGGACAGCTTGTGATCCAAACAAGGAGAGGACAGTTTCTGTTGTTGTCTTTGGTTGTTTTTTGATGTCCAAAGGAACAAAGCCTTGGAGCTCTTGGTTACTCGTTGGCTCCTTTTTCTCAGTCACTGGAGTTGGTATAGTACTTTGAATAGTTGTTTTGTTATTTGGTATAGTTTGAAGTTGGTCTTTGTTTAATGAGACGGGATTAGTATTTGGAATAGTTAATTTATTTAATTTAATGATTGAAGTATCGTTCTGAGTAGTAGTTATAGTAAGTCCTGATTGTGGATTTGGAATAGTATTTTGTATAGGTATATTACTATTTAATTTAGTTTCAAGTTGAGTCTGTTCGACATGCATCTCTTTTTTATTCTCGATAGTAGAAAGTTGAGTAGGCAAGGGTGACTGCACTTGATTTTCTATTGGATGAACACCTTTCTCTTGGTCTTCGTCTTTAGACTCATGAAGATCAACAGAAGCAAGAGGAATTGGGGATGGGATCTCATTATTGACAATTTTTGGTTGTTCAAAAGAATGGAGCACACCATTAGGTTGAACTTGAGGTGGTTCAATTGGTACATTTTTAAAGTATTGACTTTGTGGATTCACATAATTGAAATTTTGTTGGTCGTAACAATTTTGGTAAGGATATAATACTGAACCTTGTATCATATCATCCGGACAATCTATTTCAGGAACCGTGAACTCTGGGTCGTCATCGTCTTGTTGTTCCATGGGAACATTTTGAGCAGGAAGAGTATTAGGTTTTTTAATAGTTTCGGAATTATTAACTATAGTTTCTTTTGGTTGAAGAGATGATTCTGGCAATAGAGACATTTGCTTAGTTAAAGGTTGAGTATCAACCTCTTTTATTTGTTGTGGTAAAGAGGTTTTGGTATCCATTTTCTTTGATTGAATTTCGACTTGAGGAGTTAAGCCTTGGAGCTCCAAAAGTTCATTAAATTCTATTGACTTTTGTTTGAGCGAAGCTTCTTGTTTCTTCAATTCGAATTCTTTTTCTTCAACAAGTTTCTCTCTGCGCTCGACCGCTAACTCCCGTTTTGTTAAATCACTTTGAAGTTGTAACAGTTGCACTTCCCACAACTCGATTTCGTGCAGAGACTTTGACTGCATTGTTTTTACTTGAGTTTTTTAAAGTTCAAATATTATAGAATTTGTTATTAGAATTTGTTTTATTAAAATGTTATTACAATTATTAACAATTTTTTTATATATTATTGTTTTTTCTATTTTTAGTCGTTTGTTTTTATACTTATTTTTAATGTGGCTATTTTATTGGTAATAAATCAATTTACTTTCTTCTTTATTATAAATAGAATTATTATTGGTTGATAGTACTATATTTTTACTATTAAAATTATTCAAAGATGTTAAAGAATAGAAATCTGGTAACAAAGACAGATTTAAAGACGATTTGGCAAAATTGGGATTATTCAATAATATATACATTATTTTATCATTTTAAAGCTAATACATAACAATTAAAAATTATAAAAAATAATACTATTTGCATACTACAAAATAATTGGAACAAACAAAATAATAATTCTATAACATATTGTATTAACACTTTAAACAACAATGAACAAATATCAAGTGGTTTAAAAATCAGGAAATCTCGAGTTTATTAAATAAATTTCCGTTTTTTTAGAGTTTATTTCATTTGCATAAACAATACACAAGCCAAAAAAGGAAAAGCATCAAAATTTGTGTTAATATCCCTTTAATAACAGGCCAAAACAAAAATAAGGGAGTTATTTTAAGTGTTAATTACTAAAATTACTTCTTAATAATAATTTCCAAAAAGTTAAATAAAACTAATTAAAATTAATAATAATAAGTATAACATTTGGTTAAAAATAATTTTATTATTAAATTTGAATTATAAATTATTCAAATTAAAAGTTGATTATAATTAATTATTATTATTATTTTAATTAAAATAACTATAATTAAATTGATAATATTGTAACTTTTTCTTAAACTTTTCGTACATTGTAATTTTTTATTATCCCGTTTTTTTAAAGAAATCATATATTTTATATACACGTTGTACTAACGTATTACCACTCATTTTTTACTATTTATATTTACTTTGTTTTTAATTCATTTCTTCGGTGTTTTTTTATTTAAAAAACGGGCGTTTTCCTTTCAAAAAAAATATCACATTTCTAGATCTAAGTTATGTTTTTGTTCCTTATTAAATAGACAGAATAAAGTAAGTTAATTATAGAAAAAGCATTTTTGAAATTATTTCAAAATATAATTAAATTGGATTAAATCCAAAAATGATTATTCTTATTATTTGGTATGGTAAAGTGGTTTGTTATTTTAACTATTATTTTTTTAACTTTCTATAGATCAATACACCAATTTGTTTTTTTTTATTATTATTAATAATAATTTGGCATATTTTTTTATAATAATTCAAACAACTCCTTTTATTATAATAGAATTAGATATAAACTATTTATATACAAATAAATAAGTAAAGAAAAACAATTTGGGAAAAAAACGCTTTATTGAATGCAATTCGGCGATTTATACGTTTCACCCTCACCCAAAAAATAATAGAAAAATAGAAAAAACCGAACTAAATAAAACTAAAAGCTAATGTCTAAGTTTGTTCTTATCACATATTACCAATTACTCTAACATTTCAGAGAAACGGCTCAACAGAATTCTGTCGGCGTTGTTCTTATTGGTCTGCCAAAGACTGGGAAAACGGCACTCGCCTGCCAATTTTGCGTTTGTGACATTTTTTTCATCTAACAGAGATATTCCATACTTTATAGTATTTATTTCTATTAAATATTAATAAATAGGACCAACCCGCTCCTACTGAGTACAATGCAACGACTATTGACACTCCAATGGATACCACTTTGACTATAGGAAAAGCAATGTATAACTTCACATTTGTTTGTTCTATTTTTAACATATGTAAAACACTGTTATTGAAGAATAGAATGACTGTTCTGGAAGTGCACTGTTAAACAGCAGAACCACTGCAAACACAATACTTTCTAAAGGGAAAATCCATATCTTTGTGGTCTCCCCAACTGAGTCAGACTCCGCAGAATACATCCAAGGCTTCTTTAAAGACCTCACAAAAGACTCGGAACCCATTTACAGATTCGTCTTTGTCACTCATAAAGAACAAGAAGACAAAGACGGAGTCGTCGCAAGTTTAAAAGACTTCATCCCCGACGACTGTAAAATTTATCAATACGACGTGCTCAATCAAAAAGATGAAATTGTCAACAACTTCACGGATTTCATGAAGAGAGCACTTGTCGAACACAAAGAACTCTTCGAAGGGTGCCTCGCGACCGAAAAACCAAAAAAGGCACAACCCGCAGACTCGGCTAAACAAGGCGATGCTCCAAAAAAGAAAAAAGCCTGCTTGATCTTCTAACTTATGTTATCCAATTCATATTTTTGTTTTATTCTTTATTGCCAATCTAGAAGTATTTGGCTCTTACTTTCATCCACAAAGTAAATTTCATCGATCGTAAATTTAATTTCAAAAATTCGTTTGTTTCTAAAAAACTCGAAACCATGTGGTATTGTTCGTTGAATTATTATTGCTCCATTCAGAAAAAGAAAGAAATAACAAGCGACAAAAAAGCATTTACGGCAATTCAATTGGTTGGCACTTTGTGATTCCATATTTACCAGCAAATGGGCAGCTGAATCCGGGCTTGCCGGGCTTGTGAATCATGTTGTGATATTTGTTATGAATGAAATCGTAACATTTTGTCAACTTGTTGCGGTTGACCTTTTTCCCACAAATAATACGCGCGATCTTTCTCTTTCGCGCCTCCTCGTCCATCTTCTTGTTCGCTACCTTTCTGAATCTGATGCACCTCTTCTTCCAAAGAAGCTCGCGCTTTGTCAAGAACATCTTGTTCAACTTAGCCTTGAGTTCGTTGATTCTCTTTTGTCTGCTCCTCTCTCTTATTCTCTTCATAACCATAATTTTGGCTAACGTCTTTTGATTCAAAATATCTTTCTCAACACCACTCAGTTGCATCTGTTTCTGCATTTCCTCCTCTTCCAATTTGTGGATTTTTAACTTGAACGAGTTGATCAATGTTCTCTTCTCATTTATCTCGTCGGCTTTTTCTTGTAACATTTTTCTAATCAAAAGGGCTTTCTTTTCAGCTCTGATCTTTTTCAAAGTTTCGGCACTCTTCTCGTCGTAAACTTTTGCAACGGTTTTAAGTCGTTTAAGCAAATCTCTGGCTTTGCAGTCAAGCGCCTTAATTTTTGTTTGCTCGTCCAATTTCTTCTTATAGATTGTCTGTTCTGCAAGTAACTTTTTCGACAACACATCCTTGAGCGCCTTGATCTTCAAATATCTAATTTGTGTTCGTCTCGCCTTGATCTGTGCGTTTCTCAGTGCAACTCTACGGATCCTTCTGCTTCTAATTGCCTTTTTCGCTAATTTTTCTGCCTCTGCGACTTCTCTCTTCGCTGTCATCACCTCGCTTTTTAACTCTGCCGACTCGATTTTTCTCTTTCTCATAAAATCTTCCTTCTGCAACATCAAAGTAACCGCCTTATCTTTCAAGTCTTCAATCATTCTTGCCTTTTGTTCAGCTTTCTTCAAGTTTTCTTCTTGGAGAAGCTTGTTATATTGGATGCCTTGCTTGACAATTTCCCTCTTGATCTCCTCTGCTTTTCTCATATTAAACAGTTCTCTCTGTGTCGACTCTATGGTCAAAAACTTCATCTTTCTCTCGACCTCAAGTTCCTTATTGAATTTTTCCAACTCAAGTTGTTGAAGCTTTCTCATCTCAACCTCTTTATTGACGAGTGAGTCTTTTCTCTCCTTTCTTTCCTTGTCGAACTTTTGAACCAACTCAAGCCGAGCCTTCTTCAGCGCTTTCTCCTCTTCGATTTGTTGTTTGATGGTGTCGGCCTCAACCTTTCTTCTCTTTTCCGCAAGTGACTTTTTGAGTTCGGCAATTGCTTTCTTCCTCTTTATTTCATCGATCTTGTCCCTCAACGCAATTTTTCTGTTGTACTCAATGAGCTCCATGTCCTGAGCGGTCGCGTTTTTGTCAGCAGTAAGTTGGTTGACCATCTCAGCCAGCGACGCGTTGGCAAGCACATTTTTGATTTTTGCACTCGAAAGCTTCCCGGCCAGCCGGGCTTTAGTTTCCAATCGTTCCGACATTTTTTCAATCTGAGTGATTGACGCCTTATGATTTTTGGCAAGGGTTTCCGTCGCCTTGTTAAGCGCAATCTCGGCCAATCTTTTCTGTTTTTTTATTTTCTCACTCTCAATCTCGGCGTCCGCAATTTCTTTGATTAAACTCGCGGTTTCGTTTTGCTCAAGCACTGATTTTTGAGTTCCCACAGTTGAATTTTGAGTTCCTTGTGTACCATTCGTGCCGTTGGTGCTTACAACTGCATTCACTGCCATTACTATCACAAAGATTAAGTAAAGCATGTTTTGAAAATTATGGAGTTTTGCAGTTCAGATCTTCTATTTTGGTTTTTTAATTATTTGTTTGATTTCTGCAAAATGGGATTTGAAAATGTGATTCACTTTTTTTTGTATAAATACAAAATGTTATTATTATTGTTATTATTAATGTTATTCAATCCATATTCAAAAACAATGAAAATTTTTAATCAAAGAATTAAATTTGAGATATATAACATTTTATTTATTTTATGAGGTTGTGTTATGGCAAACAAAGAGAGGAGGATAATAAGTAATGTTGTGTTTTGACGAACTCGTAAATGAAAACGTAACTATTATTTTAGTTAAATTAACCTATGAATAACTAGTTGAAATAGTGCCATTGATTTTGTGAAGTGTTTTGGACAAAAGAGAGAAGTTGTGTCCACGTGGATAATTCAAAAAGAGAGAATTGGTGTTATGGTAGTGAATTAAAATATAAAAATTAACACATTGGGCGATGATTTTTGACAGTGAATAAATAGAACAAAACAAAACAAATAAAAACGAGATTGTGTGCGCGGAATGAAGCTGTCAAATGGGATATTTAAGGGAGGGAAAAACAGAAAATAAAAAAGGAATCTCAAAAAAGGGCGAAGTTATTAATAGAGGAACTCGAACTCTAAAAATCATACTTTTACACATGCAAGTGTTGCTCATCTTATCTGTTGCAATAGCAGCCATTGCTACCCCAAAATGCCCACAAACGACTGTGTCGAATGTAGTCGGTGATTTGAATCAGAAACAACCGGCTGGAACAAAGGCCTTAGCCCTCGAAATGTACAAGAAGGCTTTGTTGACTGATGATGTCAAGGTCCCAATTCAGAATAGAACCCAGGCAATTAAGGATAGACTTAACCAAATCACCAATTCGACTGCTGTAAACAAGACCCAGGAGGTTAACCTCCAGATCGAAAAGATCAACGCTAATATTAAACTCATCGAAGAGGAAACAGCTCAGGTTAACGCCTCTATCGCCGAGTCATTGAAGAACATCAATGAAACCCAAAACAACGAGAAGAAACAGCTCGAGGAAAAAATGGCCGAAATCGCAAAGGAAAGAGCTTTGATCGATGCTCTCAACAAAAAGAAGGAAGAACTCAGAAAGAAGACCATTGATTTGTTAAGACTCAAAGTCACTGCCGAGAAAATTATTGAACACCACGCCGAGCAGATGAGAGAAAGAAGAAGATTCATTAAGGATTTGGAATCTTCCAAGAGAAGAGTCGAAAACACAAAGAAGGCTTTGGAAGTTGTTAAGGAACAGGAACAAAAGAAGAGAATCGCTGCCATGAAAAAGGCCAAGATTTTGACTCAGAACTTGAGAGACCAGGACACCGCCCAAGAAATGAAAGAAAGAATGATTAAGTTGAAACAAGATAGACTTGCTGAGATCATCAGAAGAAAGATGCTCATTCTCCAGGAACAAATCAAGACCGCGAAGATCCAGAACAACGAAGAACAGAGAGTTGCTCTTGAGAAGAAACTCCTTGAACTCAAGAGATACAAGAAGGCTAAAATTCACTGCGCCAGAAACGCTCTTAGAAAGTACAAGTTAGTCAACCAAAAGAAGATTGAGGACTTGAAGCAAAAGGTTCTTGACACTAAACTCGCTAATAGACTCACTGTTGAAAAGAATGACTACTTGACCAAGATCAAAGCAGAGTTGGCCGACGAAATTGACGAACTTAAGAAACAAAAAACCGCTTTTGAAACCGAGAAGACCATTGAAGAGAAAACCATCGACAATCAACTCAAGATTGAATCCGAGAACTTGAAGGCTGCCCAAAAGGCTCAAGTCAGAAAGGACTACGCGTACAAGAACAACAGAATCGATTTGGCTGAACTTAGAAACACCGTTTTGAACGCTGAGAAGGCTCAACTCGAGAGAAAAGCTGCCAAGAAGTTACTCAAGGGTGTTATTTCATCAACTGCTAAACAGAACGCCATTGACAATAGAGCAAATCTCGACATTGCCCTGATGAAGGCCGAGACCTCAAACAAGAAGAAGATTTTGAAGACCATTGCCAACGGAACTAAATCCACAGTCGAGGCTGAGAAGGCTGCTGTTGAGGCATTGAAGAATGCTGCAGTTAAAGCTAAACAGGAGAGACAAATTTTCAAGACCCAGATTGCCAGAGACATTTTAGTCGAAGCTAACCAGAGACATTTGAAACACCTCAAGGAGAGAAAGGCTGAGATTGAAGAAATTGTTAAACAAAAGGTCGCCGAAAGAAATAGAAAGGCTGCGTTAAAGGTCAACAAGGCTGACACCCTTATTGCTTTGGCTGGTTTGCAGGGTAAACTCGATAAGAAGTACATTCTCAGAAGACAACAGGTCGCTCTCAAGAACGCTCAGGCTTTGTCCAATGCTGTTAAGGGACTTGTTCCAGAGAAGAAAGATCAGTTTTTGAAGCTCAAATCATTCAAGGTTAACTGTGGTTCTCTTGCCAAGAAGATGTCCACCCCATGCTCTGGTGATGCTAAAAAGGATGCTAAAAAAGCTGACAAAAAAGTTGCTAAGAAGGCTGCAAAGAAGGTTGCTGCTAAAAAAGCTGCGAAAAAGGCCAAGAAAGACTAATTGTGAACTTTTTTAAGTCGAAATTTTTGTGATTCGCTTGTTTTCATGCCTTGATTTTTGCGTTTTACTATAATTCTGTATTTTTAATTAACATCCATACTTTGCTATTCTTTTAATTTCTTTTAAGTGTTATCTTTTTGACTTGTTTGTTGGTTTTTTGTATATACTTAATTATATATAAATAATAATTGAACTATTCAACCAACAATCAATTTATTCGTTGGTGGTTAGAGAACTTTGTCTTTCACTTTTTGGTCAATGATAATTAGAAAATTTCGGGATTTTGTTCGAAATATAAAAAATCGTCGTTTTAGTTTTTTTCCCGGTTTATTAAACGATAATATGTGTACAAATTGATAAAAAAACAACATTGTACAACAAATTCTTCATGTTTTATTTCGTATAACTATATATTTATATCCATATGATTATATAACTATATGCATTCTATAATACACAATTGATTTGTAAAAATTTTGTTATTGAACAGACATTTGCCTGTTTAATAATACATAATTTAATAAACTATAATTAATGATTTTTTAATTATTATTTTTCAACATTATGTAAAAAAACATAAAAGATTGAATATGTCATAACAGATATGCCAATAAACGGGACATTACGCGACCAATAGAATAGTTAATAAATAGTATAATAACGATACAAAAACCAATAAGAACACCCAAGTACGATCACGTAACTCAAAAGCTCAGAGTTAGAATGTCGAAGGAGGTGTTGGAAGTAGTGAAATTGTTTTTCTTAACGAACGAAAAGCTTCAACCTGTTCTTGAAGGATTACACGAGACGATCTTCAAGACTAAAAGTATAGAAGAGTTATTTATAGTAGCATACCCTGTCTTGTCACGGTACTTTGTTAACCCAGACGTTCCATTTGAAGAGCGATTTGGGTTATTAGACAGTATAGTTCGCTTAATTACACCAAATAATATCACACACTTAGTCTCATTAGTACAAGCGAATCATGCCCTTTCTAATCCAGAGAGTCCAGTTGAGCCAAGTGTCTATTTAGGTATTAAACAGATCATTGAACATATTAATGCTATTAAAGGACTAATAGAGTCCGACTGTGAAAAAAAAGAGATGATGCCTCAAAGTGTCATATCACAGATCTTCACTGTAATGTTGGACTACACTGCTAAACTCAATGAAGAGTGTGTTGTGCCGATCAGTGACTTATTGGAACCAATCAATAAACCCGCAGAGGTCATCGACAAGACAATTCGACTCAACCAATTGAAGAGCAAATTTTTGATGTTACTGTCACACGCCTCCACAGAACAACTCAAACGTGTTGTCGACCACCTTGACAAGAAAAATTGTGAAGACGGGTTTGATTTCTCCGTCGACGTGGATCAATTTGATTTGGACAAGCTTGTGTACTTTTGTGGGTTACTCCAATGATAGAAGATGTGTGTATGTGTGTAATTGAACGTTCGTTACTATATTATTAATAAAATGATACTATACTATTAGTAAATAGACTCTTTACTATATGTACTAGTAACATATTTATATTTTTATATTAGTCACTCACATATATAGCAAAATATTATATTATATACTAGAATCAGTCAAAGGGGTATCGAAGAGATGGTGTACGTCATAGGAATCACAGGAAGAATTTGTAGTGGGAAGTCGACTCTACTTAATGTCATGAACAGCCGTGGGATCCCAACAATAGATTGCGACAAGATTGGATGGGAATTATACTCGAAAGACTCTATAGCATTCTCTGCATATGTCAAAGAGTTTGGAAAAGATGTTATTGGAAAAGACGGGAATATTGATAGGAAGAAATTGTCTGCATGTGTCTTTGGACATCCAGAAAAGGTCAAACGCATCAGTGAAATCTCATGGCCTATGATCTATCAAGTACTTGTGAATAAGATCGAGAAGTTCAGTTGTGAAGGACACAAAATAGTTGGAGTGGAAGCTGCTTTGTTAATTAAAGCCAATTGGGAATGCATTAACGAAATTTGGCAGACTAAAATAGACGACGAAATTACTATCAATCGACTGATGAAAAGAAATAATTTGAGTCGTGAGGAAGCTTCAAAAAGACTGAATTCACAACCATCACAAGAGGAATATGACAAGAAGGCAAATGTGACTTTTAATACAAATTGCTCTTTGGAACAAACTGCTAAGGAAATTAATAAAAAGCTTGACGAAACTATTAAAATGGTTGAAGCAAAATAAACCATTCCATTTTAGTTATTTGGGTTAGTACAAATCACACAGTTGTGCAACTACACACTCTTTTTGTTTTATAATATCTTCAGTGTATTTCTATTTACTAGCTCCGGTTATTAAACTTTTTAAAAACATTTTCTAATCATCATTGATTGGCGTAACACCATATTATACAATTCCAATTGTTTGTGTCATCAAGTATCAAATTTCTACACTTAAATTATATTCAAATTAGAATTAATTAATTTATAGTAATACAATTTTATCATTAATACAAATACTTTTATATAGTATAATATGACATAATATAATTAATTATAATTTAATATAACTTATATTATATTACTATTTTTATACTATTGTATAATTATCATTAATAATTTAATCAATAGTGTTTGTATATATTTACTATTTTTTAACTATACAATATACTCTATTGAATATAATAAACAATTAATACTTTAGTAATAATAACAATAAACTAGAATAATATAGTTATTTTATAATAATATATATTATATACTGATGAACCACAAATTTAGAAAGCAAACTAGAAAAGAGATAATTGATGAGTACCTTACTTCATGAAACAATCATTCCCCCCTCCGGTGTAGAGAAAAGTATTATTCACCAATTTACAGGGAAGTACCCCCAACTCATAACAACTATTTCTAACTGTTTGACGTGTTACGACATCACGCCATCAGGTCTTTCCATTCGTTTCAAAGAACGTTGTGAAGCGAACATAGTTGATGTTGGGTATGCTGTTGTCAAGGGTGTGTCGTTCTTAATTCTTCTCTTCAAACAAGCGCGCCTTTCAGTGATGCGATACAACACAGAAACAAACCGATTTGTTGTGCACTCGCTTCACTGTTTTGAATACCCTGAACTTCGAATTCGAGAAAAATGCACGCCAACGGCTTATGATGATCCACGGATGTTCATCGATAAGAAAGGGCGATGTATATCACTTTTGTGTTACGACCGACTGTTATGGGTGATTCCATTAGGGTCCAATAGGTGTGTTTTTTACATTTCTATCAATTTATTTTGAACAAAGAGAAGAGGACTGACATATAGAAGCTCTTATCGCGTCGATTTAGAGAAGTTTGGGGTGTCGCGCATAGTCGATGTGATATCGTTGAGTGGCTACGAAACACCGACGTTGGCATTCCTTCATATGACGGTGCCGACTTGGGATGCGTTTGTTGAACTTTTTAGACTTCATATCTCGGATACTTGACAGTAATAAATGAAACTGACAGATAGGCGTACTGTCAATACAGGAGAAGCAACAAATGAAATTGCGATCATTAATGTGAACCCTGGTGTAGTAGGAGAGGAAGAACAAGAGTGTGCCAATGTAGTCAATCGGATTAGTCGCCTTCCATACAACACTTTAAAAATGGTGGAGTGTTATCCACTACCTGGTATCTTACTCTTAGCTTCTGTTAGTGTCTTATACATCTCCACGACGTCATCTGAGTCATTCATCTTACCATTTGGCACGTATTTCAATCCTCCAGAGGTGTGGAAGGGGGTTGTTCCTTTCCTCAAGCTTCTTCCGATGAAAATCCGGATCATCCAACTTGTCAAAAGCATTCACCAATTATCACAGAATTTGTATTTGACATTCACCGATAAAGGAGACTCCTATTACATTCACTTAAATTGCGTGGAGGGTATTGTGCAAGAGATCGTCCTCTCCAACGCGCCATACAAATTTATACCAAACACGGTCTCGTTGTATGACGATTACATCTTCTTGGGGAGTGTCTTCCACGACTCTTATTTGTTCAATTACACGATATGTGAGTACGGTAAAGGAGATATCAAACCGTTTGGGATTCATTGTGGGGATGCCGTTCGTATTAAAAATCTGCAGGAGCGCAGCGGACAAATGGAGGAAGACTACCCCTTTGATTTCCAAACGCCGATGGAAAAGCCGAATGAGTTAGTCTTGAAGTTACCGGAACTCGACAAAATCAAGAGTGTTTCGTGTATCCACGATTATTGTTTGGAGGGCGATGAACACAACGGATTTGAATTTGTTGTGTGTGTAGGGTTCCAACCGTTTGGACGAATCATTAAAATCCGCGTTTGTTTTGTGTTGTATTTTCTCGATATCTGTCGGCTGTTTGCATGTACTAAATACTAGAGAAACGTTCACACCGAAACAAAGATCTCTGCGAATGCGCCGAATTTTGTATTCAAAGGGATAGAGAGTGGCGTTGAAATCACACACAATGGGATTAGTGTGAATAGCGAAGTGAAATTGAGTTTACAAGAGAACATTGTAAGAGGGAGAGTGAACAATGGATGTGCCGTGTGCGAGTTAGAGAATAAAACAACAGTGTTTTACGATATTCAACAAAACAAGGTGTTAAAAACGTTTATTGATGTTGAGAAGGGTGCGTGGTATCCTGAGAGTACTGATATGGCTGAGGAGGATGATAGCCATTACCTCTTATTAAAGAACAAAAGGATAACACTTGGGACGCAATACTTGAGTGGAATAGGAGAGTCTTATGCGCGTTTTGTTGATCAAAGCACACAAGAACAGATTGAGAGTGACAAGCCTGAGAAGACTGAAAAGAAGAATGAAGACAATGAAGTATTAGATGTCGAGTGTATTAGTGTTGTAGAAGGCAAAGTTGACATCTTTTGTGTGACACAAAACAACAATTTCTATTATTACCGTTCACTGCCACAAAAGGGGGTCTTTGAGCGTTTAAAGATCGAAATTCCACATAAAAAGGAAAGTAAGAAAGTTCCGCCAAAGATCGTCGAACTCATGCGAACGTCTTCCAAAGCGTCTGAAAAGCGATTTTTGGTATGTCGAGCGTTTCCGTTCATTTTGGAGTTTTGTTATGGGTTTCCGTGTGTTATTCCATATGTAGAGAATTCGATATATGACGCTGTTGCTATTGATACTTCAAAACTCTTCTTACAGACGGATGAAGGGGGGGTCACAGTTACACTCCCCAAATTTGAGACGTTCAATTATGGTATTCCAATTCAAGAGATCATAGTAGGAGGAACTCCACATAACATCATTTCCTCTCCAATAGGTCTAGTTTATACTATTTCAACGACAACGACATTGGAAAGCCCGGACTGTCCTCCACAACTTCCACACTCTTCAACACAACAAAATGCATTAGAAAAGCCGCCAGAATTGACTGCGACACCTTTGCGAGCCGAGTTGTTCTTAGAACATTACAAATTAGTGTATTTCGACCAGAATCAGTCGTTCACGTTTGATAAGGGGATGTTTGTGAATTCGCTTCGTGTGCTCGAACTCACTATCAACTCGGTGAAGCGCGTATTAGTAGGGTGTGGAGTTAATACACAAACGACTGAAGACGACCCGGTGAAGGGGAATGTCTTTCTATTCAGTCTCGAGAGCACATCAGAAGGTACGATCCGGCATATTTCGACTGTCTGTGATGGTAAAAAGGCTGTTCATGCGATTAATTCGATTGGGGGGTATTTAGCTGTAGCTGAAGGGAATGAGCTTCAAATTTTGAAAGGGAAAACGGAGAGTTTGTGGGTAAAGAAGTGTTTTAGTGATATTTCGATCTTGATCAATACAATTACATTTCTCCCAATGACGCTGAGCAAAAATAAAGTCGACGAGATGTGTTATTTGATCTTACTGAATGACATGTACCGCTCAGTCATTCTCTTGTTATTCCAACCACAAAAGAAGAGCGTGATTCCACTTGGAAAGGACGGACGGGACATTCACGCGATCGACGCCGCCTTTGTCTTAGACAAAGATTACTTCCACGTTCTCGAAATTGACTATGAGAGGAACTTGAGTGTGATGAATTACTTGCGAACAGAGACCGAACGAATTTCTATCTTCGAAGTCGCAGCAACGTTCAATGTCGGCGTCGACATTTTGCGGCTCACGCGACTCAGATTGGGGAATGGGTACGTCTTCGTGTACCTCTCCGCTCAAGGCAGCGTCGGCTATTTGACTGTAGTGAATGAACGAAGTTACCAAACTCTTCGCCAGATCAATGCGAAGATGAATCGGGAGCCGTGGCATTTTGCTGGGACGAATCCGGAAGAGTTTCGTATGGAGAAAGGGTATGGTGTTGGGTATGGGCGACGCAAGCAAGTGATCTTAGATGGGGACATCTTGAAGGAGTTTCATTTCTTAACACAAGAGCAACAAAAGAGGGTCTGTTTAAGGAACACATCGATCAGTGATGTTGTGAATATCTTAGATAATGCGTTACAAAGGTCTTCGTTGCTCCAACTCGAACCATAAAGTGAGTCTTGTAGTATTACTACGTAGTTTTATCTATCAGATGAAGTAATTGAGTGGATTCATATTTGTTTCTAACAATCAATTAGTCTTTGGAAAGGCATACCGCACTTGAAGTAAAAACTTCAAGAAGTTGTGGTGTTGATACAACTTCGACAAGTATCTCTCGATGTCCAGAACCTTTGGAGAACATTTATTCACTATAAATATGCCACTTATAATCTTCAATTCTATTTGGCCTTGTGGGATATCTCCCAACTTGTCAAATGACACTTTTAAGAGGGTCGTGTTCTTCTCACAGGTCACTTCAATTTCTATCCCAAATTGTCCTAACAAGTTGGTGTTCTCTTCTTTCTTCCGTTCTTCATTTTCTATTATCATACTTTTCTTTTCTATTTCTTTCTCTGTGTGTTACTTCATTCTCTTATTCTTAACATTATAATAATATATATAATATATTATTGCTATTATAATATTATATATATTATTTATATATTATAATATAATAAAAACATACCATATACCCCTATCTGAGTTTGCATATATCCCATCTCCTCATTCAACATCGCTATCTTCTTCTCCTCAAATTCAATTTTCAAGCGCAAATCGTCTTCTATCTGTTGCCTCAATTCTGCGTCCGTCTTCTCTATCATCGTTTTCCGCGGAACATATTCTTTTCCTTTGTGTCATGTTACATTCTCTTCTCCTTGTCACTACCTTCCTAAAAAACAAACGCTGTAAATTGATACCAGTACGTTGTGGAAATGTATCGATCTTCGTTTGGAAGATATCTTTGCTACTCCTCATCTCTTCGTTGTGTTCTTTATATCGGCTAGTTACTGATTCCAAAAAGTGAACATCGTCCTCTTCCAAGCATTCAGGAAGTCCTTCTATTCGACTCGTTGTCATGCTCATCCTTCTCTTTTTTAGTTATCTTTTATCTCTTTTTAATAATAATATAAATATATAAATAGTAATATCTATTATTATATATATATTATAATATCTAATATTATAAATATAATATAAATATAATATATAAATAATTTAATTATAAAATATATTATAATTTATAGTATATTATATAAAACTATTAAATATCACCAACAAATTCAGTCAAATCTCTTTCGCGACAGCACATTAAGTGTCATCTGGTTATCTCCGTTGATGAATAAGTCGACGTGTTTGGGTTCAGTCAGGATTTGTCGAATTTGGTTTCTTTCCAGTGGTGATTTGTTTTGGACAAATTGTTCGAGTAAGAAATTCAGTTTGTTTTGTTCTTCCATTTCTTTTGTTTTGCTTGACAAGTATTTAATACTCAACACTGTCGAGAAGATATCTGGAATGCTCATATAGAATTCCACCACATTCATAGCCTCTTCAAACCCTCTCTCAAAGCAGAACAACATGAAGTAATGTTCCCAAATAGTGTTATACACAACGTGCAAATAGCTTTTAGTCTTCTTTTCGTCGCAGACTTCTCCAAAGAGGTACTTCACGCAATTCATAAATTGTTCGTCGTTCGCGTTGAACCGTCCAAGAAACTCGCACAGCGTGTTATTCGCCTTCCCAAACTCCTCATTCGCAATCAAATACTTCAAATTCATTTTCATCGTCTCGATGTCGTCAACGTAATTCATGAACAACGAAATGTACTTCGATGGCTCGCAGACACGCACGGTGGAATAATATTTATACATCACTGGTAAGATCTCCGTGATCACCACCTTCCGCATACTATTATCAACTCGCATCACATCAAACAAGTACTTGAATTCCCCAGCATCAAACGACAATATCAAACTCGCAATTTTATTCATCTCCGGCAGCGCTTCAAATTTCGGTATGATGTCACACTTGGTATGAAGTCCGTGGATCATAAACAAATAGTGCAAATACAACGTCAGTGGCGGGAATATCTTCGTTCTAAACAACTGTAAAAAGACTTGCGAGATACTAATGGGATACACATTCCCAGGCATCACTAACTCAATCATCGGATTGATTAAAACACCACTCGAACGCAATTTCGCTTCACCTTGCAACTCAGGATAGATCTCCAACATGGGAATAAAGTACCGAATCGCATACAAGTGATTGCCAATCGTCTCGACAATCCCCGTATTCACATTTAACTTGATAAAGACGTCCCTCAAAAACACAAATTTCTCTTCAAACTCCTCCAACCCAACTTGAGTCAACTCTTCGTTGCTAATTATTAACTCTTCAAACGCATTCTTCAGGTTGACATAATACTTTTGGAAGTAATCCGTGATCTTCTCAATCACCACGCGATTCTCAAAGTTCTTGTAATCATCTAATTCCTCCAAAATAGTCGCCGTATTGTCTGTGGTGATCAACATGTTTAGTGCATTGATAATGAAGTTGGTGTCATTCAACAACGGCAACTGAAATCCTTCTGCAAGACATCGGGCATACAACTCCTCACACCCAGTCAACCGCTTCCCAAACACCATTGGTGCTAACAGTCGTACACTCTGAATAAAGAGCTCAAACTTCTCACACGTCCTCACTAGCGATTTCCACTCGTTGTTCCCAATGACTTCGATGTAACTCGGTAACACTAATTGGTTGACTCCCTTCATGTATCTGTCGTATACTCCAAACTCAAACCCACCCTCTTTCTCCTCTATCACATTGAGTGGCAGTTTCAGTTCAACTTTCTCTTCAAATTTGCTCTTCTCATTCCCCAAATAGTCGAAGCCGTAGCTCTCCACTTTGTGAGTGTATTTATTATATATAACTAGACTCACACACTCATCCAACTCCTCAAAGCACTTCGACCCAAGGTATCGCCCTCCTTCTATTGTCCACAACCCTTTATACATCAATCCATACGAGTCTACTGTAAAGAAAATGACGTCCGTTCGATTCTCTCCGTACAACACAATATTCACACAATCAAGAGGCGTTTCTCCTTCCTGTTTGACATACCGTAACACCTTTTGCACAGCAGAGTGCGTCGAGCATGACACTTGAATGGAGTAGATGAGCATTTGTTGGACCAAAGAATACTCAAAACAAACGCCATCATTTCCCCCAACAGTCACTCCAATATCTTCTCCATTGACTTTCACCTCCACAAACGTCCCAACAAAGTCATTCAAATAGAACACATTCGGAAACGGCTTTCTCCCCGAGTCCGACACCTCAACAAACGGATTTTGTCGGGTGACGTCCAAATTGCTTCTCCTGAACGTCGAAAACGACACATCAAATAACACGGGGATATATTCCTTTGCAAGAAACTGTGGGAAACTCTCCTTCTCGACAAACCCCGACGATTTCATGATGAAGCATGGCACTTTCGCTAACTTCAACGCAAACGGGCGCGTCGAAATGATAAAAAAGAAGTCCTCAACACCCGCCAAGTTGACTGTGCTATACACTTTAGTGACTCCTTCGCACAAGAATGTGATCAACTCAAACGTGTCGAGTGAGATGAGTCCAATGCAGTTCTCCATAACAACTATAACTCCACTCTTACCTACAGACTCAACAGCAACTGCATTGTGGATGACGGATGGACACCGGACTATCTGTTTCGGCTCCGATGATTCTTTGGTGTAAAAGTAGACGTCGGTGCCATTTGAAGTGTAATATGATTGGTTGTTGTTACAAAACCCGCTGACGGGACTCGACGGGTAACTATGTAAAGCAGATACACTGTTCTCGTAGTACACAACACTGCGGTTCATTTCTTTGGGTTTTACAGTTGCAGTTTTTCTCTTTTCCAATCCAACGCGAGTTATAGTTCATTCTGGTTCTTTTAACTAGATGAATGTCACATTTTAATAAAATGAATTTAACTCTTACTACCTTTTTATTATTAAGTAATGTATAATTAAATGTTAATTATTTTTCTTTTTTTTGACAGAAAAATAAAAGAGACTAAATTGGACTTTCATTGAGTAAAAATTTGACTTAATGTTTTAATTGTTTTATTAATAAAAATAGAACATTGTGATAGTAAAAAAATGAACACAAAATAGTAAAAAATTACAAAAAGGGCGCAAAAATACAGGAAGACTCAATCAGACCAACTCAACATTTAAGTCCTCTTTACTGACAAAGTCAAATGGATTTTTCTCTTTACGTATCTCTTTCGTCTCAATGAAATTCTTCTCCTGCATTGGCGTGAACGCAGACATCGATCCGTTTATGATCTTCGCAAATGAACTTTCATCAAAAGGTATCTCCACGTGGTCGTCTTTTGCCAGCTCTTGTTTACACCCCTCTACCAGGCTTAAATATTCCGTCTTTCTAACATAAGTAATCGCCTTATCATTTTGCTCAGGAAGATTGCAATCTCCCAAATTTATAACGGACGTTTTTTGTAAGTTTTTAAAAGCATTGGATAAGAATTTGTGGACCGCGCAACCCACTGATTTTTCAGCTTCTTCTCGTTTGACGTGGACGATCTCATTTTTGAGATTCACAATTGGAAGCTTCTCGAGCCTTTCACTGGAAAGACGAAAGCCCTCTTGGGCTTTTTTTGTACAAACAGTTTTTGTGTCTTTTGCGATGATTTCCCGATTTTTTAGCGTGAAATTGAACAAATGAAGGAGCAAAATCTGATTTGATCTTGTTCTCTCACTTCCAGAAAGAGAGGAGTTATCAGTGGCTTTTTTTGGGATGGGGTATCCTTTCTGATTGAAGACCAGTTCGGACTTTTTATCAATCTCATAACTCATTGTCTCATCAAAAATGATATCACCAGATTTGTCAGTGATTTTTTCGACAGCAAAAAACTCGAGCATTTTCTTCGGCCGCCTTTTTGAGTTTCCAATCAAAAAATTCCAGTCTAATTTTTTAATTAATACATCGATGCACGCACAAAGATAACAATATAGACTATTCGTCGCGTTCCGACGAATCTTAGCCTCGCGCGAAAGCTTCTTCTCCGAAAATTCCATCGGAATTAGTTTTGTCATTTTTTGACACCTTTGTTTTCAAGTTCCTTCTTTCTATTTTGATAATTGAATGATTTTCTTCTTCGAGGCATTCTGACATTTAATATACAAGTTTGTTTTCTTTTCTTTTAATTTCTCTCTTAATTATTTTCTCTGTTTTTTATGAAAGGGTTTTTGCTCAGAGGTGTTTGTTATTGTCATTGTTTAATTATAATTTTTTCAATCTTCCACAATTCACACTATTTCACTTTTTACTATTAATCAGTTATTAATTAACTATTATTTACAAATCTTAAAAATGTTACTATAATAAACTTAACATTTTTTATACACTTTTTTTCTCGAATAAATTCTTTTTAATTGAGAAACCCTGCTTGTTCGTCTTTTTAACCTTTTCACTATAATAACCAGAGAAGAAATCAAATCAATCGAACATAATTATTTATAATAAAAACATATAAATAGAATTCTCCCAAAAAGTCCCATACATTCCACAGCAACCGCCTAAAAAATGAAAAGCAGAAGTAAAAAAACTGGATAAAAGGAAACAAAACTAATAATTACAAACAGGGAATGTCTTGGAAATGTGCGTTATGTGGTTTGTGATTTTTTTCAGAGTGAATGAAAACTGAGAGATAGGAAAATCTGTGTATTTTGCAGAACGAAAACAGGCAGAAGGAAAGGATTGGCACAACATCTGCTTCAACAAATATTACAAAAAAAAGAAAGAGGAGGAGAGTCAAACACTGTTCGGCCATTATAACGGGACAAAACAATCATCTTCAGCCTCGTCACAGACTAAGACGTGCCCAGAGTGCTCAGCAATAGTCGATACTCAAATACGATTCTGTACGTCTTGTGGATATAAGTTCGAATAACCTTAGGCGCAGTTACTCTTCTCTTCATTTATTTGTTCCTTTATTTTCTATTCTGTATTATACTTTTATCAATGTTTTACTATTGGTGTTTAATACTTCTTTCCCATAAGAACAACGATAATAACTTGGTTTCTTTCTCTTTCGTAAATGGTGACAAGATTTATGACTTTCCGCCTTTTCAATCAGAATTAATCAAATTTGCGTTTTTGCATTTTTTTGTGAATTTGTGAGATGCAAATAATAAAAAACGTATATTTTATTATTTAAGAAATAGTAAAAGACTTCGTTATTTATAAACTCATTTCTCGGGTTTCTAATGTCTTTTTGTACATGAGTCAATTCGTGGAAATCATAGTGCAAATCTTCATAATTGGTAAATACATAAAATTTAGAATGTGTTTTGTATTTTAATAATTCAAATCAACTTTAATTGGGGAAAATACTATTTAATTACTATAAAGTTATTATAACTACCCAATTTTCATTTTTTTATACATTTCTATTTTTACATGTAATAATAAAAATACTTCATTAAAAACATTTTAAATAACATTTAAGTTTGTTTAGAAAAAATGTATTATAATTTATAAAAAATAATTAATAATAATTAATAATACATTATTTATTACAAATAAAATGATAGTAAAGAACAAATAGTATAATAATAAATTTAATTACCATTCAATTATAGGAATTGTTTTTCATGAGTAATTCAGTTGGTTTTAAATGACAATGAACTTCAAACACCAAACGATGAAAAATGTGATTGAAGTGATGCAAAATGTTATTCAGTTGACGAGGAAACAATTAGTAGAAGATGGTGAAATGAAAGTATGGAACGTGACGCTCAATTACCTTCAATTAGGACGACAGAACTATTTCATACTCCGCTTTCCTCCGGACTTCTTTACTGATATAAAAATCTATCGAGTACACTCTGAAGTGTTACAAACCCTAGAACTCGACTTAAGTCCCGTCAACGCAACACTCATGCCAAGTTCCCCATATTACAAGTTCAATATTTTCCCACGAAAAGTTGGGTCTGAGACGATAGCAGTGTATGTGAAAGCGAATGGGAAAGTCGATGTTTTGTATCGAGTCGACCTCAAATGCATCGCTTCGCCAAATGGGATTTTCATCGACGCAGATTCAAAGGATTTGAAAGTGTATGAACAAATAACGAATGGGGCAGAGGGGAATATTTATCGCGCGTGTTACTTGTCGCACCGAACCGTAGTGAAGGAATATAAGACTGAAGAGTACTCGAAAGAGGCGGAGTTGTTGCAACAGCTGCACCACCCCAATATCATCACGTTGTGGGCAATGTTCTATAAGAACACCCATCTCAATTTAGTGATCGAAGAAGCGTCTTTCTCGTTAGATAAAGTGTACGCCGATATCCCCAATTGTACTCTCTTTACCATTTTAAGAGACGTCGCCTCTGCACTTTCCTTCATCCACTCACAACAAATCGTTCATCGCGACGTCAAACCACAGAACATCCTAGTGATGAGTCTCGACAAGGAAAAATGTTCAGCGAAGTTAGCGGACTTTGGTTTGGCTTGGGTCATCGGTAACCACAAGATCAATTGCAAGTGTGAAGGAACCCCCTTTTTCATGGCACCGGAACTCCTCTTAGAAAATGGAGTTGTTTCAACTCGGGCAGACACCTACTCCTTCGGTCGAACTATTCAGTTGGCCTATTCCCGAATATCACTTGAGCAGGCAGTGACTTCTCTCCCCAAGACACTCTGTTTTGGTGTTGTGAAGGACGATTTTGTCAAGACTTTTGTGATGAAGTGTTGTGAGGACACCCCAACCGATCGACTCACCGACGACGAGGTCTATAACCGGTGTGAGATATGCATCAAGCGAAGTAAAAACGAGGAGCTTCTTATTAAACGAGCGAATTACAAATATGACTTTGGTGCCATCAACACAATTGAGAGTCTTAAAATGATCATCAAGTCATTACAGTCCGATGGCCTAAATGACTTGGCATTTGAAATATTGGTGGGAACTTCTGATGGGAAGGACGTTCGGAAGAAAGTCGAGAAATTGAAAGCGAGTGTGAAGTGCAAGATTCCTCCTCGGAGTGGTCAAGAGGAATATTTGATAGGTGAGTATTACCGTTCAATTGAAGATTACAAAACAGCTCACATCTATTACATGAAAGGAGGAAAGAAAGGTGATGCGTACTGTAAGTTTCGGATCTATGAAGAGTTGAAGAAGTTGTGTAGCGATTTGGAGACAAAGACGTCTGCAGAGGATCTCGAGCTCAAAACAGTCCTTTCCTTCTTTGCTTTCCAACTTCCTGTTGTTGGGCAGATCTTCAGTAAATGTTCGACGCCAAAATCGTTCAACGTCCAAACGAGTGTGAGTGCAAAGATGATGTTTGAGATGATTTATTTGTTCTGTGGCATATCAAGTGCTGTCGATGCTGAGATTGGGAAGTGGGAGATCTGTGGGAAAGGGACGCAGTCGAATTTCATTAATGGGTTGATTCTCCTCAAAAACAATCAAGTTGAGTATGAGAAGTACAGTTCGTTATATTCTCTTCTTACCACTCCAACGCAACCGTCAAAGTCCGTCGATGAATTCTCAAGTGTTGAAGAGCAGAACATCTATTGCATCAACGTGTTAAGTCACTTCTACAAAGACGTCGCCGACAGTGAAGAACGTCGTGTTGTGCAGTTCATGAGAACGGGGACGAGCCTCCAGCAGTTGAACTTGTCGCTGTACCAACTGTCGAAAGAACGAAGTTCATTGTACGCCGTGAAGAAGATAATTGAGTTAGCTCTTATGGGGTGTGGCGCTTCGTGTGTAGCTCTTTACGAGGTGTTAAATACCCCCGAGATGGTACAAGCGTATGCAGCGGCAATCGATGATGTCATGTCGGTGAATGATCTTCTTGATGTTTTCGAAAGTCCTTCCAAACCCGCGGAAATGCCTTCTGAGCGTGTTATAGGGAAGACACCCAGTAATTTTGTGAAGCGTCCCAAACACTCAGTACCATTGAAAAGTCTTCTTTTTAGTCATAAAGTCTATTGGCTACTTAGAGGCGCCACTTTACTTCAAATGGAAGCTATTGAGAGCTTGGCGGAAGTGGTATTGGAGTTGGTGAGTACGTCTCGAACACGACAAGGGCAGGTTGCCTTGTGTAATTGTCTTGGACTGATTAAATTTAGTTCAGAGTTGGGACGAAAAAAGTCACAAATGTTGGAAGCGCGATGTCTCTGTAAAATGGGGAGAAATAAAGAAGGGTGGGAGATTATGAGGCGTTTAGTCGAAGAGAATTACGAGGACGTTTTTATTGACTTTTTTAATGAGATGAAAAAAGAGCAAAATTATGAGGAGATGGAACTGGTCGCTAAAAAGGCCAATCAATCGGGAAATTCCAGCGAAACGTTTCAACTTAACGAGGTCGAAACGAAAGCGCGGAACGTGTATCTTCTTATCAAAACGTATGCAGCCACGTTGGACCAACAAATCAAGACGTTTGCACAGAATAGCGAAACACACAAAAACGAAAATCAAAGTTGCCTCAAAGAGTTGCACGACCGAAAACGAATTTTTATGGAGATGATGAGTGAAGACAAAATGACAGACAAAATCTCTAAGGCATTGGGTTTCGCCCAAACAATGTTAAGCCTCAAAGTGTATGAGAGAAAAGATATTGAGGTCACGATTCACGTGTTACGATATTTATCGTTTTTGGGATCCAAAAATGCTAACAGTATTGTCATGAGGATTTTGGGAGGAAATGTGATGAGTCCCATGGAAAGTGAAATCTGCAAGGTTTTCGAAAAAGAGTGCAAAACGAAACCAACACAACAATGGTGTAACGCACCAATCCCAAAATCAAAAAGTGCAGATACAAATGTGATTTGATACTATTGATTGTTGTTTATATGTTTTAGTATACTTTATCAATAACTTCATAAATTATATGATATAATACATAAGGTATATGTTTTGTTCTACTCTTATGGCTGTTCGGCGACTTATGATATTACTGGGAAGTCGGCGACTTTTTGAGTCCCTTCAAAAGTCGCCGACTTCTTTTAGAACTAAATAATTATTAGCTTTAATAAATTATATCATATTCATTATAGTCTCAAAAATGTGTAAAAACACAATAGTTGTTATAATTTGTTATATTATAATCATATAAATATAATTTAAAAAATGATTTGAGAAGATATAATTGGGACGGTATTTTTTCATTTCTTTTTTTAATAATAATTATATTAAATTTATATGGTTTATTTTTTTCAATATCTTTTACATGATAAATGGTATTTTGAATAGTTATTTAACTAAATATTTAGGTCAGCGACTTTTAAGACCACTGAAAAGTCGGCGATTTTCAAAGGGACTATAAAGTCGCCGAACAGCTATTAAAGTTTTTATCATTATATGGTCAATGTATAGTTTTAAATTAAGTACTATAATTTAATTGTTGTTAGATTATTGTTAATATATTAAACCATAATATAATGAAATTATATTTGAAATATAGTTATATTTATAATAATTTGATAAACCATAAAATTTTATTATTAAAATATAGTAAAAATATTATATTACAATAAATTATATTCCAATAAAAACAACTTGAGATAATTATAGTTTAAATTATATATAATTCAATATTAAATTGAGATTTAATGATTGAAAAGAAAAAGTTTTTATATAAAACATTTTTGTGAAAAGTTCATTTTCAATATTAATTAAATAAACAAATAGTTTAAGGTATTCAATAATAATTTAAAATTTTCATTGAAAATAGTTGGGTTATTTGCAACGTTAAGATAATCGGGAAAAAAATCTGTGAATAACACGATATCTGAAGTATTCGTTATAAATTTTTATGGAATTAAATACTAAAATTATGTAAAACAAAAAACTAAATAGAACTATAAAAAAATTACAAATAATGTCAAGCAAAACGAGTCACAATTTAATTAAAAATGATACAGTCGGCAGGTGTGAGTGGACGAAAAACGAACAACAAACTTTGGACGAGGAGCTCTTCAAGTTTGTTGTTATTTTACCGTGCGTAATTATTTGGTTATAACTGATATCAAGGATGCAACAGACAGGACAACAGTTTGATGGGATAACATCGATTCTGAAAATATCAGGTAGGTTTCCGACAAAATCGATTCAGCAAATTACATCGCGGATTAAGTGGTGTCAGTTTCCCCCAAATTCCGTTTGTTAATTTTTTGTTTGTACTTTTCGACAAACATATCTTTAAGGTTTAATTAATCCATTTACACACAAATTCTTTTTAACTTTAACGCTTAAACGTTTGTTCGTTCTGCCACTTTACATCTCAACATTTCACAAAAATCTCAGAATCACAGCGATGGAACGAACAAACATTTAAGTCATAAAGTTTGGAGGGATTTTGTGATGTGTTTTACAAATATTTCACACATATTAACGCACAGCGCCCCGTTTGGGATGAATACTGTCAAAATGAGGCCTTCTACCTCCAACGAGCAGAACAACAAACCCAACAACCGTGTTATAGTCCGAGGACTAAAGACGTATGTCTACCATCAACTACTCGCAGTGAGGCTTCTGGCTACAGGAGGAGACGCTACTCTGTGCAAGAGGAGGGAGGAACCGAGTCACAGTTCCGACCAAACGAATTCCAACAAACAACGTATTCCCAACCACTACAAAACGTTAAAAGTTCAATCATGATCGGAACGAACAACTCTAGATCGCCAAGGGTGTACCGCCCACACAGTCCAGTCACATTTTCGGTTATGCAAAATACAATGGCTAACCAACAGTCAAATTTACACAAGTTGGTCGAGGACAACGAAATTATATTGACAGAGTTGGAAAGACAGGCAAACTCCCCAACAGCCACGGTGGACACTGCCGCGATCTTGCGGTTTATCGAAAACGCAAATGCGATGATTGTTCAGTCGAAGATTTTTGTTCAAAACACACTTCCATTTTTTGCAAAAAAGTTGGAGATACCGTCTGAACTGACAAGTAACATCTTCCCATTTATTCAATCCGACTCGGGATTGCAGTTTATAGCCGAAAGTAAAGCAAGTGGGGCATCGGGGAGAGGATTAAAAGCAATGAGTTTGCCGGGTAGAGGTCCGTCCGCCATGTCGACATCGAATGGGTCGTTCCAGGGAATATGAGAGACAATAAATTGTGAAATACTACAACTACGAGATACTCCATTATAAATTAATCAAATAAACAATTAACTTTCGGTAATTGCAATTTTTTAAGTTTACTTTTGTTGTAAAATAGTGTTTTTAAAAAGAATTGTTGCTTTCAAAGCCAAAATTTTTGAAAACTAGCATTATTGGGACGACAAAAATACTCTCAAATGTAACATTAAAACTATTTTGATGAACAACGACACTTCCAACGGTCGACAATTCAAAAAAGCGTAATTATGAGACGCGAAACCGTAACTAATAATACATTTTTTTCCGAAGTGTGCCGTAAGAAGAAAATTGTTTTTTGATTTGGATAGTAACGGAGTGTCCAATACTTTTCAGTTAAGTCCCTAGTTAAGGGATTAGAATAATAAACATGTTTTTATAGAAATATTAATTGTGATATAAAAAACATTATATTAATTGGTGATTTATCATTTCTTTGGGCACTCTAATTGTAACTCAATGAAAACATTGACTCGTCGAAAAGACGGTGTTATTTTCTTAACATCTCGATTAGCGATAATCGAGCGTAAAAGTAAAATAAGACACAATGAAATTAGGAATTTTTATTGTCCAATGATTAAGGTTTTGTGATGATGGAAATGCTTTTGCGAAAATGGTTTTCCTTAATTGAAAAATAATTACACAAATTTAGAAACTATATTTTTGTGTTACGGTTTCAAGATTTTTCGTGTCATCATCGGGTTATTGGTTATTGAGAATTTGAAAATGTTTGTCAAGATATCGTGTCGAATAATTTGTGAAAAAACAAGCTTGTTGTCACTACTTAAGTGTTAAAAAACGATACATTTACTATTCTGGTGTTTTTTTAATAACTTTTTTATAATAAATTATGAAAATAACTTTGAAATGACTATTTATCAGTTCACAACACTTGGAGTAAAACTGAACAATGTTTATATAGTTTCCACCAAAATATACCATTTGCCTTTCAATCCAAAAAATATACATTGAAGTAAAAAAATAGAGGTGAAAATATCTTTAATTTGTGATTAATAAAATATTAATAAAAATTTCATTGGAATAATTTAATTGATTAATTAACTTGTAAATAAAAAGAGATTTTTTCTTTAAAAAATGATTTGTTCTAAAAACAAACCAAAGAGTTACTTTTATGTGATTTTTTTAATAGTTGTTGTCTTTTTTAATGTGTAAAAAATAGTTATAACTTGACTTAAAATATAAAAAAATGTGTATAGAAAACTCGAAAACTGTGAATTAGCGCATTTTCTTTTGAACAAATTTTTGCTTTCGGCGAAATGCATTATTCGATACTTTATTATCCAAAAAGTTGTAATAAAATTCCTAAAAATTCAACGAAAAATAAGCAAATTTTCCCTTTGGTTTTCGATTTTTTCGATTCTTTTTTTTGAGTGATTGTCTTTTGTATTTTATAAATTTTATAACTCTTTTTTGCTGTGTTATTTCTATAATTTATTTTGTTCAAAAAGTAGATTTTTGAAAATTGTTTTGAAAATACTATAATTAGGTAACAAAAATATTATTGAAATATGGTATAATACCATCTTTAACATTTCTGGGTGACGGAACAACAACTGATTCAAACCACATAACACATGTTAACTAAATCAAACTATAATATATCATAATTTGAATTAGAATTGAAGACCAACAATTCACGTAATGACAATATTGAGAAACTGCCGAAGATTCAAAAGAAAGCTAATTGAAAATGAGTGGTTGTTGCTATGGATTATTTCTGTACTTTTCTTTTCAAAGAACTATTGGTAAAAATAGGCCTGCGTTTTTTTTATAGAAATCATTAGGCGTTTTTGGAATATCTGCCAAACTTTGTCTTTTGGTTGATATTCCCACTAAAATTGGTTGAAATGCAAGAACCAGAGGAAGAGATTATTGAAAGTGCCGAACGTTAAAAACAGAAAACCAATAATTTACCCCATCATCATTCCCAAAACAAAATGAGTCGTTTTCAAAGTAAATCATTAATATACATTTAGTATAATAAAAGTAACGAGGTGGAAATCCAATAATAAAAAACACCAATCGGCCGCCAAAAAAGCGTGTGAAAAATCTACCACTCCTATAAAAGGCGAACTGAACTCAATCACATTCCACACTCAAAATTTGGTGATGTCCACACACTTTTTGTTCACTAATAACGCATCCCTGCCTTTCAAAACCCAGTGCAGTCGTGAGAAGCGGAACCAAGAAGCTATTCAACTAGCAGTTCTCATAGGTTTGGCTTCACAGATCTGTACTTTGACTGTCGAGAAGCCGCCCAAAAAGTCGAATGTGACGCAACAAATACCACGAGTTGTGTCTCTTGACTTTGGCAATGAAGTTGTCGAGCTTGGCTCCTTTGTAAAGACTCGGTTCAAGAACTTGCTTGACAATTCGTATCGAACAGAGACGGAAAGAGTCAAAGCACTTCGTATTTATAACAGAAACGTCCACGTCTTTACAAACAATTACTTGATAGACATCCTCACTGAAAATGGATTCTTCTTTAATTCACACTTGTCAAAGGTCTCGAAGAACACTCAAAGAATCGAATACTTCGACCAAGTCTTCTTTAATGGGACATTTTTCATGTCACTTTCGCAAATGGCACAGAGAGGAAAGGCACTCTGCAACTTCTTTAATGAAACGGCGTGCAAACCTTCGAACTCAGTGTTGGTGTACCAAGACCAAAGGATCGCAGACATCCTTAAAGTGCCTAAGAGAAAGAGCATATCAAATTTCAATTAATTTTGTACTGTTTTTGTGGTTTTTATTGGTCGTTAAAGAGTCAATAAGATTTTTCAAAAAGTAAATAATTTAAATGAAGTATTTTGTAAGAACTCAAAAATTTCTTTGGGCGACTAGGCAAATAATTATAAAGAAAAAGTGCTTAATAATTCTTAATGGGCTTTTCGTTTAGTTTGTTATTATAATAATGTTTTATGAAAATCATCACGAACTATAACACAATTAAGGCTATTTTTGAACTTTTGAACTATCGTGCTTGATTTTTGAAAACGAAGGTGAAATTAATGTGTCCAATTTATGAATAAAAATTAAATTATCTTCTTTTTCGATTATTTTATAATTTATTGTTTAATAAAAAACGGGATTATTATAATAAAATTTTAACTTTAAAGTTATTTGCAAAATATTGGTGTTTCAAATATAATTAATCGATGCAAATAATAAAGTTTGTTTTAATGTTAAAATTATATTTATATTGTTGATATTTTTTCTTTTCTATCAAAAATAGTATGATTATAGTTTTATTTAGTTGTTAATATATTTTGTGTGAAATATCATTATTTTTAATTAATTAATCTACAGTTTAAATGTTAATCTATTGATAAAATACTAAAACTTAATCAATCACCAAATTATTATGTTTTAATTATATTGAAATGACTAAAAACATAATTATTGTTGATAAAAACTTAATAGATTATAGAATATTTTTAAAGTATTTTTGTTGAATATTTTAAACACAAAGATTGTTGAAATTTTGTTATCAACTTTTTTGTTTTTAAAATTGTTATCGTTTACATTTCATTCCCTTCAAAAGAAATTTGTAGGAACTCACACAAAACAGAAAAATAGAAAGCTAAAAAAATCAAAGAAAATTACCCATACATCTCTTACATAAATCTTATGACATTACACAAGAAGTCTTCTTCACAAAGTGAACGATTGAAAAAGTTTTTACTTCAAACAGTTCATTGGTTAGAAAAAGTGACTCAAACGCATCACCCCGTTCCATACAAGAACAGAATATGAAGTCGCGAACAAAGTACTACAACGCTATGAAGTCTTGATTGAATTAATTATAAATTATAAATGATAAATTAGTGAATATACACCTTAGTACTGCGAAAGAGGAGAACCCCATTTGACATACACTTTAGTCCCCAACAATGTGAGTATCCCTAATATCACGACGATGTAGTGTTCGAATACAAAGTCCATCAACGTGTCGAGTGTGAATGAAATGTGTAATAGCACACCAGCAAGCCCCGTCGAGTTTTTAGAAATGTCGTCTAAGTAGTTGAGTGCACGAGTCTTATTTGTCTCGACATAACACCCATATTGGTACATCACTGCAAGTGTGATGAGAGAACTTAAATCTCCTTTCTGAGCAGCATTCTTGATATAAGAAACGGCTTGTTCTGTTTTATTAATAAAGAAATAGAGCTTCGAGATTTCAGCATCACCCCACCCATCCAATTGATTAAGATCTCGTAACGCAAGACTCTCTTTGTTCTTGTTTGCTGTGGATATCAGGCGGAGAACTATATCTTCATACTTCGATATATGAAGAATCCAGTCGTATTTGCGAGATGACAACATTGAAACGGCACTCATGGTACATTGAGAATAGCCAACTTCGCCCAAATAAAGCCAAATGACTTCAGCGGATTTGTAGTCGCCATTACTGTATAATTCCTGAGCAAAATCACTTAAAAGGAAGAAGGGAAGATAACTCTCCACCATCACTTGTTCAACAATCTGCAATTGTTCGTCTATTGGGATGTTCATTTGTTTGGCACATTGAATGTAAATTGGAAGTGCTTCAATGCTCTTTGTGTACGACACAAAGTTACGTATTAACTTGTAGGTGTGGGTATTAACAGGCCCTACTCTGTAAGTACTCCATCTGAATAATAAAAGTATTATAATTAATTACTATTCATGAACTAGTTATAATATCAGAAAAAACTATTACATATCTATATCTCTATATACTAGATATATACTAGATAAAACTATTAAATGGTATTTGAAGAGATAGTTCCTATTTACGTGGTTGTATCATTACAATAAGTCCTAAACACAACATAGAAACAAACGTTTGAGGGTTGCATAAAAGAACCAGGCTGCATCGCTATAGTCCATGTCTTTGTGCAAAATTTCTAGAGCATCTTCCACTCCATTCTTCACTTCCCACGCCTCTAAAAACGATTTTGCTAGCGTGGTATTTCCATAGACATATGAGGTGTTATAGAGAACACCAGCAAACTCATTGTTGTCGTGACTGTGCTCCGAGATATAACTCCGTGTTCGATCACTCACTTTGTCTTCCTCCGACATCGCTCCTAATATCAACAACAAATTGTAATCTTCGTAATTGAAAGCATCTTCAAAAACAACTTGAAAGAAGCTGTCGTTTTCGACCCCCATCAGATAAAGCAGTAGATAACTGTTATACTGTTCATCAATAAGCATTTGAGTATGGTTTATATTATGGTTTATTATAGTTTAAGTATAGTTATAACAAACTCGATCAACTGAGAGAAGAACGTCCGAGTATGTGTCTGCAGCGTCTTTAAAAGTCTCTTTAAACTCGTTGGACTTTTTGGAGTTAATCAATGCATGTGGGTGTGGTTGGACTTTGTCCTTTCCCAAGAAAGTTGGGTGAAACGGGAACTTTGGGATGAAGGACTTTGATAGAAGTGTTTCGAAGTATTGAAGTCTTTCGCTGGGGGTTTGAGGGATTTTCTCATCGAAGGAAAGTGTTGGTTTTGTGTGGAAATATTCGGGGTGGAGAGGGATCGTCGGAACGCCAATCTTTTTTGTTATTAAAAATGTTATTAAAAATGTTATTAAAATGTTATTAAAATGTTATTAAAATGTTATTAAAATGTTATTAAAATGTTATTAAAATGTTATTAAAATGTTATTAAGTAATTAAGAAATGAATGGAGGAACAAACGGCGTCTTTGATTACAGACTGGAGGGGAAGTAGTGCTTTGTTAATATATTTGTTTAATGTGTAATACTTTGGGACATCGTTCCCTACACTTGAAACAGATGGTATAAGCGCGATAATAAAAAGAAGAGTTAACAACATAATTATCTCATTTTTTCTAGTTCTGACAATTTTTATTAGTGTATTGGTAATTTTAGTATTTATTTATTATATGTCTAATATCTCAATTTTTATAGATTTGAATTGTCATGTGTAAGTAAATATTACTAAAATGTTTTTTTTTCATGCTCTTTTTATTTTTAATTAAATAAAATATTGAATTATAGTTAATTTATTAATTTTAATACTAAGTAAATATTTTTAAATTTTATTTTAATAAATTCTTATTTTATAATTTATAAAAATTTTAAATAAAAAAAAAGTGAGTAATGGATCACTATAAATTATTTTATTATTGTTTTTATTTATATTTAAAAAATAAATAATTTAATCATTTTATCATTATTTTGTGTTATAAAAAACATAATTAAAATGTTGTTTGTGCATCAAGTAAACGATTTAATTTCATCTTAAATTGTTTATTAAACAACATTTTATTTATTTTTTCATTTTGAAATCCAATTTCATAGTTTGTTTTGATTTTTATTCTTTTTACCTCAAATACCATTTTTTCGTTTTGTTCTCAAAAATGAACTCAATAACTTACAAACTATATAACATTAGTTAAAAATGCTATAAAATGATTTTGATGATTCTCTTTTTGTGGAAAGAGGTGAACTATAGCAAAAGAAATGGATTTACAACTGAGAATTCCAACCCCTTTATTCATCAACATAAATAAAAAATAAATACAAAATAATAAAAACAAATTCCAAGTGAATAATTAGATCTATATTCAAAATGACAATTCGCCGCAGTGCAATGAGTGCTGTACCTGTAGTCACACACTCAAGCCCTATTGTCCACAGTAGTAAATTGTTTATGAAGGAAGACGAAACTAAGATGCTCATTTTCAAAAACAGGCCGAGTCGGAAAATTATCGAAAGCGATGACTGCCTCCCGCGGAAACCTTGCTCAACGGTCCGGCGGATTTTACTCAAGGACCCTGGCGAGGGATGTCCTCTACACACAAATCAACTCAGTCAGCATGACAAACCCCAGCATCAACAGATCGCTCAAATCCAACTCCCTATACCAAAATGTGAAAATTGAATGTTTTTGTTTTCAATTTTTACCGTTTTTCTGTCTTCTCTTTCCACCAATTCTAATCTTTATGTTTTTTTGTATTCAAAACATCATTTTGTGTGACTTTTTTATTGGTTTGTGTTCTTTGTTTTTCATTTTGACTTAAAACTGGAGTGTTTATTATTTATTCTCACAATTATTTTTTTATTTTAATTATTTTTTTATTTAGTGTAATTTTTATATTATATTTATATTTATATTATAAATATTTTTTATTACAGTAGCTTATTTGTCATTGATTGAAAAATTCTAAGTTTTTAATTTGACTTATTATCCTGAGAATTATATCGACTTTTTATTGTTTTTCCTTTTTTCAGTTGTTATTTTGTGTGTTATGATATTCAAAATAAACAATCGAAAAACAGGAAAAGTAGTTATAATACTCAAAATTTCTTATCTTTTTTATAAACTTTAATTTTGTATAACATTATAAATATTAATAACAATTAATATTATTATAATTTAAGTTATAATTATATGTCTACCCAAAAAATTATAATTAAAAGTAAAACTAAAAAAAAAATATTTCGCCTAAAAACTCCAATTATTCTGTACTAATATTATAATATTAATATATTACTAATTAATCTATTTCATCATTCTTATATCTTATAGTTAAAACTAGTAATATCGATAGTAAAATGCAGATATACCCAAAAGTAATAAAGAAACTATACAATATTAAATAAAGAGTTTCACAGATCTTTTGATTCCCACATATGTCGACGACGCCACAGACGTGGAAAAAGACCGAAACTCCGGTCTCTGGTTCTCTTTCTCCTCCCGTTGAAATAGACTTTCGTAGTAAAATACCGTTTGAGCAAGTGTTTGAAGAGTTGATGGTGTCTTTTGCGAAGCAATTTTATATGCCATATATTCCGGTCTCGAAGATCAGTAATACAAAAGAGATCAATTCGTCTCCCGAAATTCATCATCTTCTTAGCGACAAAATAGGTCTTCAAGCCGTTGTGACATGTTTAGAGCACGGCTTTACATTAACCCTTCCTTTAATGCCTTTGACCATCACACCGGAGTTTCTCTTAACTCATATGATCAAGAAACATCCGAGTGAACAACACTTTGTGACATTCAACGGTCTCTACGGGAAGATCACCGACACGGCTATCGCACTCTTTGCCGATCAAACGCCAAAGAACCCTTGGAAGACTATGCCCGATCTCTTTCACTCCTTTCCAGACCACTTCTACGCCAATTTGAAAGATCCAAATGTGTTAATGAGACGAGAACGCGAGATCCAAATTCTCGGGGAAAGTCCTTTACAGACTCCTTTTGGAGAGATGAGTGTCATCTTTATTGACTCTCCGTTGATATATAATGGCTGTTCTTGGGGGTGGGTAAATGACAAATTGTTGCCTGGTTTTCTATGGATCGAGAAGCCAACAGTGACTCCCCGTCTTGATCCTCCTTCACCACACAATGACAAGACTCTTCCCGAGAAAGTGACTCCAAAGTGGTACCTCTACCCTACAGAACCCATCGAACACTCCGGAAATCTCTTTTTGCAGCGGTTTAATGATAAACGAATGAGTGGGATATGTAAACACTTTGAGACGTTACTCTCGCAGTACTCCAATGTCTCGGCGACTCTTGAAATTAAAGAGAAGGGGATCTTCATGCGCAACGTCATCGACAAAACACTCAGTAAAATCCAACAACACGAGCTGTGGAAAGACTTCCCCGAACACGCCGAGACCGTCACCAATTGCCTCGAAACAATATTCACCTCGTCGCTCTATGAAAAGTTGTGGCCGCCAAGTTATGAGAATAACCCAAAAGAGAAATTGCCTGTCGAGTGTCGCGACAAAGATAAGCGCCTGGAAGAGATGATTTTGTCCCGACAATTCATTAAGCCTCAAAACATAGGATTAGAATTCATCGAACACGACGAAGACAGTGTAGTTGAAGAAGTGGGGTCCATCGTGAGGGAAGTGAATATGAAGAGATCTCCTGGAGAGAAATTGAAGATTTTTCAGTGCGTGAAAGATATTATAGAAACTATAGTATTCCATTTCATTCATAAAAATGACAAGGAGATTGCCGTCAAGCTGTTGAGTTTTGTTCTCCTCAAATCAAATGTACCTTTCTTACACTCAAACCTCCAATACATCAAAGAATTCCACGTCATCAAAAACGAACCCGTGACACTCACTTTGGAGTTCTTTGACGCAGCGTTGAGGTATTTGGCCACGTTGGGATTCGATAAGTTAAACATCCCAAAACAAGACTATGACGTTTTGTTCTCTCGAGCAAAAAAGAAAACACTCAATCCCATCGCGTTTTCAGATTATTATGCCGAAACGCCACTCCACTATAATAGAAAAGAAATCATCCCAAAACTCCTTGAAATGAAACCCGAAGATTTGTCAAAGGACGACTTGGACGTTTTGCTCAAAGAATTCAAAACGGCGATGAGAGAAAACAGAGAATTAAAAAAGAGGATCGACGCCAAAAAAAACTCTGAAATTTAAAGGTCATCAAAATCTTTCATTTTTTATTTAGTAATTTTTATGGTTCTTTTTACTAGTAACTCTTAGTTTGAGGTACTGCCCTGATTTGAACTGAAAAATCGTTGCATATAGAGATCAACTGCTTTTCTGATGCTCTGCAAGCCAAAGAGGTTGGGCTGAAGGTCATTTATCTTTATCCACTGTAACTTAGAGACGTCGTCCTCAGCTTTGAATGTGATATCAGACCTAACGAAGTATTCAAAGAATGCGTCACATGTCGACACAAGAAACTCCGAGAAGATGTAATTGTTTGGAAGAGAATAAAGATAGACTAGTTTGTCTTGTTGAATTGTAATCCCCGTCTCCTCTAAAGTCTCTCGAACTGCGGTGGTGTCAAAAGACTCACCAAAATCAACAAACCCTCCAACGATATCTAACGTGCCTTTTGAAGGTTCCGTTGCTCGTGTGGCGACCAGCACCTCATCTTTTTCATTGCGAATAAAAACAGTCGACGCAGCGGCGGCGTTATAGAAATAGTGAAACCCACAGGAATTACACTTCTTCGACTTAAATGTTGAAACTACAAATTCTGGGCTGCCACATTTCGGACAATATTTGAAAGATGAGAGGGGATGTTCTAATGGAGTTATCGACATATCTTTTGAGTTGTACTGGTTTCAGATCTTTATTAGTTTAATATGATTGAAATAATTATATATTATTATTATAAATTTATAGTTTTATTACTATAATAATTTAAAGATAGTGAATGGATATAATCTTGTATCATATTATATAGTAATTAAATTATAATATAAAATAAAAATTATAGATATAATATAATAAATTAGTATTGTTTAGTACTTTTTTAAATATACAAAAATTAAAAAAGTTCTTTTTCAATAATCTGAATATTTTTTTTATTCTGATTAAAAAAATTGGTCTGAATGATTTTCGACTTTTAATATTTGATTTTAATTAATTATAATAGAAATACTATACATAATAGTAGATTTAAAGCATTCAAATTACAGAGGGATGTGGATATGTTGGTGATTCATTGTGAAGAGTTTCAATCCATTCGTTAATTCTGAGTCTTTTTTGAAAACTTCCAAATTGCTCTAAAGCAAGAAGGTTATTTCCTGTAAGTTTCATATGTTTTCTTATTGGGTCTTGACTCAGTTGTGTTGGTGGTATTATGTTTAATTGTTGAAGTGGTTTAGCTGGCTTAATAAAGTCAGAAGAAAGAAAAGAATACCTCGTAAACTGTTCCATTGACTTTGATCAGAAGTTTGTAATCAAAGTTGATATACTTTCATTTTATAATGAAAAATCTACTCCTTCGAACATGAAGTTGATATGTAATTCACTTACATAAAAAAACATATCAAATATATATGGTTATTTATATTATTAAAATTAATTAACTTTCGGGTGAGTCTATTTTTGATATTGAACAAAGATGTCAATTGAAAAAAAATGTATTTAAGCAAAAATGTTCAACAAAATGTCAAATTTATGAAAGTATAAGAAACTATAATGAATTATTTATTTATTATATTAAAAATTATTATTTTGAGTTATTGTTTTTAAGATTGTTTGGCCAATCAAAATAAAATAATTATTTTGTTATTTTTGGAATTAATAATTCAACACATTTTCAAAGATTTTTTGAACTTTGAAAAAAAAAGTTACTTAATAACAATTATTATTTGTATTATTATTTGTAACTATTTATTTTATAATTATAATAACCATTTTATAAACTATTTAAAAATATATATTATGGTATTTTATTCATACAGTATTATTTTTTTATTAATTATTTATTAAAGACAATGAAACTATACTATCTAGCCAATGTAAAGAGAATAAAAATTCAACAAATAATAATAACAAAACTATATAATATAATAACAAAAGATAAGCTCAATCTTCCATGGATATTCCACGAACCAAAACAATTAACTCCATCGAGATCGATATTTCTTCAGAAGTTTGTGAAGTCCACGATGATTCATCGGATCAAGATTTTATATCCGTAGTTTTAAATAAACCGACTTTTGATCGCTCCAAAAGCCCTGAAGTCGTTTGTGTTGGGAAAATAGATGGAGAGAAACGAAAGGAGTTGGGTCCAGGCTATCAACTCTATGGCGACAAGTCCGAACTTTTGGCACACAATCTGTTCAATACAAATGCATCACAACAAACAAAGGATCACATTTCATCCCAGCACTCTCCACTCAACGGTATTGAACAACAGAGTTATGAGAATAAAGAACCGGACTGCGATAACAATTCCTATAATGATACTAATAACGATACTATTCTTATCGTCCCACAACCAGAAAGGTTTATTACCCCACCGCACACACAGACCCCTTCCCAAATCGTTCCAGCAGACACTTTATATACCCCAATAAAGCAGACCGCTAGCGAGAAATCGCCAATCGTTATTGCGTCTGGAACTATAGATACTAGTAAAAAAACTATTAAGGAAACTATACCAACCGAGTCGAGTGTAGAGGACAACAGCTTCATTCTACCTCGGCCGTCACAGCCAATAGAATTTCGGAAAGAGACGCACGAATGTTTCGAAATGGAAGAAGAGCAAAAGCGGTTTATTATGGTTGACGACTTTTATTCCCAAAACAATTGTAATAGTTCTGAGAGTCAAATGAGGTCCTCTTTACTCTACGAACAACCCTTGTTTTTCAAGAAGAAGGAAGACGATGTTGTCCAATTGGTAGAATCACCGTGTTTAACACAACACGATGAAAACCCCAAAGGGCGTCAAAATGTTATTCCGAATGTTATTCAAACAGTCACGCAACAAGTCCTTCAGGAAGTTATTAATAAAGAAGAAAAAGATGTGATGACGGAGGAAGAGAGAAATGAGTCTGAAGTCTCCAAAATCTTATCGAAGTGTACATTCAACCGAGAGACACTTGCTGAAGTGATTCAAGACCAATCACTGGTATCGGGGAATTCCCAAAATGGCAGCCAAGCGATGGAAATGGAGTCTTCATGTGTAGAAAATGACCGAATCAGTCCAAGTGTAACACAAAAAGTCTTACGAGGGAATGCAGTGAATGTAACAGACAGCAATGAAGGTATTAGTAATGCGGAAATGACGAGAGAGAAGCTTGAAGTGTATATCTGGTATGATGCCGAATTGAAGAGACTGAATTTAGAGAAAGAGAGGAGACTTAATGCTCTTAGTTATCATAATGTCCCTTCTAATGAACATTTTAAAAGTGGTGAATGTCTTCCCCAAGACAATGGAATGAAAAGAGATGAAAGAAAAGAGAGACTGAGAAGTCCTCTAGTTCAAGATAAATATATTGATGATGGGGAAAGTAAACACGTGAGAAAAAAAGAAACAAAATCACATTTGAAGAGTCGAAAAGTCCCACCAAAAGCTGTGTGTATTGAAGACGACAAAATTCAACGAGTAGTCACTGTGTCACAACTTGAAGACCAAAGTCTGTTTGATACGAAACACACGACTTCGAAATGGAAACGATTCCATACAAAACGAGAAGTTGTCGAGTGGATTAAGAGTCAACCAATTTATGAGGACATTCTTCTGTATAATGCTATTGATATCGACCACCTCATCACTTTATTCAGAAAAGATAAGTACATCGTCACGAAAAAATTACTCCGCGAATTCCTGATAGAGAAGTGCGTCAACTTTGCGGACGCAGCACGAGAGGCCGCTAATAGAAGAGGCGCCGGCAATTTCTAAAAGAGGTGCAATTGAGTGTATAGTACTTCGTTGTTTGATTCAATTGAATAAGAAGAGGAATACAGGAATAGTGGATATCAAATCTTTCGAAGTAGGGTTAAGACTCCTGTTTTTTTGGTATAACTTTAGACGAGTAATTTTTCATTTAAAACAGTGGGAAAGGTATAAAACAAAGAAAATGAAGCGAATTTTATGAAATTGAATAGAAAAAATTTGATTGAGAGAGTGTTAAAACACACTTTTGGAAGGCGAAAAACTAAACCCTAATTATTTTGAAAGCAGATGTTTACCTATTTGCTTTAACTTTAAAAACTCGAAAGCATTATGACTGACTCAGCAACAACTATCATCCCTTCGAAAAGCGCACAACCAACTTGTTTCAAGATCGACGCAAAACCCTTTGTATTCCGCAAAAAGACAACAGAGAAAATCGAAGCGCCAAAACCAGTCAAATTGTTCAGTGGCCTTCCTGAGGACCGTGAACAAACACCTACAACGCCAGAGTTCACTCTTCCAAAAGTTGCAGTTTCTGCTGATCTCCCCCATTTACACACAAAAGGGACGAAAACAGTCCTTGCAGAAAAGACGCCACTGAATTTCAACTTTTTGGACAGCGTGAAGAAGAACGCGGTCTTTGTCCCGAGAAAGAAACAAAAAACACCGGAACCAGTCAAAGAGACTGAAAAGGTCGAAAACAAAGAAGAACAAGAACGATTGATTAAGGAAAATCTTTTGAAATCTTTTTATAGTCCACCAGGCTCTGAAAGTAAAAGGAAAAGAGACGACAACGTCTTCAGACCAGCTACTCATATCTCACAAGGAGAACCAGCTCCTAAAGAAGACATCCCAATTACTTCTACTTCAAATAAGACGACTTCGAATGATGTCGAACTCTTTAGACCAGCGACTCGGATCAGTGCTGGAGAGTCTGCGCCTAAAGATGATGACAAGAAATATGAAGAAGACGACAATGATCGGATTGGAGTTGATTTGCCTATTACAGTCAAGTCTGCTACGCCACAAGTCCCGCAGTGGATCTATTCCATAGAAGAATTAAAGGACTTCCGAGCGAACACAATAAGAGCAAGAGACTCTATATATGAAGCCTTTAAGAAATTTACTATTAAAAAGAAGAAAGAAACTAAACTGATTAACGTCGATCAGTCGAAAGCTATGTACCGCCAATGGTTTAATAAACTAACAGAAATTACTATAGATAAAGTCGCCTCAGAAATGGTCCTCCAGATGCGTACCCGTGAGGACGTCGAAACGATGTTATCAATTCTCTTCAAAAACGCGATTAACGAGCGACGGTACGTCCATTTGTATGTCAAGTTCTTTGTGAAAGTGAGAACAGCAATGGCACAGGTGGAAGCTAAGAAAGACCTTGCAGCTGATATGACCGCTTTCCTCCTCACTAAGGCAGAGAACCAATTCTCACACCCCCCAATCCCACGGAAAGAGGTCGAAGGAGAAAGCGTCTATGACAAACAAGAGCGTGAAGATTTGAATGCCGTCGACGAGTTCGAATACCTCGGAACAGTCTTCTTGGTGTCCTATTTATACACAGAAGGTACAGTCATCGCAGAATTGGTCCTCCAATGTCTGAATATCCTCAGTAAATTGGGTGGGCGTACACCAACAAAAGCATTCACAACACTCGTGAAAGAGACCTGCGACAAATTGGTGTCTGAACAAGTCGATATGACAAACGTTATCACAACAATCCAGAAAATGCAGAAGATTGAGGGAATCTCAAAATTCGAGGAAATCGTCTTGGAAAACGCAAAGGACCAAATCCAGAAGGCGGTCAAGCTGTTACAAAGCAAGACGAAATCGTCAGATATAAAAAAGATTGCAGTGAAAGATGTAGAACCTACTGAAATAAAGTAAATACTCTTATTATTGTTTTATAGTTTATTATTAGTTAAATTACTATTTTATATTTTACTATAATGATACTAATATTTATTATAATTTTATTATAATAATTATACAATTATTACTATTTAGTTAATAATTATAATAATAATAAATATTATTATAATTTTATTATAATAATTATACAATTATAATTACTATTTATTTAGTAAATAAATAGTAACCTATTTATAGGTTACTATGATAGTAATTGAACTATAAATGAACTAAACAATTATCAAGTCTAAGAAGTTAAATTACGTAGAGCCTAAAGGTTGACCAATCCGATTCCCTTTGTATTTGAGTAACTAATTTTTACATTTGGATTGATATCGAATGTGTACTTCATGGACTGTGCAACCTCTTTAGGGACATCACCATCGCAGCTCCGAGAAAGGAAGACCGTCACTTTATAGTCTTGTCTACATGAGAACAAAACACCTCTGACTTGATCAGTGAAGTCAACCGACTCCCCCATACACCCGAGAAGCTATTTGTTACTATCATTGAACTATTAAATGTAGTAATGGACTCTTTGCGATGGAACAAACGATGTTGAGCCAAGCCTCGTTGAACGACTGTTTGTCTGTTGATGGGAAATGAAAAATCACTTTGCGGTAGTTGTCTGCAATACGACAATCCCCTTTAAGGAAGTATAACTCCGTGCCAACTTTCATGTCCGTGAGGTCTCCCATTGCGTCATAGACCCCCCAAAACTCTTCACCAGAAGGTATCGTCGCTATTAGGTCTTCTATAACTACACCACTCGTCGCTAAACTCTTCTCTATCTCTGTAAACACTTTCCAGGTCTTATTCAGTAAGTGGATTTTTCCCATTGTGTTTTGAAGTTCAAAGATAATTCACACCAACCTCTCTGGTATGGTTTTGGATACTATAAATTATAGCTCTTTGGATCGGTTGGCAAGTGGCTTTCGATTGATGGCTTAGGGTTTTAAAACCCTATTTCTTTTTTTTCTTAACTCGTAAATGCTTCTGTGTATTTAGTTAGTTTGCATCGACTTTATTATTCCATCGGGTTGAGTTCACACCCGATATAACACTTTTGATAGTTAGTGGTTAGGGTATTACAATACAAATGAAATTAATAAGAAATTTAATGTAATTTCACATACAAGAATGTGAATTAATGGAATTGGGAATGGACGTTACGATTATAGACTTTATCCATATAATATATATTTTATAATAAATCACAAAGTATTAAAAGAAAGACTTAAGTTAGATCTCGGGGATATATTTTTTTTCTTCTTTAGGCTTTGGCAACCACTTCTTAAAATAGAAGTTTTGTCAACATCAATTAACGAGTTTTTTCGTATAGTGGAATACCATTGATTATTTCACTTTTAAAACAATGAAATAAGAAAGTATTTTAAATAGTAAATTTATTAATAGTTATATTATAAATATTACCAACAAAAGAAGTAAATTAAACACTTGTAAATACCACAGGAAAGTGAAGGAAAGTGAATGTGTTGTATTTAAGTACTCAATTTCACATTATAATAAGAGTAACGAGGGATGAGTAGTGAAAAAAACACTCCACGCAATACAACAAACAGTATCCTTCGTACAAAAAGTGAGTTGGAAGGACTTCATGAATACCAATACGGAGACCACCCAAGTCGGATCTTATACATCTGCAATGTGCCTCAGACCTCCGTCGACTCGTTGAAGTCCTTTGTGACGTCTCCGGACCTCAAGAAGTTTTACGACAAAGAGCTTCGTCTTGGCTTTGTTTTAATATCTTTCTATGATCTCCGAGTCTCGAAAAAAATGTTTAAAGCGGTCCAGATGCATTTCCCGACATTCAAAGTATCATATGCTATTGCACGAGATGTGTTAAGTGACACGGAACAGAACCAAGGGACTCTTGTAGTCTTTAATTTAGACGCTTCTTGTACCAATGAGACTATCAAACAACTCTTTTTGCAATACGGAGATGTCAAAGAGATCAGAGAAACACCAAACAAAAGGCACCACAAGTTCGTCGAGTTTTTCGACTTGCGCGACGCCGCAAAAGCAGAGGCGGCACTGAACCATGCAGAGTTTTGTGGGAAACGATTGAAGCTCGAACCAAGCAGACCGGGTGGAATACGACAAAGACTGTTATCATCTGCTGTGAGAGCCATTGGACTCCAAGACGACTTAATTGCACTTCCTCCACCAGAAGAGATGATTATTCTCATTGATAAGTACTTAAAGAATAAAGGGGAGGTGTGTTGTAAAGGGGATGAAGTTATCGTATCATTACCAAAGCCGACTATTGTTGGACAAGAGTTGTCACATACGTTCTTACGCGAAACAGTGGGAACACCACACATCAAATTGGAAGAGAAAAAGGTGATCAATTGCGGCATTGGGTTCAACGAAGAGAATGACGTAGACGAGAATAAAACAGTCATCATCATCGAGAACATCCCTCTCACTTTAACCAAAGAAGAATTGGTCGAGGTCATTGAAAAGAACGCAACGTGCTTCTACGACCAGTTGTTTTGTTTACACCAAGATAAGGAACACTATAAGGCTGTGGTCAGATTAACTAATAAAATGGTAGTCGAGTCGATGATGAACGCCTTCAATAATGTCTTTCTAGAAAAGGATCAGGACAAGTGCTGTGTAGTGCGTACTTCAACAATGCAAGGAAAAGTGTTCACATCCACTCTCACTAGCTTATTAGTGTGATTTATCAATTGACTTGATTATTTATTTCAAGTGGCGTTCTAACCTAATTCGTCTAATTTATTTATCGATTCACTAGAAGTCAAACAGAGATTTTCTGGTTGGGCTGTTTCGTCACAGAAGAGTTGGTCATACTTTTGGCGGTTTTCAACTCTTTCGTTTCCCTTTTCTCTTTGTTATCGCCTTCACTTTTCATTTCACTGTTTTTGGACTTGTCATCCGTTGGTTCCAAAATGTCGTCTATCCTTTCTTCGGCAGGAGGTTGCATGTAGCTTTCTGGGACGCTCTTCAACATCATTTGGACGTAATCCGTCGTGAAATTACCATTCTCCACCCCCGTTTTCACATCTTCGATCAATTTTGTGACTAAGTCGTCGTGCTCTAAAGCGTACTTGTTTATCCCAACTTCTGTCAGCAGTTCTTTTGCTTCATTTTTAAATGACGCCTCATCAATAAATTTGTTGCCCAACATCGAATAGAGTGTGTTGCATTTTCCAGGAATGACTTTGGTGACATTAATAAGGGCATTGATGTCCTTCAGTTGCGCGTTGAATATTTGTTGTGATTTGGTGTCTGCATTTACTTTCACGTCGTAAATGTGTTTGAATTTATCAAACATATTTCCGTAGCACCCTCTGAGCATAGTCAACGCATCTCTACATTCAGCTATGCACGCGCATCTATACTCCTCCCTCTTTTTTTCTTCGTCTTCCTCGCACGTCTTCAGCATGTCGGGGTTGTTCTTCATCAGTTTCTTATTCTTCTTTGTTGACTCGACTTTCTTCATTGCTTTCTTCCATTCGTCATTTGCTTTGGCCTTGTGTTTCTTTGATGACTCTACAAGTCTGTTAAGATCCTTTGGCAGTGCCGTGACGTCTTCCAATAGTGACGTTGACGTCTGTTTGAACTGATCGGCTATTTCAATCAAATTGTTCTTCCACATCGAAAACATGTTTGCCACGTTGAGCATCCCCACATTCAAGTCTTGATGTCCACAATCCCCCATATCTTCCATCGAAGCAACTAAGACCTCTGCCGCCTTGATCATCTGTTGGTTCGCCTTAACGTACGAATTACACGCATCGACAATCGTCTTGAACCGCGGGATAACGTTGTTAATAGCAGCATAAGTCGAGTCCGAGTCTGCTATCCATTCGTCTGCTTTTTTGTTTTGAGATGTCAGTGTATTACTTTGTAACATTTGCGCTTTATATTTCAAAGTATTCTTTTTTTTCAAAAGTCCACAAATTTGCAAAACCGTTCCGTTTTTTTTGAGATTTTTTGTCCATTCATAAACAAATTTTTGGACAACTTTTATGCAAAAATTTCGGGAATTGAACATTTAATAAATGGAAGTTTGATGCGAGTTAAATCAATTGTTTGTCGTTATTAAAATAATGTCATTATTACTAGAATTTTATTGTATAATATAAAAGTGTTATTATCTTATTAATTATTATTAATATAATAAAACTATACCAATGAAAAATAATTATCTTTGAAAAAGTAATAATGAAAAACTGTTTAAAAAATTGAAAAAAAAATGAATATAACTTATTGATTGTAATAAAATTTATATTAATTATTAATACTTAAAATAACACCTCAGTTTTCTTGGATGATTTTTTTGATGTTTTTTTTAAGGCTGTGTATTTCAATGATTATTATTAACTTCTAAAAAAAAGGAAATCAATTTAATAAACTTGAAATTTCCCGATTTTTAGACAACTCGAATTTTGTTCAATTATATTTAAAGCGTTAAAATGGAAATTTGCACAATCTCAAACAATCATTCTGTCAACTTTGGAGTTTTGGAAGAAAGAAGGAAGATAAAAGGCAAGGATATTGCAGATTTTCATTGCAGTACTTTGATGTTTTCTCCTCAGACACTGCGCAATAACCGTCCACAATTGATGAGAATGTCAGAGCCCGGAAAAATGAGTAAATTACCGTCTCTCACGGTCTCGGAATTCAATAACAACTTCATCCCAGTTGCAATGGAAATGAACACACCACCAACACCAATGCACCACTTTAACACACACAACAAGGCACTTGCAAATTTTCCTGCACCAGGAGAAGATTTTTACGAGAGGTTCTCAGAAAGAATGGTCATCTCTTTCGGAAGCTTCTGGAAAGTCGAAAAGGTGTTTGACAGACACTCCATGACGTACAAAGCATTGAAAACATCGACACGATCGCCGTTGGTGAGTGTGTACCTCAAAGAAAAAACAGCCCAACAACTCTTGTACCGAACATCGGCGTTTCTAGCGCTGTACGATGAAATGTATTTTGACAAACAGACCTTTTACGCTGTCATGCCGTTGTACACTTCCTCTGTGTTGGAAATACTCGCAAGGCGAACTATGGCGAAGGAAGAAATTTTATTTGTTGTGTGGTCTGTCTTGATGGGTCTCAGTACAATAAATACTTTTGGGCTTGTTCATGGAGACGTTAAACCAAAAAATATATTAGTTGATGACGGAGGTCGTGTGAAGCTCAGTGATTTCAACTCCGTTCAAAACATTGGTTCATTTTGCGAAATCGAAGAACTCGGAGACCCAAGGTATTTGGCGCCGGAACTGAAAACCGGAGCAGTAACAGCCTCTTCTGATGTGTATAGCCTTGGAATTTCAACATTCGAAATGGCAACACGACACACTTTTCCCACAAATGTTTGTCTCTTCTCTTTTGAAACACAAGACGAATCTTTTACAATATGGTGTTTATTAAACTACACGTGTAGCTCGTGTGAAAAACTAATGACAAATAGATGTTCAACTTCGCGCTGGACGATCCGCTTATTATTCGCGCGTTTAACGATTGCACCCTCAAAGACCTTTATGTTTCGTTCACAAAGGCCAACCCTCTACTTCGTCAAGTTCCAAGCGAGTTGGTGGGATGCTCGATTTTTTTGCCCGTCGTTTCATTTCGGTTGTCTCCATAATTATACTTTCTGTTTGTTCTTTTCCATTACGACATTCAATTATAATAAAAAAAACAATATTTATAGTAAAATGAGCAATTTTTAATTTGTTTGTTTCTTAATGGTAAACCGATAATCTGTGAAAACAAATGTCTCGATTGGACAGTTATAGCTTGATGATTGTTTCAAAGTATTTTACTTCGATCGAGGACTACATCAACGTGGAGTTTGTGTGCAAAAAGTTCCAAAACAACACAGAGAAGTTCCATTTTAACCCGATTTCGATCTCGACGAAGACACGGAAGTTCTTCCCCCACCTCGAGACACAGCACCTCTACTCCAACAACGACTTCAAAATTTCTTCAAAGCGGATTATCAAGTTTGTTTTGTGGAACATCGTCGATTACAAGACTTTTCTCAAAGAAAATGGCCAAGGCAATGTCTGTCGCAATGTGATGTATACCAAAAACGACCGAGAGAGGTTCGGCGTTGACGTCCCAACGGGTGTGAACCAGCTTGGGTGTAACTGTTTTCGTGCGAGCCGAATCCCCTCGTTAAGTCTTCCAAAGACAGTAACGGCCATTGGAGATTTCTGTTTTAACGGATGCAAACGCCTTTCAAAGGTCTCATTTCCTCCTGTAATTCGAGTGATAGGGGATTCGGCGTTTCAAGACGACATCATGCTTGAGAGCATTGAACTTCCACACAATGTGAAAACACTAGGGAAGTGGTGTTTTGCGGGGTGTACCTCATTAAGTAGTTTTGTTGTCGAATCACCGAGTTTGTCTGAGATCAACGAAGCCACTTTTGCGTTCTGTGCAAAACTCAGGCATGTTGTCTTGAGTGATCAAATTACACGAATAGGCAGAAAGGCATTTTCAAGTTGTGTTGCATTAAAGGAACTGACCCTTCCGACATCTTTGATTGAAATTGGCGAAAATGCGTTTGAGTACTGTGGAATCGTTGACTTACACTTCCCTGCCAACTTGAAGAGGGTGAAAGCCTCTGCGTTTCTTTCGTGTGAATTTCTTGAAGAGGTGACCGTCAACGCGAAGATCGAAAACGTCGATTTGCTGTGCTTTGGATTTTGCATGAATTTGAAGACGTTGAAGGTGCCAAAAGCCGCGAAAAGGTTTGTGGACATTTTTATTCAAGGACTCAACAGTGTCAAGGCGGTTGAGATGGAGTGAATTCTATTTTGTATGTGTACATTTCCTATTTATCTGAACGTATGAGCTCTCAGACAATTGTTATAGTAATAACATCTACATACCCAATCAATAAAAGATGAAAGCGATTAACCTAATGAAGAATGGCATGAGTATAAACGCTATAATGATATATTTCTGGAGTTCCCTTTGTTGTCGTTGTTCTGGAGTTAATTCTTGTTGTTGGGGTGTGTTATTATTATTTCCGTATGACATGAAGAATCCCGGCATCCCAAATCCAAATGAAAAGGAAGCTACAGAAGCGCCATTAAAAGGAAGACCAAAGAAGGGGAAGTTTGGTTGTTGTGGAGGAGGAGTGTAATGGCCTTGTGGACGTGGGAGAGTGCGTGGGTCGACATTTGATGACGAATTGTATATTGGGATGACAGTGTCTTCTGTCACACGGGATTTGCATATCGGACAAGTCTGCTGTCGGTCTAACCATTCACGTAAACACTCCCAACAAAACATATGACCACATTGTGTCACCACCGCGTTTTGAGCTGTGTCCATACATATCATACACTCAAAGGAATGATCATTTTTTTCATCACCTTTTGATTCGGTTGGAGTGTCTTTTGAATCCTTTTGAGGCTCTTCTTTCTCTTCTTTCTCTTCTTTCTCTTCTTTCTCTTCTTTCTCTTCTTTTTCTTCCTTTTCAATTTTCTCTGTTTTCTCGACCTTTTCATTTTGAGATTTGTTGTTGTCGTTTTTAAAACTCTCGGGGCTATGAGAATGAGGCGACACTTCATCACTAGTAAGTCCAGTATCCTCTGGACTTTGATCTGTTTGAGTGATCGCATTTGCGTTTGCACTTCGTTGTCGTAGTTGTTCGATCATACTGTTTTTATTCTCCTCACTCGGAACACTCATTACATTTTCCAGTTTCTCGTCACATAAATCACTTCAACTAGACTTGAAAATGTATTAGAAATTCTTAATAAAGTCGACCAGAAAATAACTCACCTTCTATTAATAAATGCTTTCTATTAATATTTTTTTAATATATTTTTTGTTTAACTAAAAGTTGTGGTTATTTTATTAGAATATTAATAATATATTTCATTGAAGTACATATAAAAAATACTATTAACTAACTAGTTCTTTTTATTATTAATAATAACTTTTAGTTTATATAAACTAATTCTTATGAATAGGTTTTATTACTAAAAAGATACCACAAAGTATTATTCAAATAACCATCCACAACTCAACAAGTCTCTTGAATAAAAATTTATTATAATTTTATTAATAAAAAAATCTTTAATTATTAGTATTAGTTTAATTAACTCAAACCATTTCAACAATCATTCAAAAGTTAGTTCTGGACCATAAGAGTATCTTCTTCTCTAAGGTATTCTCCAATATCGCCCTGATTAAAGCAAACCATTGAAGTGAGGCCGATTCTTGCGAACTCGATTCCTGAAATAGCAGTTGTTCCGAAGCCAATAGGAATTTCGTTTTCATTAAACATGACACACCCGACATTCTTGGCCATCCCCTCAGTAATTTTGGAGACACCACTTTTGACCAAGTGATTGCCGTACATGAATGACATCTCAGCCTCTGGCTTTACCCAGACCTTGTTTGGACAATACTCAGCAAGATATTTGAGAGCAGTGATATGTAATCTGAATTGTCCACTTTTTGTGAACTTTCCAAAACATGTCCCAAGAGAAATGATACTGTCACGAGCAAAAGGACTTGCTTTGTTAGCGACGTCTAAGCGGACATAGTACACACGGTCTTTCTGAAGACGGAAACAATACTCGTCCTCTTTGTTGCTGATTAACTGTTTAATGTTTCTCCCGATGCTTTAGGGTTATTCGCTTTGTTTATTTTAAAAGTTTTAAAAACAATTAAATATGTCAATTTGATGCACATTAAATGATATTACTAAACCACAAACTACTTCGCCAACTTCTCAAAAAACGTCTTTGTCTCCTCGTCAGTCAATGGGCGCATTTGATTACATTTTCAGATTCATTTGAGTAGGGTTTTGAGTCCTTTTATTGTTCCAATATTGTTATTCTGAGAAGACTTTAACACATTAAAATGCACTTTTGAAACTTTTTAAAAATTTTTTAAAAACTTTTTAAAAGGGGTTTACTCTATAAATAGAAATTTAATTAGTCGTATTGTATCAGTGGACCACCAAGCGAAGATAGTTCAAGCTCGTTATATTCCTTTAGCATTTCTCTTCCCTTCCTTCTTCTATGTCTTACAATGAACACAATCGTTCCGAGTATGAGCGCAACAAAGGCTATAACTCCGACGACTACAGGAACAACTATTATGATAATTTGCTGGGTGTTGGAGTCTTCAGGGTACTCCTTTCTGATTTTGTTCTTTGGGAGTCGATAAATTGGTAATATCCCATCGTCCGGTGTCAGTGTTTCATATACACTTTCAGGCACTTTACAGAGGATGTATGGATTTGAGAAATCAAACACTAATTTGTTCTCATCAGAGGAGGTGTGGACACACTCTAAATATAACGGCTCGATCCACAATTTTATTTGGCCATTCTCGGTCGTGTTTCTTATTCTTAGAAAGTCGTTAATAGGGTACGTACTCGCCTCTGTAAAGTCCACCGTCGAAAACTCACTGATTCCGATATAAATGGTTGTGTGATTTTCGGCAACTATTTTGTTGAATTTGACAGCGTCTCCCACTATATACCCAATCGTGAAATTTTCATCTCTTCCACCAATTGAGTCGTTATATTTAACGGGCATCAAAAACCCTAAATTTTCTTTAGCGACGTCTGTGGCTTCACTCCAATAATTGAGAAGTGGGAATTGATATCCATTCACTTGCACATTGCCATCAATAGACCCAAATATCACAGTGGACCCGCATGCATAACATCTGTCGTATTCAGTCATTTTTAAGTCTTCTTTCTCATCCGCCGGTTCTATTTGGACTTTTTCATATTGCTCGGATTTGTCTCGGTTCAGTGTCTGTACAGTCAGCGGGAACTGTGCTCCGGTATAATCCGAGAACTTTTCGTCTTCGATGAAAATGCAGTCGGTGATGAACGCCGAAATTTCTCGATTGAAATATTTGAAGAGGACTGGCGCACGCTGTTTGAGTTCACCCAAGAAATACTGCATGTAAAATACTTTATTAATATCTTCATAGTTACTCACCAAGTTTCGCTCTTCAAAAGTCGCGTTGGTCGACGCAGTCGCGCGCTTTAAACGATACATCTCAGCTTTGGGCAACACTCTTTCGTGGAACTCAAAGACGTTAGTTAACATACTTGCTTCATCGCAATGTTTAAATTCGGGAGACAAGTAGTCTGCACATCCAACGACTTGACTCAGACACTCATATTCATCGTCAATGCTCGAGTTGATAAGATTCAAATCAATTCCCTTTATGTTGGCACACTCTTCTGAAGTTAAGTCGATGACCTTTACAAATCGTTTGAATGAATCACCTATTTCAATGGAATTGTTTGGTAGATTGACATTGTCACCAATCCCACAGCCTTGACTTTGTATTGCACAAGAAGTAGTTAATTGAGGACACTTTGCTATGGCTTCTTCTTTAGTCTTGAATACCCAGCGGTCATTATTAATATCACAGACGTATCCTTCACAATTGGTATTGTCCTCCTTTGAATTGAAAATTCGACCATCATATGAATAACAATTATTTGGATGCGCAGAGTCATACGGATACTCTTTTTTGGTTGGAGCTTGAAACATTGGAACGACGCCCTCTTGGAGCTCAGAGACTTCAAATCGATCCAACTCTCCATTATCAATATTTATTTTCGACACACATAAGTCGATAAATAAGTCAATTTGGTTATCAGTTGGCGTGTAACATCCAGTAGAGTCTGCTTCAAATCCACTGACTTTATGCATGTCAATAGGACAACCACCAGAGTTATTAATATACTCAGTTGGGTCGTTAAAGATGTTTCTACACACAAACCTCTTCACTTGATTTTGGTTGACGTGATTCCACAAAATAGTTGGGAGAGACCAGAAGTGAAAGTCGTGTAAATACTGTGTAAAGTCTCCCATTGCATACGATCGTTCATTCAACTCTATTTTTCTTTTGTTTGTTAAATTGACATCTTTGTTTTTCAAGAAGTCGAACATACAGACAGGCTCTATTCCCATATACGTCGACTTTCTATCTCTAAATGTGTTACACTTGCCTTCTGCCTCTCTATTACAACACGGATCACTTTTGAACTTGTCGGAGTCTTCGATGTATTTATCACAATACTTCCACTCAGTCGACACTTTCGAAGTCTCACTGAAGAAGACGTAGTCGATCAATGGGAAACAGAAGTACCCTTGAAGGGAAAAGGTTATGAGCATTGAAACATCAATACCTTCCGTCCACATAGTCGTAGACAACACCTCACTCCACTCCTCCATCGTCTCTTCATAATTTTGGTTGAACCCATTATCAAAGAAAGAGGTGCACAATTTCAATTCAAAGTCAATGAAAACATTACCAACTATTGAATAAGTGTTACTGTCTTTGTTCTCTCCACCAGTCTTTTTGTGAATTTTTTTAAATTAGAATTAGCAACAAAACAGCCATGTTTATCAAAAGGTGATATTCTAAGAAAGCAACTATATTTATAATAATTTTAATTATGAATTATAGTAAAAAGAATTTTGGTTATTTATAAATGTTATTAGTAAATATATTAATAATTAATAACAAACTATGTGAAAAGCAGTTAAGGTCTTCCCAAAAGTGGGCTTTGACATCGCCGTACTAGACACTGGATATGACAAGAAAGCAACAAATGCGTTTGTGGTATCTGATTTGGGTTCAACCAAGAACGACAATGTTTTGGTGAAATTCGTGAGTGGGAAGAATGAGGTTTTCCAATCAATTTCTTTGAGTCTTTGACCCGTTTCCTGACTCAGTGTTGTATACGTGAGTTCTTTTGTAGTTGTAATTCCGTCGGAGTCTTTTAAAGTCAAAATCAATTTAGGAGCATTTGTGTTGTTTTCGTCTTTCAGTTATTTAAATGAATTCATTCGAAATAATAAAAGACGAAACAAACACTTGGTCTTGTAAGCAAGAGTCGAAGTTACCACAAGCATTTCCAAATTAGGAAACATTGACAAAGAAGTTGTGAAGGAGTTTCCTCTCACAAAAGGTCTTGTAATGTCTTCTGTTACCATGTCTCTCAAATTTTGTTCTTGTTCACGTGCAAAATTGATTGCTCTCTTAACTCTTAAATGAGAAGATAATTTGGTGTTGTCAATCCAAGGGTCTATCTCAGACAAGCAGAGTGTAAAGAAAGTACAAAGTACTAAGAACAAAGACATTCAATTGATTTGAAAGATTGGAGAATCGGTTTGCTTTGAGATATTCGATAGTTTGTGTATACAAATACTATAAATAAAACACAATGCAATTTGAACCATTAAAAACACAGAATTTTTATGATACCATTTTGTATAAGATTTGTTCTAATTAATTTGTATTTCATTTGATGAAGAAAATGTCTTTCAAGTTGAACGATTCGATATTTTTATTGTAAAAAAACTAATTCTTAAAAGTTGTTTTTATTTTTACTTATAATTATTTGTACTTTTCTTAATATCTGTTAATATCTTTTTTAATAATAGAACGCACTTTCAGTTAGTTGATATTTTGTTTAAAAACTGTTATTTAAGTTTCTTGAACCTTTTATTGTTGTGGATTTTCATTTGAAAAGAAGACACAAGAAAACTAAACACATTATTGTATATTTAATAAGTTAAAAATAGTTTTATTATATTATATAGTTCAATTAACAACATTTTTATGAGCTATATGTTTGTCCAAAAAATCAATTATAAAATATAATTAATTTAATTATTAATAATAAATATAATATACAAGTTGAACATCCAAAGTTCGTTTGATCAAGAACATAATCATAACTCAAAAATAATCAGAAATCATTTATTTTATAATTAAAACTTTTTGAATTTTGTTTTAGTTATTATTAATATTTTTATTAATTATTAAAACTATTATATCCTTATTTTTTTAAAGGGTGAATTTTAATTACAAAAAATTTCTAAAAACTGAGAAAATTTTTTATTTATAAATCCAATTTTTATATTTTAAAAAGATTTATATTTTTGTAAAAACGGCTTTATTTTTGTTTAAAAATGAAGGTTCAATACAGATGGAGAAAAAAATTAGTTACAAAACATTTTACAAAACGTTTTTTTTTTCTTTTTGTTATTTCCATTTTTTCGAACCCCAAATAAACAAAATAATGACCATATAAAATAAGGGGTTTTAAAATTATTGGGTGACCACGAATTTTTATCAATATGTTTTGTTTGTTTTTCATTTAAATCTCGAAATTTTAAAAATGATAACAAACATAATATGTTTTTATTACAATTTATTACAGGTTGTGCTTATTTTAAGCAATTTCAAGCCTTTCTTAGTCAACTTCTTTACTGAAGTTGACAATTTAAACACTTTAAATTGCAAGTGTTTAACCTTTACACTGGAAAAAAACAACTTAATTATCTTATTCAGACAAAGCGTTTGGGGTGTTTTGCCTACAATTGTTTAACTATTTGCCTTATATTACCAAACTTGACATTTTCTTCAATGGAGCATTGTTGAAAACGATTTTATGTGCCCAAATATAATATCATCATCCATTTCTTTTCTTTGAGTTGTGAAGAATTACTTTTTGGGCAAAAAGACTATAATCGTATTCCCACATTAAGTTATACAAAAGGGGTTTTACCATGTGTTATTTGTTTAACTAGTTAACAAAAATACAGATTTTGATGTTTTTTCAAAGAATTGGGTTTATAAAAAACAATGAATTATTTATATCTGAACACAAATTAGTAAAGATTTGCGACATACTTGCACTAAGCGCCATATTTGAACTGGATTACGTGGCAATACCTTTTTACAAAAAACATGGACAAAATGAGATAAAATGATTAAATTAAAAGAAAGGTTAATGGAAAAAAATGGGAAAATTGAAATTTCATTTTAAAATTTATGAAGAAAAGAACATATTAAAAAACAAAAATCAATTAATAATTCGCTCACATAATAAACAGATTTGAATATATACAATTTATAAATCAATTACAACATAGAATGGCCTTTCGTTAGTTTCATTTTATATAAAGTTATAATAAAAAATGACGTGTAAATGTGAACATTTTCCTATTTATATGAATCAAATAAAAAACGAATTTAATAAAAGATATGCATATATTTGAGAAAATTTGTTATTATTCATATTAAATTCTTTTATGGGTATATTCTTTTAATTTAATAAACGATATAATTAAAATTTAATACATTTTATTATAATAATATGATTCATTTAAAAAACCGAAAATGTTTGAAAACGTCTTATTGGAAATAAGATGTTTAAAAACAAATAGAATACAAAACTTATACTTGTATGAATAAGTTTATTATAATTTTTATAAGTTATTAACACTGTACTATTATTATTAAATCAGAATTTAAACAAATTAATTTTAATAATTTTTTATTTAGAATTGCATTTATATTATAACTTTTTGAAAAACGATCCAAACCAAACCCATTTTAAGAACAAATCAATTACACCATTGAAATATTATTACCTTTTGAATTGATTATGTATTTAAAACATAAATTATGGGTTTAATTATTTATTTAATTGTAAACTTAATATATTATAACTTAATGAACAATATTTGATAATTATTGGACTTTAATACAAAACAAACAAAAACACACAACAACACAACAATAACCAAAAACAAACAAAAAACAAACACATTTTAATAAAAATGTAAACTTTAAAGAATAAAACACAAATAGTAGTCAATTACATTATATTAAATGTTGTCTAAATTAAATTCAACATGCCAAATAAATGTTAATTTCAGATGATATTACCAACGTTAAATCTTTAATTGTTTCATTTTTGTTTTTTCATGTGTTTTTTAGCTACAATGACTTGAAGCCATCATATACTGCACTCTTAATTGATATCAAGAAGTCAGTTTCTTCATTCATTTGAACAATTTTTATATTCAGTGTTGTTGAAAATGGAAATTATTTTTTATTTGTTATCTTCTGAGTCTCTTGTTCGCTTTTTGATTGCTATTTTTTATCATGTTTATTTTTTTATTTTAATAAATTTATTAATATTTATAATAAATGAGCAATGATATTTTATTTGTTTTTTGTAATTTCTCTCAACCATTGTGACTATTCAATATATTTTTGTTGATCAAGTGATTAACACAAAATAATGTTTTATAATGTTTTGTGTTAATAACTAAGTTATTGTTATTATTTATACTTCGTTTAAAACCAATTATTAAGTTATAGTCAGTTGGGGCTATATATTAAAGTGTTTTTATGTGTCTTGGAATTACCAATTGTGTTTTGTATTTATTTATACGATAAGTTTTAGAATAATCCGGTTTATATAGCCAAAATAATGAAAATATGGTTAAAAACACTTTCAGACTTTTATAAAAAGATGTGTTATTTTAAATGACACATGTTGTTAATTTTTTTTGTTGTGGTTTATGTTTTAAGTAAAAATTTTATTTTCATTATATTACCACTTATAACATTAGTTTAACGTATAAGTATCATTATAATACAATCATATGGATTGGAGTTATGATATGTCATGTTTATTGTGTTTTAAAAAGATGTGTTTGAGAAAAAAAATATATCTCATCATTTTTATTGTTTTTCTAATAAATTATTAGCCCATTATTACTATTGAAATGATGTTTGGTTTAAAAATACATTTGATGTTTTGTTGTTTATTGATTTTTCTTGATAGATTTATGAAAAAGAAAATTCAAAAAGATAGTTCTACAAGTTTATAATATGTTTTATTGGTCAAAACAAAGATTCAATTGCTTTAAGAAATTTCATTTAAAAATAATGAGTTTTTTTTTCTCTTTTTCTTGTAACAAATTTTATGTTTTTTGTTTTTTAAATTGTTATATGGGCTAGTGCAAGTATGTCGCAGGTCTTTACTCATAAATAAAAATACAGTCGAATTAGGTCTACTTGTGATAGTATTTTTTATGAAAGTGATATGATTTTTATAAAATGTACAACATTTTTGATAAAAATGATGAATTAATTGAGAAGTGATAGTAATTTGTTTGAAAAATTATGAGTATTTTTTTATAAAAGTGATAAACAATCGTAAAAATGATGATTTGTGGTAAAAATTATGGGAAATTAAATCAAAAGTGATGGATTTTTCTCAGAAATGATGCAATCTATAAGAAAGTGACCAATAATATTTTGAAAAAGTTTATGATTTTTAACACTTGTGAGAGATTATTTTATAAATATATAAATGTCGTTAATTACGGAAACATCCCGTTATTTTAAGAATGACTTTAATTCCTTTTAAACCGAAAAAGGTAGCGATGTTGTTTATAAACATTTGGTTTATTTTGTGTAATGAAAACGATTTTTTTAAAACGTTAGTTAAAAATAAAAAATTTGTAAATTTATCTTGTATACATATGATTCTCAACATAAGTTCATAAAGTGAGAACGTTAATAATCAGTGTGGTTGCACAAATAATATCATAATATTTAATTGGTTGTTACATATATTAAAATTCAATAAAATATCAACTTTTTTCACGTTAGTTACAAAACATCAAAACATTTACAATATAAACTAAATTTAAATAATAACTTTTGGAATTTTCAAAGTATGACGTATCCCTTGTTTTTCAATAAAAGAATTTTTATCGGAATTTTATTTGATACATTTTTTAATTTAAAACCCCGTTTTTGGAAAGAATTATTTTGTATAGTTTATTATACTATATACAATTTTTTGATATAAAAAGAAAAAAAATAAACTTGAAAATAATTACAGGAAAAGTCGTCAAGTTTACCTCACAGGAAAAATGAACCTTTTTTCAACAAAAATACTATTTTAGTTCATATAGTCACCCGCTAAAAGTAATAAAATCACGACAAATGGTATAAAGAAACTATAATTTATTATTTTATACTATAATTATAAAAAACAGTTAAAATAACACAAATAACATTAAAAAAAGTAAAAATAAAAAATAAAAACACATTGAATCAATTTTTGTCAAGCTTTTTAACTGGTTTAAAAGACAACTGCAATCTTAAAACGATTTTTTCTTTTTCCTGATCTTCTTTTGGTTTTTTAATGCTCTTTTTTCTTCCCTTTCTTATTTAATTCAATTTGGAATAAAAGTAATGTTTTCATTCTTTTCTTTTGAGGCCATGGAAATGGTTTTAGAATAAATTATTAAAACAATTCTCTGTA